GGACGACCGAATACATAAGAGGGAGTAATTCGTCCCTATCCTTTTACATTTATGCATTGTATTTATTTTAGCATCTTGCATATAAGGTTAAATTTATTTTTACGTCCCGGGACATGCATGCATTAGTTTTGTTTCTATATTTTATACTAACTTATTTTTAGGTGTTTTCAATTTGTAGGTAAAGCTTATGTGGAGACGAGGGGATCCGCAAAGATCCATCGATCTCGATTTCAAATCCAAGGTAAGTGATTTTAATATTATTTTGTTGTTTCCTATACTTATATACTAATATCTATTTTAAATCTTTTTAGATGCATAGGAGAGGGAGCGGCCGGATGATCGGACGACCGAGTCCATAAGAGGGAGTAATTCGTCCGCATCCTTTTACATTTATGCATTGTATTTATTTTAGCATCTAGCATATAGAGTTAGATTTATTTTTGCGTCCTGGGACATGCATGCATTAATTGTGTTTCTATATTTTATACTAACTTATTTTTAAGTGTTTTTAATTTGTAGGTAAAGCTTATGTGGAGGCGAGGGGATCCGCAAAGATCCTTCGATCTCGATTTCAAATCCAAGGTTAGTGATTTTAATATTATTTTGTTGTTTCCTATACATATATAGTAATATCTATTTTAAATCTTTTTAGATGCATACGAGAGGGAGCGGCCGGATTATCGGACGACCGAATACATAAGAGAGAGTAATTCGTCCCTATCCTTTTACATTTATGCATTGTATTTATTTTAGCATCTTGCATATAAAGTTAAATTTATTTTACGTCCCGGGACATGCATACATTAGTTTTTTTTCTATATTTTATACTAACTTATTTTTAGGTGTTTTCAATTTGTAGGTAAAGCTTATGTGGAGACGAGGGGATCCGCAAAGATCCTTCGATCTCGATTTCAAACCCAAGGTAAGTGATTTTAATATTATTTTATTGTTTCCTATAAATGTATACTAGTATTTATTTTAAATCTTTTTAGAATCATATGAGAGGGAGCGGCCGGATAATCGGACGACCGAATACATAAGATGGAGTAATTCGTCCCTATCCTTTTACATTTATGCATTGTATTTATTTTAGCATCTAGCATATAGAGTTAGATTTATTGTTACGTCCCGAGACATTCATGCATTAGTTTTGTTTCTATATTTTATACTAACTTATTTTTAAGTGTTTTTAATTTGTAGGTAAAGCTTATGTGGAGACGAGGGGATCCGCAAAGATCCTTCGATCTCGATTTCAAATCCAAAGTAAGTGATTTTAATATTATTTTGTTGTTTCCTATACATATATACTAATATCTATTTTAAATTTTTTTAGATGCATAGGAGAGGGAGCGGCCGGATGATCGGACGACCGAGTACATAAGAGGGAGTAATTCGTCCCTATCATTTTACATTTATGCATTGTATTTATTTTAGCATCTAGCATATAGAGTTAGATTTTTTGTTACGTCCCGGGACATACATGCATTAATTTTGTTTCTATATTTTATATTAACTTATTTTTAAGTGTTTTTAATTTGTAGGTAAAGCTTATGTGGAGATGAGGGGATCCGCAAAGATCCTTCGATCTCGATTTCAAATCCAAGGTAAGTGATTTTTATATTATTTTGTTGTTTCCTATACATGTATACTAATATTTATTTTAAAACTTTTTAGATGCATACGAGAGGGAGCGGCCGGAAGATCGGACGACCGATTACATAAGAGGGAGTAATTCGTCCCTATCCTTTTATATTTATGCATTGTATTTATTTTAGCATCTTGCATATAGAGTTAGATTTATTTTTACGTCCCGGGACATGCATGCATTGGTTTTGTTTCTATATTTTATACTAACTTATTTTTAAGTGTTTTTAATTTGTAGGTAAAGCTTTTGTGGAGACGAGGGGATCCGCAAAGATCCTTCGATCTCGATTTCAAATCCAAGGTAAGTGATTTTAATATTATTTTGTTGTTTCCTATACATATATACTATTATTTATTTTAAATCTTTTTAGATGCATACGAGAGGGAGCGGCCGGATGATCAGACGACCGAATACATAAGAGGGAGTAATTTGTCCATATCCTTTTACATTTATGCATTGTATTTATTTTAGCATCTTGCATATAGAGTTAGATTTATTTTTACGTCGCGGGACTTACATGAATTATTTTTTTTTTTAAATTCTTAATTATCAATAAACATATTTTTTCCTAATTATATCAACTTAGACTAATATAACTTATCTTCTAATTAAAAAACACAAAATTTAATTAAAACTTAATATTAAAATTGTGGGCTGGTCTGGCCCGGTATACTTAGAAACCGGGCCATGCGTTGGTTTGGGTTTTCAAGCCCAATCCAGAATCAGGCCGGGCCTATCGGGCTTCAATTTTAAAACAACCCGAGACAAACCAAAAAAATATTACTCTTTCTTTCTCGCAAAAAATGCACTAATTTTTTGTGTGTCGGAATGAGTAACATCAGCCTAAAATTGACACATTTTTTTTTTTGCTAAATATGAGGTCAACTTTCTCAAATTATGGAAGCAACACACCTTATGCTGAAGCTTTTTTCTTTAAATCCGTTGATATGTTGAAACCTTTTCTAATAATACCTTTGTATCGAATTGCAATGGTGTTGCACTAGAGAAACCATTTCCCAAGCTTCCACATATAACTCCTAGAAGTAATAGATTAAGTAAAAAAATTAAAAATCATGCTTACATTGGTCTTTCCTATAACTGTTATTATGAAATTCTCAAAGCATTATTATCACAAAATACAACTTATCAAATTCTCTAAACTAAGACTACTTAGTACCAACTCACAAATAATTTGTTCATACCATCTTTATTATGAAATATTTTTGACTTTTTTCTTTTACATTTATGCATTCATTTATTTTAGCATCTTGCATATAGTAATATAGTCATATTTATGTCACGGAACTTACCTGCATTAATTTTCTATCTAAAGTTCATACTAAATTTTTGTTTAGTGTATTGAATCTGTAGGTAAAGCATATGTGTAGACTAAAGGATACAAAACGATCCTACGATCTCGACTTCCAACCCAAGGAAAGTTATTTTAATATTATTTTGTTGTTTCCTATGCACATATTCTAATATATATTTTAAATATTTTTAGATGCACACGCGAGAGAATGGCTGGACGACCGAAGCTATAATAGGGAGTATTTCGACATTTTTCTTTTACATTTATGTATTGTATTTATTTTAGCATCTTATATTAGTAATAGAACCATATTTACGTCTCGGGACTTGCATGCAATAATTTTTCTTTCTAAATTTCATACAAACATTTTGTTTAGTGTATTTAATTTGTAGGTAAAGCATATGTGGAGACTAGAGGATCCGGAAAGATCCTTCGATTTCAACTTCAAACCCAAGGTAAATGATTTTGATATTGTTTTGTTGTTTCCTATGCATATATTTTAATATCTATTTTAAATATTTTTAGATCCATATGCTAAAGAGTGGCAGCAAGACCGAATCTATAACAAGTAGTATTCTGTCTTTTTTTTTCTTTTACATTTATGCATTGCATTTATTTTAGCATCTTTTATGTAATAATAAAATCATGTTTACGTATCGGGGCTTAAATGTATTATTTTTATCTCTATATTTCATACTAACTTTTTGTTTAGTGTATTTAATTTGTAGGTAACGCATATGTTGACAAAAGGATGCGAAAAGATCCTTCGATCTCGACTTCAATCTCAAAGTAAGTGATTTTAATATTATTTTGTTGTTTCCTATGCATATATTCTAATATCTATTTTAAATATTTTTAGATACACACGCGAGAGAGTGGGCTGGCGCCCGGTATAATTTGAAACCGGGCCATGCCTGGGTTTCGATTTTCAAGCCCAATCCAAAATCAGGTTAGACCTATCGGGCTTGAGTTTTAAAACGGCCAGAGCCAGCCCAAAAAATATTACTCCCTCCTTCGCAAAAAATGCACTAATTTTTGGCGTTGCGGAGGGAGTAATAGCATAATGAAATTTGATGTCAAATATGATGTCAACTTTCTCAAATAATGGAAGCAAGATACCTTAAAATTTGAATCCATCGATATACTGAAGCATTTTCCTTTAAATCCACCTTTATGCTAAAATCCTTTCACAATGCTTTTAGATATACCTCCTAGAAGTAAGAGATTTAAAAAAAACAAAAAAAAAAAACAAATCACGTTACACTGGTATTTCGTATAACTGTCATTATAAAATTGTTCAAAGCATTATTATTACGAAATACAATTTATCAAATTCTCTAAACTAAAACTACTTAGTACCAGCTCGTAAACAATATGTTCATACCATCTTTAACGTGCCAACGTAATTCAGGGGAAGAAACAAATGTCCGTGAGAAAATTATTAAGCACGTAATGACAACTATTTTAAACGTTTTAAATAAAATTTGACTAGAATGTTGCTATCTCAAGTACAATTGGCAACTGTTCTGATAGCTTCTATGTTCAGATCCATAATCAAGCCAGATTTCTAAAGTTGTCAACCGCTCTGTAAAAAAACGGGTTCGGCTGTAGATAACAAGAAAAAACATATATAAATTAGGGTAGGGTATTACCTCATACATAAAATATGTGTCATTTATAAATTTCTCCATTCATTCTACATAACACTCCACAAATTCCATTATTTAATAGTACTCGAACTAGGACATGCATAAGATATTATCACAAACGGGTAATGAAAATCCAAATAAAACAAAAGTTAATGGAGAAGAGGAATATATAATATAACACAAAAAAATAGTGGATGTGTTGAGAAAGTTACAGTTAAAAATTTTGAGGAAGCACAACATTGGTATTATTGTTTAAAGTAATATTATCAATAATGCGACCAGAAAAGAGCAAGCAGGCCACGACATTCATCACAACATGAACCCAGATTTCAATATCTATTCCATCACATAAATTTTAACTTAAAAGTGAAAGCAGATGCATAATTAAATAAATATCCACAGAAAACCAGGTCAATATTTCTAACCTTTCAGTACCTTTTCCAAAGAAACATAGGATCCATGTTTTGGGGAGAGTAAATGGACAGGTAAAATTCATATTTTGGAACACAAAGTAAATCTGAATCAGAGAACGGTGAAACAGAAAGTATTTGATTTCAACCACACGACATTACTTTGCATGGATATCTGAGCACCTAGAAAGAGTAATAACAATAAAGACAGTAATCACCGTATACGCCCATGAATTCTGTCAGACCATAGCTCTTTCTCCTTTCTTATTCTCAAAATTTATCTCAAACATTTTAGCAAAATTCTGACCCAAACAATGTGAAGTTGCACCTTGCACACCACGCCCGGTGTTTGGAACAAGCCTGCCATATAGCAATTTTATATACAAAGAAAGGATCCCTTCAGGGATAGTTTGCACAGACTGTCCCAGAAGAGTAATATTGTATAATCTAATAGTATTGTAACCTCAACGGTTGTTGTATAGAGTCCCCCAGCAAACTTCTCATGCTCACTTTTTTTCCCCTTAATAACTGGAACAGCCAAGAACTCTTCATATATGCGTCTATAGAGTTCCAAAATGTCACGGACCTGAAAAGAATTGGACAAAAAGATTGTTAGTACGACAATGAACTACACCACCTTTGTTAGTGAAATATTTCTAGATGTAACAGTGCAGTCATATATAAAAACAGTAGAAAGCTTCATAACTTAATCCTGAATTGCAGATTCTGAGTACTATGGCAATGCTTTCAAACATACATACACAACCCAAAAAAAAGGAAAGAAAGAAAGAAAGAAAGGCATGATCATGTATACAACGGGTATAAATAGGCTAGCAAGAATATACCTCAATGTCTGCCTCTTCCTTGGTTGCAAAAGCAGTATGTCCTTCTTGCCAAAGAAATTCACGACTCCTGCATAATCACTAGACATCAACTACAAAGTAGAACAAGGCTCTCAGTAGACTTTCTTTCTTTCCACCAAATACCCATTTCGAAAAGATGAACCATTAAGAATAATTTCATGAATATTTTATATATATGTATCTGCTTGACCAACCTGGAGAAGCATTATATAGAGTCCAGAAATTAAGAGCAAAGAACTTTTCAAGATGACTTTAGACTATTAAGTACCTGATAAATGGGGTGGGGTTGCTGAACTCCCATCTCACAACATTACACCACTGATTAAGCCTCAGAGGCAAGTCTGGGTGCCCCCTAATCCATTTGGAAAAATATGGATACATAACAGTTTCACTAGTTGGACGGATTGCAATAGGATTCTCCATGTCATATTCTCCAGATTTGTTACCCATGCAACCTTGAAAGGAAGAACTAACAGTTAGACATTGATGACATGCCTGTCAAGCCCACAAGATCAGCATACAAGACTATAAAATGTCTTTCAGTTGCCTGCTGAATAGCACCAGAAGTCATGATAAAAGTTAGTATTAATTGATTGCAACATCATCAACTGAAGTGCCAGTCAAGTGGTTGCAAAAACAAGCACAAAAATAATAAACATGAGTCAAAGAAGAGAATGAAAAATCTCACTAAAATTGTTTTGATAAATATAAACTTCACATCAATGCTACTCTTTTTCAACAAACTTCAAAGTATACATCAGAATAAGAAAAGTCCTAGTTCACGAACAGGAGCCAAAATCAAAGTATTTACCTCGGGCGCAAACCCCTCTATATGGTCTTTCTCCTTCTGTAGGACATTTGAGGATACAAACAGGGGAAAGTAGCAGTTTTTTATTTTCATTTTCTTGATCTCAGCATCAAACGAGGTCTGCAAAATAAATTGCCACAAAGTTAACCACAAGGCATAACAAATGAAAATATTTGAAGAGAGACAAGCAAACAAAAGAGAAAATGTATTTAAAGTATACTTTCTGTAACACAACTATTTACTTATCATGTAACCGTTGTCATACTGGTGACTTTCATTCATCCAACAAACAAATTTACAAATCAAGAGAGAATATTATTATACTTGGGTGTTCAAAGGGTTTGTAAAATTTTATTTCTTTAGATGAATTGACTTTGACTTATCTTATATTTTATAGTGTGTTTGTTTGGAGGGCTTCTACAGAGATGGTAAATTTTGAAGAAACAAGAGACATTAGTACCTCTCCATCAACGATAACATCTATCATCCTTGGTGGGACAATGATGTCCTCAACAAATTTTGTCAATTTTGATTCAGCTGCCTGACAAAGCAAATAAGCATCTTATTATCATGGTATCTGAAGTAGTGATATAACATAAACGTAAGATTTAAATGTCCAAAATCCAAATGGTTGTTGCAAACATCTGAAATAATTAAATGCGTGATGATAGAAGCACAGGGATCATGAATTTCGACAAAAGTATGGTTAATAGTAGCTCCGGCACCACAAAATTTGGCACAGCACGGTCTAAGGGTCTTTGAAACTTTCTAGAAATCCCAGTTTCCTTCTTTAGAATTACTTTCTGTCATTGTCCTCAATTGCTTATGGATGTTTCCCTAACAACACCAACTGATTGATTTAGAGTTGCTCTTTTATATTTTGTACACTTTTTAGCTTCACTTTATATGCAGACAGACCATAAAACACAAAAAGACAAGTGCACTGATTTTCATTCAAGATGAAGCCTCATAAGATGGAATTTAAGATACATTCAACATGGAATACACTTCAAATGTTTTAATTTAATGTGTTTTATTCAGAATTATACATTCATGTAGCACATTCAACAAGAAAGATTACCATGATTAATGGCAAGCAAAAACAACGAGGTGCGATATTTCTAAACACTTTCTAACAAGCAATATATGTGTAAACAACTATAGATTCGTGGTTCGGTATTAAGCAAAAGGAGAGATCCTTAAAGTATTTAACATAATATTTAGTTCAAGACCATTCGTTAAACTGGGAGTGCATGACCATGCATCAATAGTTAAAATGTTTTATAAACCAAAGGAGTTTAGGGGAAATGAATTTTCATTCAGTAGTACCAGAAAACTGTTTTCATCATAAGGGGGGACATTAATAGCTTTTCTATATGTCCATGTGAAATCTCACTTCCTCGTCCTTAGATTTCCAAATATAGCCACTTACAATCAATGCACATCAAACTGTGAAAGAGCAGATAGCTGAACCACTAGTATATTTATTTGTCTGATAATTACATTATCTTTCATAATTCAGAGGAGATAAGGATTTTACCTTTCGATTCTTGAGCTTAAGCCCCATGTCCATAGATTTCTCTTGAAGAAACTTAATATCTGAGCATTGAACCAATTTCAGCCTACCAAACCAATACAAAGAAAATAGTTGTGAAATTCATAGAGAATAGTATAGCAACTCACAATAAGTAATTTACTAAAGCCAAGAAAACTGTGACTTAACAGCTTAACACACACAGATTGCACATCTCCACTGGGGTATTATAACATTTGATTCATAGTTTATATTCTTTAGCTCTGGTTGATAGTTTGTGAAATATTTCATGACACCCAGCTAAGTCTTCTTATGAACAGCTAAACAATAATGGAATATGGCATCCCATACCTGAAATCCACTGAGAACCTTTTCCATTTGCGATAGGATGATGTCACAATCATGAATTTGATCATGAAGAGAAACTAAATTGTCACTTTCTTTAATGTAATCCTGGCATCAAATAACAGATAGCAAATATCATGATAGGTAGGCCAAGCTCAAACACTAGAAACACATTCCTGTCCAAGCAGATCCTAAATGTTCCAGAAACCATCACTATAAGGGACAATTGACAGGCAACAAAATTGAACTTTCCAAAGCATTTCTCCTCTGGACCTATGACATAGCCATAAAAGAAAATCTACAACGGAACAGAAATTCAAGGAAGATAGTGAGACTGAGTGCCGGATCAGAACCTCAATGGATTCGAGTTCAGATTGCCGTAAATTGTTCTCCACATCCTTCGTATAGTCTCGCGATTTCGTTCCTTCAAGGCAGAGAGGAAAGTGAATATAATGAATCATTCAAATGATGAAATAGAAAAATGCAGTAGATTACAGCTTACAAACCAACCTCGTCAGCTTTGCAATCTTCGAGCTCTTGCTCCAATCCTTCCAATGAGACATCGTCACCAACCATGCTTTCTCCAGATCGCCTCCACTAGCGTGCGATCGATGCCGAAACAGACGAAGCACGGGGCTAAACACTACACGACGGCGGGGAGGGATCTGAAACGAATCGTCGATATCTATCGGCGTGCACTCCTTGCGACGGAAGAGGGTGATGAGGTTGAAGGAGACGGAGAGTTGGGGACTTCGATTGTAATTGATTTTTATAAGTGTTAGTAGAACGAAGGAGGTATCTCTTGAAATTTAAAAACCTTCAAATTTACCTCTCCGCCTCAACCACCTCTAGCATAAAAAAATAAAAATAAAAATAAAAATAAAATCCCAAGTTAATTTATATTTTAGAATTCACAACTAATTCTTAATATCTTTTGCAAATCATATATAAACGGCCCCATTTCGGACAAGTCTAAGTGGAGTAATATCTTTGTCGGGCTTTTGGCTAAGATCAATGATAGAGAAAGACTAGAGGGAGAAAGAGGTCGAGTATGAAAATGAGAAAGAGGTTCGGTGGGTGGTGCAGCGGACCGGCGGGCAGACAGGGCAGCCACTCCCTACCCTACCCCACCCCACCCCACCCCACCCCACTGCTGATTAAAAGTGCTCCACTCTCCAGTAGTCCCACTGAGCTCCCAAACAGCCCCTTTTGATTCGGATCGCTTTTCTTCTCCATCTCTGCACGGCACCCCTCGGCCATTCCCCATGGCCGCCGCCCAAGAGTCCTTCATATACAGCTTCGTCGCACGTGGCACCGTAGTCCTCGCCGAGTACACCGAATTCACCGGCAACTTCCCCGCCATTGCCGCCCAGTGCCTGCACCGCCTTCCTTCCGCCAACAACAAGTTCACTTACAAATGCGATCACCACATTTTCAATTTCCTGCTCGAGGACGGCTATGGTATCGTATCGTATCTACTTTTCAATTTCCCATACTTGGAGTTGTTTATCGATCTTCGTTAATGTCGATTTTGAGTGGAAATTGGAGTTGATTTTTATTGGATCTGCGAACCTTTATTGCTTCTGTTCTTATACGATTCCTGCAGTTCAGTTAGTCGAGTGTTCACTTCACTTAATCAATTCCATATATTCATTCGATTTCCCCTTTTCACTCTGCTTTGGATTTGCTTTTTATTGCTTCCTTATGGCTGGGTAAGAATTAGGGTTTTGGATCTTTAGTGAGAAAGTTGTTTTAGCCTCAGAAAAGTGAGAATTCCCATTCACATTCAAACTGGATAAATCATGCTTTCTTCTCGGTTGGAATGTTCATATTTTGGGCTCTTAACAATGAAATGAACTGATCATAAATCTGTATCCTTGTGAACTTAATTATGGTGCTACTATATTCTGAATTAATAACCTCTTCTAGCTATTGCTTAGGACTTTTCAATAAGAAATGTGTAGTTGAAGATATGTAGTTTTGACTGATATAGTGTTATGCTAAATTGTAGGTTTGAACTGTCCATATCAAAAATGTTTTTTTTGAAGGAATAAGGACTCTAAGACCCTTAATATTAGGATTTCAGTGGTCATGTGGTGTGATAGGTTTTATTATAACCTCGATTTTTATCATTTTTTCTGATAGGGTAGTTTCTAATGTCCCCTTGGAACTTTGGAAGCCTTAAGAAGCATCAGTACTTGAATGATGTCATTGCAATATAGAGTAGATATAGAGATTGTTTACTCCATTTTCCAAGGTATTCGATTTAATTAGAGTTCGTAGTCGATCAAGCAGCCAATCTGAGCTCAATTACTTTTGTGAAAGTTGATGTCCCGAGCTCGTGTTGTGAGATGAAAGCTTGTATAGCCATAAACAAATAACTAGCAAGTTATGATCATCAACAACATAATGAGCTTTGATCCACAGTGGGTTCGTATATGTTGGACACACCTTGTTTAGTTGTGTTTTGGAGTATTAAAAAAAACTGAATTGTGTTGTAGTTGGAACAGAACATAAGTCGTTTGATTTTCTTTTCATCCGTCAGTGCTACTCCATTTTCTGTTTAATGCTCTATCAGTTGTCTTTCTAGGATTTAGCTGTATGTTACATAATTTGGTCAGCAAACAGGGATTAATAATGATATGTTATCGATTAAATCCAACCCTTCTTAGGAATCTTGCAATAGTACCATAATGTTTCTTCCTACTGTCGCTCTCGCCTCCTCATTTAACACCATTTTCTCGAATCCCACAGCTTATTGTGTCGTTGCCAAAGAATCCGTGGGGAAGCAGATCTCAATCGCATTCTTGGAACGGATCAAAGCCGATTTCAAGAAAAGATACGGTGGTGGCAAAGCAGACACAGCTATTGCCAAGAGCCTCAACAAAGAATTCGGGTACCTCAATTTCCGGGAACCAAAATCCATTACTAATTTTGTGGCATTTAAACGGCTTTAACGAATTCATTTCATTACAGGCCACTGATGAAAGAACACATGCAGTACATAATTGATCATGCAGATGAAATCGAAAAACTACTTAAGGTCAAGGCCCAAGTCTCCGAAGTCAAAAGCATTATGCTGGAGAACATAGACAAGGTACGGCACATGAATTATCATAAAAAAAAACAACTTTACTCGACTTCTTGAGTTTATAATTTCTTACAATTTTTTCATCTTACACACACACTTTCCAGACCATAGAAAGAGGCGAAAACTTAACCATTCTCAATGACAAGGCTACAGACCTCCGTGAGTCCGTAAGTGATTAAAATAACACCCCTACGGCTATATCCTCTTCAGCTTCATTTATTTGTTTGTTTTTCGTTAGTTGATGCTTTTATCATTGTCCGTTAAGGCGCAAGAATTCAGGAAAAAGGGGACACAGATACGGCGAAAAATGTGGTATCAGAATATGAAGATAAAATTGGTGGTGCTCGGAATCCTCCTCCTCCTCATCCTTGTGATATGGCTGTCGGTTTGCCATGGCTTCGACTGCACCAACTAGAACCTTCCGCTAACTTCGATCTCAACTCGATTCAGATAATTTGAAGGGCAGCCATACTTTCTCCTACTTACCTGCAAATTCCTATGTGATTTTACTTCTCTTAGCTTCTCCTATATCTGCTGTTTGCTTATTTATTACTAGTACATTGTTATTACTATTTTTAAAGGTTCTGTATTGTAAGATAGATAGGAAAACATTATTTTTTAATGTACAAAAACATGGTTTGATTGATTGGCTTTTTAAACACATCTTTATTCTATATACCAGTTACAATAATATATTTTGTTTCTTGAAGGGAGATTAGTTGGTTGTATTATATGTAAAGATTTTTTTTTTTTCCTTATATTTATTTTGATGTGGTAATATTGATGTAAATAAATAAATATAAGTTTGAGAGTATTTATAATATATAATATAGTTAAATTTACAATATGAAATGATTTGAAGATTTTTTTTATTATTAGGTGATATATAAAGAATTATATAACTAATATAAAAATAATAAGATGTTTAATATATTAATATTTTTTTGGAGATATGTAATTTTTTTTCTTTTTTACAAAACAAGCAAACCTAAATAGTTTGTCATTAAACAGATCAAAATAACAATCTATATATATATATATATATATGTGATTATTGCATAAACTAGGAGTATAATTTATTTTTTATTAACATTAAAAAAAAAAAGTTACTTTTATGATTTACGTGGTATTTTTATTTTCAAAAAATTATATAAAAAATAAAAATAAAACCCCTCTATGTTCTGTTACTTATTTACTTATATTTATATATATTACAACAAATTAAATTAAAATTCAAAGTTAAACTTATACTTGAACTAGAAAACAAAATAGGAAACAAAGACACGCCAAATGTTACTATTAATAATAATGAACTCCGGCGACTAATTCAACACCAAATCTGTGATTCCGAGGAGGAGGATATACCACGTATCGGTATTCTTCTATTCCTCCGGCCGCCGGCGGAGGGTACACGTACGGCGCTCCTCCTCCTAGCCCTGGCGGCGTATCATCTCCAGCAATATCCGCCGCCCTAACGCCTGACTGTGACAGAATCCGCCGATGCTCCACCGCCGGAAACAATGAACGGAAATTCAGTTCCCCATAAATCTGCACCGCCGATGGATACATCCCATTGGAAATTAATTCCGCCGGCGCCGGAGGATACACCGAATCGGATTGTGATTCCGGCGCCGGAATTTCCTCATAGAGCTTCCCCAACGGTGGATAGATCGATTTGAGATCCATTTCTATCGCCGGATACAAACTGGATTTAGTCTCCGCCGGCGCCGACGAATCGGATTTTGCAGTCTTAGAGAAAAATTTATAAGAAAAGGTGAGGTGACCTTTAGGCCTGCCGGAAGGTTTGGTGACTTGGTAAGTGACAAACCTTCTTCCGCCATTGCCCCCGGATTCGAGAAGCTCTTTAACGGAGACGTGGACTTCGCCGACGTTCTTATCGCCCAAAGCTCGCTCGCAAACGAGCTTGAAATCAAGCGTGAGTCGATCCTGCCGCAGCGCCGCCTCGTCCACGGCGAATTTGATCGGAAAATCCCAGGTGGGGTTGGAGCCGCCGTCGCGATCGGGCGGCGTTTTAACGGATGTGTTGACTGAATTATTATCTCCGGTGGAGATGGAAACAAGTGCGTAGACCTCCATTTTTGAAACGAGGTTAACTTTCTTCAAACCGGTGGCGCATCGGAGAGTGATTTCCAGAGCCGTCTCCGCCACCGCCGCGTCGGCCATTTTTGGGTAGAGAAGACAGGCACAGACAGAGAGAGACTGGTGGAATATTCGTATTCATAATGATGACTATAATATAGGAGTACTCCATAATGCAATTAAATTAATTAATTCATTAATGAATAATGCTGTTTGTGTTGAGTTTTTCAAATGGAGCGTTGACTGATGGAATATCGTAGTTGACCGTTAACATTGCATTGATGTAATGTTAATGAATTATACCAGAATACAACTATACATCCAAAGCATCTGGCAGTTACAAATTCACTGGAACTCATTCTATATTTCTATACCTCCCTCCCACAACAAAATCAGTATTATTTTGTTTGCTTTTTTATAACTAGATTTTTTAATATTAATATTCTCGGTCAAATTTAACTTTTACGTCATTATACTTAATATAATTTTTTTTATTAGCATTATAAACATTAATGAAAGTATTTTTACAATTTTTTTTTAATTTGTACTATATTTTGATATTATAATTAATATTCAAAGATCAACGTGAAAAAAAGTAAATGAAATTCTTAGAGCGGGACAGAGGTAATATTATATTAATTTATAATAAAAAAGACAAAAATACAGGTGTAATATAGAAGTAATGGTACCTGTGTAATAATTAGTACAATAACTAAGTTAGTGTTATGAGAAAACGAGAAAAAAAAAAAAAAACAAATAAAGAACACAAAAATTTTACGTGATTGGTGACGGGGTGTCAACCTACGTCTACGGGCAGGAACCGAAGAAATTTTATTATACTGATTCAGAGAGTTACAATTATGTCGTACGGCTAGGAACTATAGGTATCTATTTATAAACACCCCGAAACACCTTAAACTCTAAATTTATTTTTTATTAATTAGAATAAGTACAAAAGTAACCCTCCTAATTGAAACAACATTTTCGCTTTGATTTCGGATTAGGTAGACTGCTAAATCCAAGTCACATTTCAACAATTAAAATATAAATATAGTATTTTTATTTTGAAATGAACAAAAAAAAATTTAAAAGTAATATCATTCTTACAGAAATGAGGAATTATTATAATTTTTACATTTAATAAATTAATTTTTATATAAATAATTTATAAATATAATTTAATCATTTTTTATATATTATAATCATAACTTTACACGTAAAAATATTTACTTCATAATATAAATTGTAGAATAAAATTGTACTTACCCTATTTGTTATCTATTCAAAATATTTTTTTTACTATTTTCATCTATATTTCAATGTATATTTTTTTTTTAAAAAAAGATTAATCATAAAAATATCATTAATTTTATTTAAATTACAAAAATATTATTTCATTCGTTCCTTAGCCATCTATTTATTTTTTTTATTTTGGTTCGTCTCGTAACAAAGTATCAATTTATTTTTTAATAAGGTTAATTTAGTCATTTTACCTTTATTTCTACTTTATCTCAATGTAATACTAGCATTTCTAAAACTCCATAAATAAACAAATGAATATATAGATATGAGACGAAAAAAGTATTACATATACAATTACTTCATAAATTAAATTAAAGACAAAAATAAAAAAAAAATTAAAAAAATTTAAACATTTCTTGATTTGAACGGGAGGAAGCATTTTATATAATCAATTTTATTTAATATATTGAATATAATATTTATATTAAAAAAATACATAATACAGTCTAACTCCTCCACGTTGAAGAAAGAGAATAAGAACAATTCCTGCTTTTGCATAGGAATGGTTCTAGATTTTTATTTATTCATTATTATTTTTAAATTTATTAGGTGCTGTAATATGACTGATATAACATTTTTCAAAATTAATATTTAAAATTTAATGTAGTTATATATATGTTAACTAATAAAAATTAAGATGTAACATGATGGCGAAACTTTTATCCTATAACCCGCGGGTCCGACGATCCCTTTTGAGAAAATTTAGACTCAAAATGTTTGTACTTTGTAATTTCATTTTCTAAAAGTAAACAAATCAAAACTTTATTTTACGTATTATATTATATTCAAGATTCGCATTGTCCATATAATATTAAAAGTTTATTATTCAAACATCATAATGGTATTCATTATACTCTCTCTATCTCACAAGAAGCATAATATTCTTTATTTTCGTTCTCCTGTTGGATTTTTTGATCCAATTACATTCATCCAAAATAAGACACACACTTTAATTATGCAGTCTACTTAAACCTTGGCCCGGGCTGCGACCCACACCCGTCGACAGTGGCGGAATTAAAATATTAACAGAGGGGGGCAAAATTTTTAAATTTACAAAATAATTTTTTATTTTTAAAATAATACTACTATCATCCACATAATAATTTTATATTTATTTTTTGCATACTAATATTAAATATTAATTATTACATCAAATATAGTCTAAATAAAAAAAATAATATTTTTTATTAGTAAATATTGATATATTATATTTTAAAAAAAAAACTAATGTACTTTCTTATTAAAAAAAAAAATCAACACTCTGATGTTTTTATTATATTTTTATTTATTTTAAATATTTTCTATAGATTATATATATATTATCTTTTTAAAAATAAAAAATTTAATAAAATAGAGTAAAAGTGGAGTTGGGGTGGGGCAACCCCTTAATAGGTCCGCCACTGCCCGTCAATCCGTGCCCGTGACCCCGCTTAGCCTGAACCGCTTACACACTCTTTGCTGCAACCCGTAATCACTTATCTGACCCGCGTCCGTGACCCACTTAGGATTCGCATCCCTTTGCTAGACGCGATCTGAATCATCCATTCTAAGTCTTTGATCTTGGCCGTCCATTCCTTTTGATCCCACCTATATAGAGAGGAAAGATTAGGCGCAGCTCTCATTTTTCCTTCTTTCACACTCTCTCGCTCTAACTCACCCACTCTCTAGTCTCTCTCTCTTGACCTCTCTATTCATCATCTCCCACGACTTTTTCTGGCAGTTCACGGCGGCGTCTTCCTCCTGTAACTTGTGGAATTCCTGTGGCGCATTTTTTACCCCCTGTTTTGTTGTCTGTAGTCGCAAAGGGTTCGTTCAACATTTAGGCGTTTGTATTTGTTTTGTTTCGTCTTGTATGTTCTTAAGAGGGTTCGATATGTGTGAGTTGTGTAAGTTTTGGGCCGGTTATAAGTGTGTAGTCGCTAGTTAGGTGTTTTTTGTGTGTCGATTTACGGTTCGAGTTGATTAGGGGCTGAGCCTAACCAAAACTAGTGCAATACTTTTGTTTTTACTCGATTTCATTAATAAAACTTTAGATTCGTTTATTATTTTATAATAACAGTCCCAGAATAAAGATACAATTTTCTAACTATAAATCAATATAACGTCATTGCTTTTATATTACACAATCTAATAGACCGATATTTATCTTTTTCACTATAAATCAATATAATAACAATATTAAAAAACATATCTGCAAAAAACAAATTGTATTCTTTTTGCGAGAAAGAGTATCATTTTTTGTCATTTAACCACAAGATATTTATTATTATTATTATTATTTTACTTTTTGTAAATGTAACTTAGCTATACATTATAAATATATTTAAATTTATGTTTGGGGTAAATTGCAAAATATTTAATTATATTTTATTATAAATGTACGAAATATCTTATATTTTTATGTGAATTTTTTTTGTGCAAGTACAAAACATCGAGAGGGGACCCTCGACATATCTTCTCCCTGCCTCACACACACCCATGTATAGATACATGGATGTGTATCTATAAAGTTAGACTTTATGCATGGGTATGTGATGATACTGAGAGTGAGGCAGGAATGAGTGATGTTGAAGATCCCTCCCCAAAACACCCTTTCTCCAAACACTCAAGTTGTTAGTAAATAGGCCTCTAGCTATATTATACAAATAAATTTGGTGAAGTGCTTTAAATATCAGAAAAAAATTTAAATTGATTAACAAAATTAAGTTACTGTTCTAGGTGCTCTTAATTTCTAAAGTATTAAATTGAATTAAAGAATGAGGTAAAAGCTCTAATAATATTATATTGTAAAGTTTTTATTTTTATTGACATCTCACATGAAAATGGGACCAGAAACCTTAGAACTACAAAACTGCAAAACTCCACTACTAATGCAAAATGGTGTTTCCACTCCTCCAATAAAGGTTTTCAATGTACTTTTTTAACTGAACCATAACTCCAAAAGGTTAAGAATTGATTTATAAAGTGTAGCCAGTCTGCCTGCCCAACCCAATATAATAACTGAAAAAATTAATTTTGGTCCAATATAATTAAAATTGATCAATTTTGGTCTCAATATAAAAAATTATCAATTTTAATTTCATTATAAATCATTTGAATCAGTTATGGTCAAATAATAAATAATTTCAATCAAAATTGATACGTCAGCCGTGTATAATTGTACATAACCGTGTATTTTTCAAGTCAAGTGCCACGTTAACCCCGTTACGACAACGTCACCAATTTCGGTTAATTTTTTAATGGTGAGACCAAAATTAATTGAAAATGTTTACAATAGAATTAAAATTGATAAGTTTTTTTTTTTTATAGAGAATAAAAATGATATTTTCTCTAATAATAATAATAATAATTCGAATAAAAATAAAAATAATAATAATGATAATAATAATAAACAATATTACGTAATTGACTGGCTAATTGACTTCGAGAGGAAAACGATATCGTACCCAACGGCATACAATACAATAGACTTGACTCGAGACCCAAATTTGTTTGATTTTTATTAGAACTTGTAACTTAAATTATACATATTCTGTTAAAAGAATATATATATATATATATTATATTAGAGAGATTAATTATAATTTAAAAATAAAACTAAAAGAAACCCTTGTTAGCTCACTGACTAATTAATTCCTCATCTTAACAATCAGCCTGCTTTATGATCTTTTATTCAATAATCAATACAACATTCATTCATTGTTTTCTCAGACATTTTCACCCAAAAACATTGCTCCAATATATCAGATCCTCATCCATAAAAATTAGATTAAAAAAAAAAAAAAAATGTAAAAACTAACAAATGAATAAGAAAAATAAAATAAAATAAACCTCTCTCAGCTGATGTAGTATCATTCTTCAGCCTTTTTCCTTTTAGTGTCATCCTCTGGTGGCAGAGAGACAAACTGGAGAATTTTCTCAACTTGTGCAGCATCGACGCTGAATAGTTGCGCGATCTGGGCAACATTCATCGGGCCATCATGGTCGTCGGACTTGCCCTGGTACAGGAGGATGACTTGGCGGATCTGTGCCACATTCAGGGTGCCGGGGGGAGCTGGCCTGTCCTCGAACCTCACGGAATCCACAGTCGTGTTCCTCAGTTTAGGCAACGGCCTTTTGTACTTGTTCACCACAAAGCCCTGTAAAAACAGACCACTAAGATATCGAATAGAGAATTGCAATGGCAATAAGGAGAAGGAATCAATTCGCCAAAGGCAATAATTTTGAATAACTGGATTCGATTGAATAGTTTTGTTAAATATTATCTTTTGTGTTTGTTAGAATAAAGCCCAGCTACACTTTTCCAGCAAGCAATATAAATAGCAGTCCTGATGTAAAATGAATTAATTAATCAGAAAAACCAATCTAATACTCTACATGCTCTGCTGTCCCATTTAATAATACTTCAAAAATATTAGCTGCAGCAAATAAAGGGTTTCCAAGGCTATTAAGACAGTTGTGATTGATAAAAAAATATCTATCGCCCCAAAGATTAACTTTTGTTGAATGTCTATACCCAGAAACTTTCTCTGAGGCTCACACACTCCCACTCTCATGATATTACTTCTATAGAAACTTGATACTTTGTTTAGTTGTTATTACTCTCCACCCAAAATCACATACACAATCACCTAATCTATCAAACATAATTTCACCTAAATTATTCTTCTGTTGCACATAGAAATTATAAAAAATCAAAGTTAATGATCAAAATTAATTTTACAACTTCATTATTATTCCTATAGTAGATTTCGTATCTTATAATTATATAAATAATCGAATTAAATACAGCCATTGGTATTCATCAGACAGAAAGAAGTGTAACTTAGATATCAAAAGTCAAAACTATAACAAAAAACAATTGAATCTATTTAGGCCTTACGATTTTAATTTTTTTTCCCCCGGAAGTGGGTTTTAAAGAAAATAACTCAAGGTACTCATTAGGTAATCATTCGTTAAAGGCAAAGGGGTCACCACATTTCAAATTTCATTTAACAGATACAAAAAGATTTTTGTCAACCAACACACACATAATGCTTTTTAGATGTTACTAGGTTACTTCTAGAAGAAGGCTGTTATCAAAACAACTACATGTATCCCTTAGATAGTCATTCAATATCCGCAAAGGGATAACAACTATATTACAGAGTCCATTTAACAGCTACAACAATATTTGTAAAACATTTTCCATTCATGCTGCCTCCTGGATCAACTAAACAAAAATATAATGCATAAATAATGCTTTGTAAGCTTTTTTGAATAACATGAGATCAATTTATAGATGTTATATTTATGCTGCAAAGAGTATAAAGCTTGTAGTTTTTAATTCCATTTAAGTTTATGACATTATTAAAAAAAAGAGGTAAAAGCTTGATAAATGATACCATTACCTCACCCATTTCAAGAGGCCCTCCTGGCTTTGACTGTATTCTGCCAGACATTTGGTTAAGCATAGCATCAAACTGTGGATCTCGATTCTCAAGCACATTGTCCAAGTTTACTCTTGATGCACTCTCTTTAAAAAGTTGAACAAAAACATATATTACTATTGAGAATTTTTAGGAAGAAACAAAATCTAAATTTCCACAACTTGAGGATGCATAGACGACATTAGCTCTTTTCAGAAAGACAAAACTCAGCAAAATTATGTCTTGCAAATCCATACAGAGGCATACATAAATTATATATATAACACCAAAGCTTCTCCATAACAAGAAACAACTAAACATAGTTTTAGCATTTACCTATAATCGCATAAATAGGCTTGTAAAGCTTTAGGGTGTGTTCTTTTTGTGTTTTTTTTTTTTTACACACGTTTTCCCAAAAAGATTAATACATTACTCACATTCATTATTTTTATATTACCTACACAATTCTCTATACCTCAAATAAAAAAATAACCCTTTAAACTATTTCACAAAACAAACACACCCTCAGTTGTGCTGATTTGTTGTCTTTATCACAAACGTTCTTTCAAAAAATAAACTGAACTGAAAAAAGTGTTTTGCTTCACCAAGTAAACAAATGGGCGTGCACTGATATAACTACCCTTGCAAATTACATGAACCCTCAGTATAAAACGAGTTGATTTTAGGCAAACGTCTTAAACTAATTTGTGAACAAACTGTCTGTTTTAAACAAATCGACCACTAACACAAATACATATGCTGCCAATTTATTTTTCTTAACAAATCAAACACAAACAATGATTATCTGCTCAATGAACAGTTAATATTGATACGTTCGGTTTCATAAAGATTCTCTCAAAACAAAAAAGAAACTAAACTGAAACAAGTATTTTTCTTAACCAAGGAAACAAATGAACTTGAAGCAATGTAAATACCCTTGCAAATAGCGGCAACATGGACTTATTGACAATTACAAAAATTGTGAGGTTATACTTTATTGAAGAAATAGCATATGAATTATGCAGACTGTAGTTAACACATATTTCAACTTTGAATTGAAAATCTAAGCATAGTTCACAATAAAGATGTCTTGTCCAACTATCTGAACTCATTCGCTAACAAACTATTTGTTTTTAACAAATTGAACATAAGCACAAATTTGATACTGAGAGTTTCTATTTTTCTTTAACAAATCAAACACAACATATAATATTTTGTGTTCAATAAATAATTGATCAACATATCCAATTGGTTAGACGAATTGAACTCAAACCTAACATTTTCAAATCCTTTACAAGTTAACTATAAAGAGAATCTCCTTTATTTTACATAAAGCTCTAAATGCCATAGCCTGATCATGAACAACATATAACCCTAACATTCCACCAACAATCATTCTGGATTTTTAATTCCATTGTCATGTGCAAGAAATTTACTTGTTCTAAATCCAGAGAAAAATTCGAATTATGATCTTACTCAAGCTTAGGAGTCCCAATTTTCAAATTTTTATTTCTAAAATCTCAAACCCTAAATTCGCGCCGCTAAAAAAATTATTTCAAAAGCCAACAGATATCTTTTTCACGTATTAGAGAACACAACCGCGTGCGAGAAGACGCATTACCAGAGCCAGAAGGGGCACCTTCACCGGGAAGTTTCTCAGCGGGGACAACCGTCTGCGGCGGTGGCGGTCTCCGGCCAGCAAGTTTATCTGATTGCACGGCAGCGTCAACTCTAGAGCCGCCCATCCTTCCAGTTGCTCGACGCAATGCCTGACCCATTATTCCTCAAATTGAATTCAAAGCCTCTGGTTCCCCCCTGATTTCCTGGCGTATCCCCAAAAGCAAAGTCGTAAAAATTCGATTCCAGTACACGAATGGAAAAGTGGTTATGCAGTGTCGAAATTATGAGGAGATCGAAGAAATTCTTGAGGTAGATGGAGCTGGAAGTTGGACGCGTTGTTTCGACTTCGAACGGTGACAGTGCCAAATGCCAATGATGTTTTGGCTCAACGTGGACTGCTCTGCTCTATTCGTATTCGATTCGTTAGGCTCTGTGTTTGGTTACTGCTTGAAGTCAAATTTGCATTATGTTTTTTGTTTTGTGAAATTATTTCAGACAAAATATATATTGTTGAAACGTGATTTGATTTAGCTGTCTATCAGACCCTAAACTAAAGCGAAAGAGCTGTTTCAATTGGCAGGGTTGCTTTTGGGCTTATCCTAATTAATAACAAATGGACTTAGGGTTTAGGGTGTTTTAGGGTGCTTATAAATAGACAACTATGGTTCTTAGTCGGATGACATATTGTAAATCTCTGAATCAGTATAATAAAATCTCTCCGGTTCCTTCCCGTGGACGTAGGTTGACATACCGTCACCAAACCACGTAAAACCCCTGTGTTCTTTATTTGTTTTCTTTCTCGTTTTCTTATAACAAGTGGTATCAGAGCCATATCTCATTGATTGAAGATGTCCCCGTATAAGTTTGATCTGGAGAAGTTTAATGGGTCGAATGACTTCACGCTCTGGAAGGTCAAGATGACGGCACTTCTGGTTCAACAAGGATGTGCGGCTGCGTTGGAGGGAGAAGACAAGTTTCCTAAAGACACAAAGGAGGAGGTAAATAAGGAGATTTTGGCAAGGGCTCATTCCGCGATCTTGCTGTCAGTTACTGATGAGGTGTTACGGGAGGTTGTAGATCAGACAACGGCTTTTGGGTCATGGAATAAACTGTGTGAGAAGTACCAAAACAACTCTCTCACGAACAGGCTATATCAGAAGCAACGTCTTTACACCCTCCGGATGTCTGAAAGTACTCAAGTAAAGGATCATCTTGATACCTTTAACCGTATCATTCTTGATCTTCAAGGAATTGAGGTTAAAGTAGATGATGAAGATCAAGCCCTAATTTTATTGTGTTCACTACCTGGTTCATATGAGAATTTTGTAGATACTATGCTATATGGTAGAACTACAATTTCTGTTAATGATGTGAAAGATGCCCTTATGTCCAAAGTTTGAAAAGAAAGGTTTCTCTGGAAGAGGGTTCGGGTTCAGGTCTGTTTGCAGGTAAGGGAAGACCACAGGAGAGGGGTAGCGGGAATGAGAGGTCGCATTCAAAATCAAAATCCTCTAGCAAAGTTAAGTGTTATCTTTGCAAGGAGAAAGGGCACGTAAAAAGGGATTGTCCACAAAAGAAGGGAAATACAAAAGTTGATTCTAGTAACAGTGGCAGCAGTGCTGCTGTGGTACAAGACAGATCTGATGATGGAGACTTTGGTGAAGTTCTGACAGCGTGTAGTGCTAGTACTGCTGATTCCTGGATTATGGATACCGGTGCTTCTCACCATATGACGTTCTCTCGTGATCTACTCACTTTTTTTAAGGAGTGGAATGGAACGGTGAAGTTAGGTGATGATGGGGTTTTAGCCATAAAAGGGAGCGGGGTAGTGCAGATAAAATTGCATGACGGTACTGTCAGGAAATTTGACTGTTGGTATGTTCCTGAACTCAGAAAGAATTTGATTTCTCTTGGCACCTTAGCCAAGAATGGTTTAAAATATCATGGTGAAGGTGAGTGGGTGAAAGTCCTGAAAGGTGCGCTGGTAATGATGAAGGGAAAACTGCAGCATGGAATTTATTTTCTACAGGGCAGTTCAGTGATAGGAACGGCGGCGGTATCCCAGTCCTTGGATAAACATGATGACAGGACAAATTTGTGGCACCGGCGATTAGGTCACATGAGTGAGCTAGGGTTGTCTGTGTTGAGCAAGCAGGGTTTATTTGGTGGGGATGTGATACGTAAAATTCAATTCTGTGAGGCTTGTGTAAAAAGGAAGCAACGCAGGGTGAGGTTTAGTACCGGTCATCACACTTCAAAAGAAATTCTGAAGTATGTTCATTCAAATCTATGGTGTCCTTCTCCGGTGAAATCGCAGGGCGAGTGTTCTTACTTTGTCACTTTCATAGATGATTATTCGAGAAAAGTCTAGTTGTACTTTCTAAAGACTAAAGATGAGGTGTTTGGGAAGTTCAAGGAGTGGAAGACCATGGTTGAAAAATGGACGAGTAAACAGGTCAAGACTCTAAGAACTGATAATGGGTTGGAGTTCTGCAACGCTCCATTTGATGATTTCTGCAAGAAAGAAGGTATAGTGAGGCACCGCACTGTACGACACACACCACAGCAAAATGGAGTTGCAGAGCGAATAAACCAAACCCTCATGGCGCGTGCTAGGTGTATGCGCATATTTGCTGGCTTGTCTAAGCAATTCTGGGCTGAAGTAGTAAACACTGCTAGCTATTTGGTTAATAGATCTCCATCAACTGCAATTGACTTAAAGACTCCTCAAGAGGTATGGTCGGGTAAACCCTTTGATTACTCTAATATAAGAATATTTGGATGCCCTGCATACGCTTATGTGAATGATGGTAAGCTGGAGCCGAGGGCGGTAAAATGCATATTTCTAGGGTATGCAACAGGAGTAAAAGGTTATCGACTGTGGTGTACAGAATGTAAAAATCCTGGTAAATTTCTTATTAGCAGAGATGTAACCTTTGATGAATCTGCTATGCTTGATCAGAGTAGAGGTTGCGAAAGTATTGCAGGTACAAAACATTGTGGTGCTAACCAGAGGGTGGAGTTTGAGACTCCTGACAGAGTTGTGTTAGAGGAAGAGCAGCAGGATAATACTATTGATCAATCCGATCAACCAGATCAGTCAAAACCTCAAGGGAAACCGGTTGAAGGGGAAGCTGATGACGTTGGTACTGGGGTTGAAGATTCCATAGCAGCAAGAAAGGGAAAGAGAAATATTCAGAAACCAGCTAGGTTTGCAAGATGTGTTAATACGTTTGACATGAATTCTATTGTTTATGCACTAGCGGTTGGTGATGATCTTGGCTCTGATGAGCCAAAGACATATAAAGAAGCTGTGGCGAGTAAATATGCAAAAACCTGGATTATGGCAATGAATGAAGAGATGCAGTCTCTTGAAAAGAACAAGACTTGGGATCTTGTTGCACTACCAAAAGGGGTGAAGCCAGTGGGATGCAAGTGGATCTTTAAAAGAAATGAGGGAATTCCTGGTGTTGAACCTGCTAGGTTCAAGGCGAGACTGGTGGCAAAAGGGTTTTCACAGAAGGAATGAATCGATTACCATGAAGTCTTTTCTCATGTGGTGAAACACAAAACCATTCGGGTTCTTTTGGAAATGGTGGGTGCTTTTGATCTGGAGCTGGAGCAGCTTGATGTAAAAACAACATTCCTTCATGGTAATCTAGAAGAACAGATTTACATGTCTCAACCGGAGGGGTTCTACGGTTCTAAAGGGGACCAGGTATGCTTGTTAAAGAAATCTCTGTATGGCTTGAAGCAGTCTCCGAGGCAATGGTACAAGAGATTTGACTCATTCATGGTGTCTAATGGTTATACTCGTAATCAGTTTGATAACTGTGTTTACTCGAAGAAAGTTTCTACTGATTCCTTTGTGTATCTGCTGTTGTATGTGGATGATATGTTAATTGCAGCTAAAAACATCGCTGTAATTAATGACTTGAAGGCTCTACTAAAGGGTGAGTTTGAGATGAAGGATTTGGGTGCGGCAAAGAAAATACTTGGTATGGAGATCTGGCGTGATAGAGAAGCAAGACGGCTATGGGTTTCTCAAGAAAAGTATATTGAGAAAGTTTTGCAGGCATTCTCTGTTGATCAGTCCAAACCGGTAAGTACCCCTTTGGTGGCACACTTTAAACTTGATCGAAGCACTATACCGGCTACAGATGAAGAGGTTAATTACATGAAGACGGTTCCATATTCAAGTGCAGTTGGAAGTCTTATGTATGCGATGGTATGTACGAGACCGGATCTCGCTTATGCGGTTAGTGTGGTGAGCAGGTTTATGGCTAATCCGGGTAAAGCTCACTGGGGAGCTGTAAAGTGGATCTTGCAATATTTGAAAAGAGCGTCTGATATTTGTCTGGTATATGATGATAAAGGCCATGGTGATGGTCTTGTTGGCTATGCAGACTCTGATTACGGATGTGACTTGGTGAAACGAAGATCACTAACTTGTTTTATCTTCACTCTGTTTGGATGTGCAGTCAGTTGGAAGTCTACTTTACAACCTACGGTTGCACTGTCGACGACTGAGGCGGAATACATGTCAATGACTGAAGGTATTAAAGAGGGTATCTGGTTACATGGTCTGGTGCAGAGTTTGGGTCTGAAGGTGGAGAAACCGGTGTTATTCGGTGATAGTCAAAGTGCTTTGAGTTTGGCTAAAAACCCAGTGTATCATGAGAGAACCAAACATATTGATGTAAGGTTGAATTTTATCCGTGATGTTCTGGAGGAAGACAAGTTTTCTATTCAGAAAATAGCTACATAACACAATCTAGCTGATATGTTGACAAAGGCGCTATCGACGGAGAAGTTTGAGCACTGCTTGAACTTGGTGAATATTCGCAGGAGGTAAAGCCCTCTTGGGGCATCTGGCAGGAAGGAGACGACTGAGAGATACTGACGAACCTTTGGCGGCTGGAGAAACTTCAAGTCAAGGTGGAGATTGTTGAAACGTGACTTGGATTTAGCGGTCTACCCGACCCTAAACCAAAGCGAAAGAGCTGTTTCAATTGGCAGGGTTCCTTTTGGGCTTATCCTAATTAATAACAAATGAACTTAGGGTTTAGGGTGTTTTGGGGTGCTTATAAATAGACAACTATGGTTCTTAGTCGGATGACATATTGTAAATTTCTGAATCAGTATAATAAAATCTCTCCGGTTCCTGCCCGTGGACGTAGGTTGACATACCGTCATCAAACCACGTAAAACCTCTGTGTTCTTTATTTGCTTTCTTTCTCGTTTTCTCATAATATATATATATATATTGTAAAATATAAAAAATTATATAATTAATATAAAATAATAAAAATAAGTAATATATTACTTTTTTGAGAAATACTATATAGCACATAGCAAAAAGAAATTGTGTTTAAGCTTTCAAAATAGATTTGAAAATTTTGGGATTGTTTTTGGGCCAGTACGTCTATGAACCGAGCCGACGGTGCCTAACCGATTTGATTTATTAAAATTAATTTTTAAAATTAAATTGTTTTTATATGTATATTAACTAATAAAAATGTAACAAAATTTAAAGAATGACTTAATTGTAGAAGTTTTGATTTATTTATATGTTATCGGGTTCAATTCTCATTTCTACAATTTTAGAACCGAAGATTTATATTTCTCTCAATTTTAAAATGGGCTTTTGTTTAATTTTATTTTAAATCTTTTGTTTAATTAATATTTTGAATAATAATGTAAATAAATTAATATAATTTTAACCATACGTGATTCATTTTCTCGGTTCCTTCCACAATTATCGCCTGCCCGATTTTCATATAGTCCCCAATGTCCACTTCGTTGTTGGATTGTTGCCCTTATCTGCCAGTCGTCTATACCGGTCAACACTTTCGGATAAATAAATAAATTAGTTCTCGTCAATCGTCATTCTTTTATTAGATGAAATAGAAGGATGTGAAGACTTTATGAACAGAAATCCCCTCCGTAGTTTGTTAGTATGTATGTTAATTTTATATATTTTATCTTAGAAATTAATTATATAATATATGTTTTGAATTTATTATAAGATCGGTTGGTTGTTTTTAATAATAATTCATAAATATAAATATTCTAGTTATGTAGCAAAAAGTAAAAAAATTAAATAAATCTAAATCAATAATATCGAGTTGAAACTGAAATTAAAATTAAAATTAAAAGTGAAAGCTAAAACATAAATAAAAATTTTTAGAAATTAAAATAATTTTGGTTTGTACATTCCATCATTTCAAAATAGAGTTTGGCCGACATTTAAAGCCTTGACACCCACGGGATATAACCAACAAAAAAGGATTTCAAATTCTAGTCAAGAATTCTCACAAAATTTACATCTCAATTTCTCTTTATATCTCACAATTGAAGTTGAAAAACTACAAAACAAAATTTACTTTTGACTAACAAAGGGGTAGATTAGGAATTAGAATTTGGTTGGACCAGTGAGTCGGACTACCGCCAATATTTTATTATTATCGAGAAATAAGTTGGAGTAAGCCAACAAAAAATGTCAAAAATTCTATCAGTATTATATACTATCAATTTATGTATGCTAATATATATTTTATGTTGTCGGATTATATTTCATATATTGTTATCACGATACAAGCTAATTATCATTAGCAATTTAGCATAGTAACTACCACCGTATATATATTTATATGGGTCCAATACATATGTAGAAGAATTTATCTAGATGATAGAAGATTATTATCCTTATTATTGAAAAGACTTTGGGGCTTGGTAGCAAGGTGAATTGTTTTTTTTTTTTTTTTTTTTTTTTTTTATGCTAACTTTTTATTTGCATTATAAATACTCATTCTGTCCGAGAACTATAGTCTTAATTGGGTTGGACACAGAATTTAAGAAATATTGATATTATACTGGTAGTTGGTAAAAAATATAGACAAAATACTTTTTTGCCCTTGTGAGTGTATTAGTATAAAAAAGTAGTGGCAATTGTGTAATAAAAATGAAAAAGTAGGGGTAGTTTTATGGTGATATGATTATTTATGAAAATAAGACTATTATTTTTGGACGAACAAAACTGATAAACAAGACTATTGTATTGAGATAGGTGGAGTAATATTTATTGTTTTCATTTTACCATACATTATGTTAGATATTAGCTTGCTTATTAAAGAAAGCATGTCTACGTACTATTGGCCAAAGTCTACTTAGGATGTGTTTGTTTGGGGGATTGGATTTTAAATACAATATTCATTCTTTTTTTTTTTTCAAAAATATCAAATCAAATACTTATTTTTTATTTTTTTATATTATACTAGAAATCAATTTTACATTCAAAACATCACATCAACACTTATTTATATCACATCATACAAGTATTCAAATTCAAAATTTTTACTATTCAAATTCCAACTGAAAATCCAAACCCCCAAACAAACACACCATTAAGAGATAACTGTCAACCATGTCTGTTATTTAACACTAATTTTAGATTAGGTATTACATGCAGGGGATCCTCAGTCCCCGTACCCGGAGTGCCATACATACACACGCATGTATGTATATACATATTTGTGTGTGGCACTCCCGGTACCAGGTCAAAGCCCGGGACCGAGGTTCCTGCCTGGGTATTACATGGTTTTTAAAGTTATTACGTCAAATATATTTTTTCATATTATGTTATTTACTAGCTTTTTACTATTTTAAGATTATCAAAATTCCAAAATCCCCCAAAAGTCTTTGTCTAAACAAAGTGCAAAAAGTGAATCATTTTCTCTCTAGTGTCACTCAATTTGATTCGGTGTTAGAGCATAAATAGAATGCCAAAATAACATTTTTGAAGAGGTAGTTAGAGTAGTAAATTGAAATAAAAGATTTGAAAGTATTTAAACACATTCTTGACATAAAAATTGCAGAAAGATCATACTTGTGGAGTTCAAATATAATTAGCATAAACTTGGAATGAATTATTACGTAATAATAATAATACACTACAAGAAAAAATCATTTTTGTAACAAAACTTTTTTGTCTCTAAATCTACTTTTTCCGTTACTAATGACATTAGAGACGGAATTAGGAATAGAATTACTTTAGCTATGTAAACATTAGGAACGGAATTCCGTTACAAATATATTATTTTTTTTGTAGTGATAATAATAATAATAATAATAATAATAATAATAATAATAATAATAATAATAATAATAATAATAAAAAATTGATATGCATGCACAAAACATACAAGTGCAAATAATTCGAGAAATTAAAGAAATGCCAATCCAATGCCTAGAGTTTAGGTCCCATGAAACCCAACTGTGCCATAATTAATTAATAATCTTCAAACTTATATTATTATATCTTTCCGACATTATATATTCATCCGTTCCTTATTTTACTAAGTTTTCTCAAAGATCATATATGTCATTTCCTAATTTTAATCTACAGTCAAATTTAAATATTTTATAGAAAGCTCTGTAATTCAGTAGCATACCATTAAATATAATAACATATATAAGATCATCTAAACTAACGACATTAATCAACATAAAAAAATAAATTAACGGTGTGTTTGTTTTGTGAAATAATTTAAATAAATATTTTTTTAATGTAAAATATAGAGAATTACGTCATTCATTTGCCCAATTTTTTTTTTTCTGCACGATTGATATATAAATAATTGTAAATATAATATTTTAAATAAAAATTAATGTTGATATATACATTGATATATATTTTTCCCTATATATCAATTCAACATAAAATTAATAGCATTTATTTAATTCATTAAATATATATTATTTCACTTAAGTTAGTATTGTGTTTTAATTTGTTCATTATAGAAAAAGTTTATGAAGATATTAGGGTTTCTTAACTTTATTTTCAGATATAACAGTTTTTTCGTAAATATTATTAAGAATATAGAATATTTATACATTAACACTATATGTATATAAAATACTTTCTCGTAATTAAGAAGTAATTAAAAAATTTATTAATAAAAATGATTATGATATAATAAAAATAATTATAGATTAACATTAAAATAACTAAATAGTTTGATTAAAATAAAAAATTATAAATTATGAATTTTTAAAATGTAATTGAAATGTATAATTATATTTTTTTTAAAAAAATAAATGATAAATTATGTGAAACTGACCGAAATAGAAAAAGTGGACAAATTATACGAGAGGAAGAGAGTTTTTTTTTTTTTCTTCATATTTAACACAAAAAAATGGCAGCAGCTACAGTGCTGAATAGCACACCATATACTAAAAGACAACACACAGTGTTATCCTAAACAACACACAATATACTTTAATATAATACAAATACAACACATAACCTAACAACACATGATATAGTCTCACGCAGTACATACCGTACTTGATTTCAGCACATAACATACTCTCATACTGCACACACGTTATAAATGAACTAGCAACACATATTGTATATAATAAAAATATGTGTTATTTCTATATTGTACTTGTGCTGATTTGAAGAATCAGCATAGTACTGATTTTCCAAATAGCACCCTAACATTTCTCACAAAATAAATACATTTTTCCAAAAACACAAAGTGAACCAATCCTAAATTGTTTAGTATATATATAGTTCATTAATGCATGACCTCAATTGTTAGAAAAACAATCTTTAGTATATATATATGGATCATTAATGCATGACCTAAATTGTTATGTGCGACATTCTTGCAATAAAACCTAACCTCCTCTCTCTCTCTCTCTATATATATATATATATATACACATTGTAGTAAGAATCCTTGATTTCTAACTACACTCTCATAACAAAAAATAGCAAAGATGATCTCTTTAACAGACGAAGACATGATGAAAGAAGAGCCAATTTCATTGTTCTCACCAGCCAATCCCATCCCCACAGAGACAATCTTCCTCTCCAACATCGACCAGGCCGTCACTTTCCCCGTCGAGACACTCTTCTTCTACGCCGCTGCCGGAACTGCTGACGTGGCAGCCATGGTTCGGACAGCCGTTGAGCGAGTGCTGCTTGTTCCATACTACTTCATGGCCGGGAGGCTTAGGTGGAGCGGCGATGCCCAAAGGCTCGAGCTCGTGTGTAATAATTCCGGTGTCTTGTTTGTTAGTGCCCGAACTAGGGTTTCACTCGATGATCTCGGCGATCTTTCCAACCCGAATGCGGATTTTTCGCGGTTCGTTCATCGCCCCGGGTTGTATAAAAGCTTTGAGGACACTCCCATCTTCACTATTCAGGTGATGAAATGTTGTCATTGTTTATAGGTAAAATTGTCCATAATTCTCTTATAGTTTCGAAACTCACGTAAATTCTCTTTTTACTTTATAAATTGCATGGCGCCCCTTTATACTTTAAAAAATGTTATGAAATTCCTCTGTAGTTTCGTAACTCAGGGTAAATCTCTATTTTATTTTTAAAAATTGCATGGTGCCCTCTTATACTTTAAAAAATATTGCAAAAAACTATAGATAGGAAATTATCTTCTCATCACATAAGGGAGGTTTCATGGCGGCGGTAGGGTTTCATGCAACGTTTTTTAAAGTATAAAAGATATTATACAATTTATAAAATATATGAGAATTTTACGCTGAATTTTAAAACCTAATAGAAAATATGAACAATTTTACCTTATTTATATTCAAAAATCATGTTCATACAATGCACCTCGTATTAATTGAAACAATATATTGACAGTTCATACTTTAAACAATGTAAAGTGCAAGTAAAAAACTCAAACTCATACTTTAGGGTGTGTTTGTATAAACATATCACTTATACTCAGGTCAATAGTAGTATATAATACTTCCTCCGTCAACTCACAAAGTATATATATTTTTATTTTCAATTGTCTAATTAAAAGTAATCATTTTTTTAGTAACTATGAATCCTATATTTTTCTACAAATATCTCTATTTTGCCATCACATCATTACTTTTACACCAAAAAATAAAGACAACATTGTCTTTATACTACTTATAACTACTCATTATAGTAAACTATTCTTATTTTTTAAACTTTTAAGATGGACGGATATAGTATATAAACTATTATCATTTAATATCAGTTTATAGAGTATCTTTGTATTATATTAATATAAAATGATTTATACTTCATATGTTGTTTGTCTATCTGACAAGAGAATGTTGTTCCATCCACAGGTGACAAGATTCGAATGCGGCGCATTCGCATTAGGGTTTATGACAAACCACGCGATTTTAGACGGAAAATCGGCAAGCGAAATGTTCCACAACCTCGCCTCAATATGTCGAGGCGAAGGCCTAAAGACGGTGTGGGTTGACAATGACCGAACCCCCCTAAAAGCACGAACCCCGCCTCAAATCCATTTCCCACACAACGAATACCTAGAACTTTCGAAAACTCTATCCCAACCCTCATCCTTCACCTCGCAAAAACGAATGTCTCCGTCCCCTCTCATCTTCTCCAACAACTACGTCCACAAACTCTTCGCCTTCTCCAACGAAACCCTAGCAAAGCTCAAAAACAAAACCCTAGCCAAGTGCTCGACATTTGAGGCAATCCTTGCGCACATTTGGCGGGCGAGGACGCGCGCGTACTTCGACAACCTCGATCAAGAATCGACCGTCCTCTTCGCGGTGGACATCCGCGACAAGATCACGCCGCCTTTGCCGGAGGCCTTCGCCGGAAATGCGGTGATCACGGCGTTCGCACGTGCAAGGGCTCGAGATTTGATCGGACGGCCGTTATGGTTCGGGGTGGAGAGAGTGAGGGAAGGGGTGGAGAGAGTGACGAATGAGTACATAAGGTCAGTGATAGACTGGTTAGAGGTTCATAAAGGGATTCCTGCAACAGGGAATGGAGGAGCATTCTATGTTTCAGCATGGTGGAAGTTGACTTTTGGTGAGGTTGACTTAGGGTTTGGATGGCCACAGCATGCAGGGCCTATTGTGAGTGGAAATGACGAGTTTGTCCTCTTCTTGGACGATGGGAATTCCGGTATTAATGTCTGGTTGGGCCTGGACAAGGACAAAATGGACAATTTCTCCTCTTGTGTTTATCAAATGTGACATCTCTTGTACTAATTAAAATTATCGAATTGAATTTCCATGTTATGTAAGATTTGAGAAGGTTTAATTAGCTTGGACAATGGCGAAAAGAGTAATATATATAAATTTATACAATATATTTTATTATTTTTCTTTATCCTTTCAAAGTTATTCATTTTTTATTATATTAAAAATAATTATACATTAATATTAGTATATTTTTAATTTTTATGTAAATTACAAAAATATAATTATATATGCATACATAAAGTATAAATAACCAAAATAACAAAATAATCTTACATAGTTTAATTACTAATAAAATATTAGTATATTATCTTATATTCAAATTTATATATATTTTTTTTATTGTCATAAAAAATATTTTATTTTTTTTTAAATAAAAATGTTACTATTGTACTTTTTATTATAAAAGAAAAAAAAATTATTTATTTTTTAAAACTTGTATTTAATCATATGAGTATAAATTTGATGATGTACAGAGTATTATATTTTAATCTACCCTAGAACTTCAAATATATTAAATAATTAATTTTTCATTTTAAAAATTTACTAAAATTTAAGTAACTAGAGAGGAAAATTAATTATTACATATTAACCAAAAAGGAAATGCTGACGTGGAAAACGAATAGGGAATTCTCATTTCACTGTATATTTTTTTATTAAATTTGATATTAAAATAATATTTGATAAATAGTTTGTGCGAAGAAAATATATATTTTTTTCGAAAAATATAAAATTAAAATAGTAAAATTTTAATAAACTTGATAAAAGAAACATGATAATTTTTTTTTCGTAAATATATATTTCATTCGTGTCACTTTCTTTTTATTCAACTATAATATATATAAAAATATATAATTCATAAATAATTAAAAAATATATTATTAAAAATAATTATTATATGATATAAATAATTATAAATTAAAATTAAAATAATTAATTAATTAATTTATCTAAAATTAAAAAATTATTGATTATAAACTGAAAATATATAAAAAAAGATATATAAATTTAAAATACAATCAAAATATATAATTATTTCTAAAAAATAAAATAAAAAATAAAGTGAACGAATTAAAATAAAAAAATAATAAACAGATAATATGAAAGAGAGATTCTCCCGTTCCACTTAATTAAAATATAATTATAATATTTAATTATATTTTAATATTTATAATATATAATTTTTTTTTTAATTAAAAAATTTTATTCATTTTAATCATGACGGAGAAAGTACTTTTTAGTTTTATTTATTATTAAAAAATTACAAATGGTAAGTATTATTACCAGCAAGAGGGCCAAAATTTTCCCACAAAAAGTTATAGTAATATTATTGTTATTATTATTGCTATTACTCCATTGATCTTTATTTATTTAAAATAAACACAGTCGAATCTCACCGAGTTTTCCTCTTCTTTTTTTTTTGATTCAATCAAGAAAGCTTCCATTTTGATGCTCCCTCCCTGCCTTGCATTTGGGTGCCTCGTTCTTGTCGCTTTAGGGTTTTGGTCTATTGATTGTTGGTGAATTCGTTGCGTGTTAGTTTGTTTCTGCATGTAGGGCTTTTATAGGGAAGGAAGGAGTTGGGGCTGTTTGGATCAAATTGTGATATTGGGCTGGGAAATGGGGATTTTCGCATTGGAATCGTGGCGCTAAGCTGAATGGGTTGCTGCTGGGTTTTTGCCATTATCGTTCAATTTCGGTGATTGCGAGCTGGGATTTCATTCCGGGAAGCCCTCTTTCGGGGCAATTTGAAATTGATTGTGGAAGGGGTGAATGTATCATCCTGGCATGAATTATTCGCGCGAAGGTTTGATACCCACGCAATTTGTGTGGCCGTACGGTGGGAGGCATGTGTATATCAGTGGTTCGTTTACAGGGTGAGGATTGATTGATTTATTGATTCATCCAATTACCCTTCTTCATCATGTTGTGTTGTGTGTAACTATTATAATTTTGGTTTATTTGGGTGTAATTTTTATGATTGATTTTGTCATTTAATACTGCTGGTAAAAGGTGGACGCAATGGCCAATGACTCCTGTTGAAGGTTGCCCAACAGTTTTTCAGACAATTTGTAGCTTGACGCCAGGTTATCACCAGGTTGGTGTTTGTGTCTCCAAGCTGCCTGTCTACATGTTCTTGTGATTTTCAAGTTTACTGCTATTAAAGAGAATGCAAATTCATGTACGCGTTTATGGCTGATCTTAATTTTAAATGGAATTTAACTCAATAATTTTAGATGGCAATTGATAATACATTAATTAGTCCTTTCTGATGGATGCTGCTTTATCTATTGTGTTATCACCATTCATTCGGAATGTCATTTTGTGTGTACCTGGTGAATTCTGCAGATAATGCAGGGCATCCACTTTAATCCTTGCATCATGATACTTTAGCTTCTACTGTACTAGTTTTCTTGACTTGAAGCTCTCTCTGGATAGCTTTGGCCTTCACTGGCATTATGCCGTGATGTTGGTTGAATATTGATTTCTTTTGATATACGAGCACCTTGTTGTGTTCTGATTTACTGTCAGTATGAAAAACTGAATTTAGTTACTTTGGAGAAGGAAAAGTGTTCCTTTTTTTTTCTTGAAACTTGAAAACTAGTTGCTGTTATACTAAAATGTGGCTTTTGTTCAATGCCTGTATACCAATGTTTAAAAAATGAAAATTACATATTTTTTTAGGACTTGACTAATAATAAACTGCCATGAACTCTCAATTATGGGCTAGAATTAGTAAGTATCTTGTGTGTTTAGCTGAAAGTAGAATCACATATTTGTCACATGAGGCCACTGGAAAACTAAGTTCTTGCATTAAGGTCTTTGGCAACAGTAATTATTAGAGGTTTTAAGGGAATTGTTAAGATTATGCTTGATCATTAGGATGGTGAAATATTTTTTGTCATTCTAGCCTCCAAGCAATTATTCAATTTATGGAGCTGTTGGCAATTTTAGATGGTCACATGTTCACCTTAACAAGCTAGCTTAAGCCATATATGTTTGATCACACAAGAGTTCCATGGAATGAGTTGCACTATAAATATTGCACTTTTGTGATTTTCAATGTCATGAGAACTTGCCTTGGGTGGTTGAAAGTATGTTAAAGCATATATATGCATATGATTTCCAGCCAATTTCTAATGGTTAAATAGTGCTCTTTATTGTGGGAGGAGGTGTTAAATCATATCATTTCTGAGGAACATCATTACATTAAGTAACTTATTCAAATCCTAGCAGAAGGGTGAAGGAATCATGGATTGTAATCTTAATTTGTAAATGATGAGTTTTGCAATATATGTGAATTATGACTAAAGATATTTATGTGGGTTTTAATTGAAAACGAATTCTCAGACTTATGTGTTATTTAAATTTACCATTAACCTTTCCTAATGACAGTACAAATTTGTTGTTGATGGCGAATGGAGACATGATGAGCGTCAACCTTTCATCAATAGTAACTTTGGGACAGTGAACACTATCCTCTTAAGTAGGGAATCTGATTATATTCCGCAACTGCTAAGCCCCCAATTGCCTCCTTCTGGCCCTGTTTCGAGCATGGAAGTTGATGAGGCCTTTCAGAATGTGGTATATTGTTACTTGATTCCTTTTTCCCTTAAATTTCTTTTTTCAAAATTATATGTGTGTATATATATATATATATATATATTTGAATCATTCTTGGATAACTTTGCCAAAAACCGATACATATTAGGATAATAGTTATTTTTGTTTTTTTCTGGAAATTTCTTTGACTAAAGTTAAAATTTGTGTAGCTTCAAGATTTATAATGATTGGATATCAGTACAGAGATGCAATCATAATACCATACGAATATGGAAAATTTAGTACTGAAGCATTTTAGGTTGAATGATGGTTTGGCTAAAATTATCTACATGAATGTTTCTTGTTATGTTAAAAGATACATGTAATGTATCTCTCCCCCTTGTACGTGTCCTGTAAATTTAAGAAATCACTAGTTTGTCAGTATTCATAATTTAGCTTATTAGTTGCTCCAGTCATCTTTATGTGACAATTTTTTAATTTAAATAGAGAAGTAGGCCTAATTTAATCGATAAGGTTTTGACTCCTTGCAACTAAATACTAGTTATCATGAATGTGTTTGTCAACCTTTTTTATACTAGAGCATCCATAATCTGCACATGTTTTAGCTTTAATTTATATAACCCACGGTATCTCATTTCAATGATTTAATATGATTCTATGCACATCTTAAAAAGAAAAAAGTAATACATCTTTGGAGTTATACATAGGACATTATTTGGAGTTTTTGTAGAAGTGCTGTATTGATTGTTCATCTCCACCACAGGTTCGACTGTCAGATGGGACATCTCCTGAACCCTTTCCAAAGATATCCGATGCAGATTTAGAGATGTCACGTCATCGCATAACTGTATTCCTGTCAACACACCTGGCTTATGAGTTGCTCCCTGAATCTGGGAAGGTCTGCATTATAATAAATCTTATGTTTTCTTCACATTGATTTTTAATCCATCATCCAAGTTTAGTTTGACTGATTACTTGTGTTGGTTTTCAGGTCATTGCTTTGGATGTTGAATTGCCTGTCAAACAAGCATTCCATATTCTGTATGAACAGGTAGCTTTTCCAGTAAAATTAATTTTTAACCCACTTGTTAACCTTTTAATTTATGCACTATAAATTCGAAGCATTCTTAAATGTAATGTTGCAAATACTTGCATTCTCCTCTTCTTTCATTTGGTAGAATTGTATCCAAGCTTGTGTCTGTGATGTTGGAGTGTGTTTAGATATGTTTTGGAAGTTTTTTGGAGTTTGGAGAGTTTTCGAAATCATAAAATGTAGAAAGACAGTCGATGCTTGTGTGATGCAAATAGGTCTTGGATGTGATATTTTTTATAGAGAGAAATTTTAATGAATAGTGCCAAAATAAAATTGAAAACATAAGTAAACAGTGCATTTCATTAGGTTTGTAATGAACTAATTTGTCCTTTTTTTTTGGCACAAATCAATTTATAATGTAATAAACTAAATCCTTAATGATATAATAATGGCTCTGTTCCTTTTGAGCCTTTCTCGATTTTTTTCACTGTGCAATCTCACCGTTCCAATAAAAACATTTCCATTTCTGTACAAAACATTATATGCAACCACTATTTCACCTTAAAACTACACAAACTAAAGCACCCGAAACACAAAACAAACACACCCATTGGCATCTACTATCACAATATGTAATATGTATATTTTTTTATAATACATAACAAGGTATCTTAATTTAATACTTCTAATAACTGAAGTAAATGAATTGAAAATATAGGTATACATAAATGAAGTTAAATAAAGTTTCCATATCGAACTGAAGAAGAAAGTTAATACTGCACCAGATACCGGCATTTTCTGTTAAATACTAATTTATATTTTGTCTTGTTATCCATAAGGCCAATATGTTAACATAGGCACACATCAGTCTGTTGATACACTAAATGCCCTTACTATAAATAAGCATGTGCTAAGATTTTATATTTATCTATAGTTTTCTGAGGTGTCCATGAGGTTTGTCTGATGTACACCAACTAACCTACCTCTGGCTAGATGATGTGTAGGAAATATCTATTGTCTGCCCATTTTTTCTGATCTTCCTTTACCCATACACTGATTTTCTAATAATTGATTGTATAAATTTATAATATTTTTTCAGGGAATCCCAATGGCACCCTTATGGGACTTCTCAAAAGGGAAGTTTGTCGGAGTTCTCAGTGCTCTGGATTTTATTTTGATTATGCGAGAGGTAGTTGAATGGAGTGAGCGGTGACATTATTTTGCACAATATACTCTCTCTTCATTTATAACAGTTCATCTCTTTTCTGCAACTAACTCCTCTCTTCTATCTCTTCCATTTCCTAATTAATTATTCTATTAACTCTAATTTTTTGATTTGGTTCTTAGATTCCAGATTAGGAAGGGGAGATGACCTTTTACGGAAGTGATCATTTTGGGTTTTGGCATTTGGTATTATAAGATGTTAGGTTTGAAATGGATACAAACATGTAATTTTTTATTTGGTATTTTTTCACCTCCACTAATGTAGTGTACCGACAAAATATGGTTAATTCTTAGATTGAAGTAATGGACAACTCTAAATTTTATCTGACTGGCACTTTTAGCTATAGAATTGGTTATATATTTTATGGAAGTGTCTGAAAGTCGAGCAATTTAATTAGATGGGCATTAACTTGATATTTGAATGAAAAGGTTGTTGGGGGTTCTTAACATGCTGCTAGACACGAATAAGAACAGTTGTAACCTTGAGCAGCAATACTTTTTGGTTCGTATACACTTATACATATTCTCACCTTATCTTTATATGGAAGGGTTTCTAGGAGATGGAAAAACTTGACATCACCTAAAATTTTGGTGTTATCGTGGTTGTTAGTGTACTAGAGAGTTAGATATTTACTGCTCTCTTTAATGTAAAGTGATGTATCTCCTTGTCAGTTTAAAGATTCAATGGGGTGGGTATTTAACACTGTTATAAGTCACACCAGCAATTTTGGATTTTGTTACCTCAGTTATTTACATTACTTTGAAATTAAGATTGTGTTGGGTTGAAAAATAAAATAAAAATGAAAATGCCATTTTCCAACTTGCAAATCTTGTTTTTGTTTAGTTATGTTTTGAGAAAGTTTTGGGGTGTGTTTTCTTGAGTTTTGATTTTGCTTTATAGTTTAAATAGTGTTGGATATGATGTTGTGAGAGGAAATAGCCTACCTTTATTGCATACTAAAGAAACTGAAAAAATTCTCAAAAGTGCACAAATATTTGGTATGGACAATAGGTAGTAAATGTTATGTTTTGAATAAAAAATATATACTTATATTATTATCTTTTAAACTAAAAATAGATATTTGGCGTGATGTTTTCAAATAAAAGCTTTTTTTTTTTCTTCTGAATAATGCAAAAACAAAGTTGAAAACATTAGAAATAGAGCCTTATTGGAAGCTATGCTTTCGTTGTTAGTGTCAAGGTTCTACTTTTGATTGCATTTGCTGTGAAAAGTATTAAAATGTGTTTCTTAATGTTCTAATATTTGCGACAGCTTCGCAGCAATGGGTCCAATTTGACCGAGGAAGAGTTGGATACACATACTATATCTGCTTGGAAACAAGCAAAGTCGTACCTGAATAATCAGATTGCTGGTCAAGGAGGTGCTGCTTCAAGACAACTTGTACAAGTAAGTTGTTCTTTTTTTTTTTTTTTTCTTGATGTCAATGATCCACGTCGGATTAATAAATGTACTTTGCAGTTCAGTCATTTATAATTTGTTGTATAGAATGAATGATTTTTATAACCCACGTACCTTTTACTCTGTTAATGGTCTTTGTATTTGGAGATCAGGATGGAAAAAAATAATAGTTACTTGCATTTTTTCGATGATTGAAACTTTTCATATCCTGGAAACCATTGCAGGGCTCTTCTGCTTGTTTTCATACAATTTTATATGATGATTTGAATGGTTTTTTGTTAACTTCAATTATGTTTTGTATATATGTTCTGGAGAAGGTCTGCTTGACATATTCAGAACCTTTTGAAAGACTGTTAAGTTCTAATGGGAGCTGAATCTTTCATTTTACAATAATTTGGACTTAATATTCAACAGTCAGCTTTGACAACACAATGACAATTTTCAGGCTGGACCCGATGACAGTTTGAAGGAGGTTGCTTTGAAGATTCTGCAAAATAGTGTAGCAACAGTTCCCATTATTCACTCTCCTTCAGCAGATGCCTCAAACCCAAACCTGTTGCATCTTGCTTCACTCTCCGGAATTCTGAAATGTGAGCAAATTGCATTTAATCTTTTTTTACTATTAAATAGCTGAATATATGACACATCTCTTCGAGTATTGAGCAAAAGTTGTCCATATTGTATACAAAAATAAATATTTGGTTGATTTACAGGCATATGCCGATTTTTCAAGCATTCGCCTAGCTCATTGCCAGTACTCCAGTCGCCCATTTGTTCCCTGCCATTGGGCACTTGGGTACCAAAGATAGGAGAACCAAATCGTAAGCCATTGGCATTGTTGAGACCAAATGCTTCACTAAGTGCAGCATTAAATTTGTTAATTCAAGGTATCTGACTATACTCTAAAGATTAGAGCACTTTATGGAGAGGGTTTATCAATATTTGAGCTCACCGCTTTGGTCTTATTTGCCTGCATTCTGAAAGAATATTGAACATGTCACTGAACTTTGTTGTTGCATAAGCATAACATTTTCTGGCAATAATATTTGTGGGGCAGCACTCAAATGTGGGAGAAAAGTGATTGTGTTGCAGAAATTAATATCATTAATTCCAATATAGTGCTTGTTGGATTCGGACAAATATGTTTGCCTTCACAGTTTTGTGTTAATGTTATCTTCACACTTTTTGACATTGTGCAGAACAAGTTAGTTCTATTCCGATTGTAGACGACAACGACTCTTTATTGGATGTATATTCTAGAAGGTTTGTCGTATTTTCTATTATCCATCCTAGTTCTATGCTAATTATTCTATATCATTTTTGGGGCAATTAATAACTTTTCATCTTTTGAATAGTGATATAACTTCTTTGGCAAAAGACAAAGTTTATTCTCATATTAATATCGAAGGAACAACTATTCATCAGGTAACATTTTTTTTGTTTTGCTCTGTTTTTGTTTATGTTTTATGGTTGTTGTTTTTGTCTCTTTCATGTGTTGGCATTACTTGTATATATACACGGAAGCCAGGAGCAGATGAATATGAAATCTTTTTTATCCTTTTCTCTGTTGCTTCGATTTTGTGATGTGTTGACCATGGTCATCGAACAATAGAACTGTGGGTTTTATCGGAAAACCAATGTGACGTGGAAAGTATAACATTGGAAAGATATTATACATCTTTAGTTTATTTCACTTTGTTATGATCTGACCCATTCGATAACTGGCATGGCCTCAACTTAGGCGTTGCAGTACAGAGACGATCCCTTCTCAGCATACGGCTACAACAACCAAAGATGTTTCATGTGCCTGCGATCTGATCCACTCCATAAGGTGTTGGAGCGATTATCTCAGCCAGGTTAGTCTTCTCCCCAGTTTTGAATTATTGCTCGTCTTCTCCCCCCTGTGCACTATAACAACAGATCAATAATTTTGCTTTGTCGACTCCACGTCAGGTGTAAGACGGATTATTATTGTCGAAGCAGGAAGCAAGCATGTAGAAGGTATCATTTCATTGGGCGATGTTTTTCGTTTTCTTGTGGACATTTAAACGGACGGTTCGATGCTCAAGCCTCTCCATCAGATCTTTAGTGTTGTCTGTCCATTAGATGACTGCCTGGTTTTGAGTTTGAAAAAGAAAAGTTAGAAAAAGAACACTGGGTGAAGAAGATGAGGATTGCTAATGTATGGTGTTGGTTTAAAGATAGAGAACTCTCTTGTCTTCTGTTGTCTGTCTTTATTGTTGCCTAATTGTCTGTCTGTCTGTCTATCTTTTGTAGAAAGAGATGCAAAAAAATGTTTTCATTACTCTGTTCTTCTGCTGCTATAGAAGAATATTGGGGAAGTCATTTTGTCCTTTTTTTTTTTTTCAATGTATAATTCATTGGTTCAATATCTCATGAATACTTTTCTTATTGTCCTGTATTATTTAGCACATTATATTATTTTATAATTTAATATTGATTGTTAAATATCTGAAATTGTTAAATATGAGGCTGTGTTCTTGAATTTTATTTTGGTTTTTTTTTTTTTTTTACATGTTGTTTGTGAGAGACAATATATTTTTATAGAAATAGTAAAAAGAAATGGAAACAGAATTTTAGTGTTTTTTTTTTAAATGAATTATTTAACCTAAGACTACATAAGACAAAATAAATAACAACGCAAAAAAATTATGCCCATGGATAATGAAATATATATTATGGGTTTGTTTGATTGTAAATTTATTTAAATGAGTTGTTGGTTTAATTTTTTAAATAGTATTTTAAGCAATATTGATTTGAATTTATAAAAATAAAAATAAAAAAATAAAAATAAAAAAAGAAAGAGAGAGAGAGAAAAAAAAGCCCATGTTGTTAGATAGGGTGTGTTTGTTTGAGGGTTTGGATTTTAGGTTGGGATTTGAATAGTAAAAATTTTGAATTTGAATAGTTGTATGATGTGATATAAATAAGAATTGATGTGATGTTTTGAATGTAAAATTGATTTTTAGTATAATATAAAAAATGAAAAATAAATGTTTTGATTTGATATTTTTGGAGAAAAAATTTTGTGGGAATAGTAGAAATCCTACAAAATCCCCCAAACATACATACCCACTAGAAACTCAAAATCAAAATTAAATTTTTGAAATAAGAAAAAATTGAAGTAATAGACTGCTAAAATAAAAATTGAAACCAAAACTGTGTGTGAGTCTGAATATGTTAAAACCAAAATTAATTAATAAGAAAATGTGCGGTTTTGAATTGTACTGTCTGTAATTGTTATAACCAGTTACCGACAACCAAAGGTTTTTGAAATTGTTATAACCACAACCTAAGTCGAAACCTGCCAAAGCAAAACAAAAACTATGGATGAAAATATTAGATTTTTTATTCCATATTTTGAGAAATAAAATAAAATAAAATTATGTTAGTAGAGGTCAGGGCGAGTCCTTGGTTACTTAATGAGTAGCTCAAACTTCTCCTAACCCAACAAATAACATATACTATAACAAAACTAGAGTGTTCTCTTGACAAAGAACAAACACATACATACCTCTACTACCTTACAAATAAGTACCATCTATTTTCGTTTGACATTTATTTTTATCGCATCAAATCAACTATTTCGATTCAATTCAAATATTTACTATTCCAAAAACAATCCATAATAAAACCAAACATTATGAAATATCACATCACCAATTCGAACCAATGAGGCACAAGTACAACTTTAATATTTGTCCATTATGAAGAAGATATCATGTGTCTGTCCGTCGATGTATTGCCAAGGCAACAAACAAACAGATCAAATATTTTCCAAACTGAAAGAGCAATCACAACAATATGCCAACAACAATTGCACCTCTCAACCATCATATCATATCATATGTGATGTGAGTGTAGTATAAATCACAAAGAGGACTCACTGTGAATATTTCACGAGCTTGAAAGAATGGCTTCTTTTCTATTCAGCCATTTTTGCCAACCGATGTACTGTGCTTCTTGCAACTCTATTCCCAGGATCAATTTTCATTACAGTCCTCAGATCCTCAGCCCCGAGCTTGTATTTCTCCATGCTCTCGTACAGAAGTGCACGCTGCACTAGGACCGAAACATTCTTGCCATCCTGTTCCAGCACCTGCAAAAGTTCCAGTTCAGTGGCAGTCGAATTTGGACCAACATTGCATACAACAAATGCAGTGTCCATTATCAAGTCACCTACTATTTCTCTTCACAGTATATGTAAGGGAAATTCAAGAATGTAAACATTTCGAAGCTACATTTTCTATTAAACCTTTTTTGTTTTACCCTGTGAAGAATTTTTCCATGTCCAACCAAAAATCCACATCACTTCCATCATTGTTTTCTACTCATTTCACTAGAAAATTTGCAGTCAAAACAGCCCTTATCTCATAAAGCTGCTTATACAATAAGCACAGTTTTTAACATGATCTACGCATTCTCCAGGAACTGGAAACAACATAAAAGATATAAAGCTTCAATGGATTGATCACATATGTTCATTCGGGAAACACCAAGTCTTGCAACATTTGCAAAGCTTCCATCTTTTGCACACATACGCGCGCCCGCACACACACATATATATATATATTCTGTAAGAGCTTCAACACTAGTCTTAAGTTGTAGCCACAATTATGAATCAAAAATATTGGAACAACAATGAATCAGAAGGTATATTTTTAGCATTTCCTGTGTACCAAGCAAAGAAATTATGAGTAAAGAAAATGAAAAAAAAAAAAAAAAAAACCTTACCTTTGTACAGTCAGCCACAGCTTTCTTATACTCCCCAACTTCCTTGTAACAGGAAGCCCGGCAGATTAAGACCTCCATCGTTCCATCCATGTCTCCAGCCTTCTCTAGAAGAATAACAGCCCAAGACAACCATGTGATGGCATCCGCAAATTGGCCCTTCTTATAATTGTCAACACCTTTACTCTGTGCAATGGGAGCAGAAACTCCACTGGGAGGAGGAGGAAGGCCATCCAGCTCTGTTGTCCCACCCACTGATGAATCATCGAACTCTGAATTTATTCCCCAATCATCCCCCTCTGTAAACTTCTGGTCCGTAAATCCCCCAGCCCCGCCAGAAGATGAAAACAAAGCATCAAAATCATTCCCACCCGAGGACTGCATTGGAGGCTGAGTTGGATTGCTTGGCTGACTACTTTGAAAACCAAAGTCACCAATCATATCCGGAGATACACCAGAAGAAAATGCTGAAGCTGAACTGCCACTTGCTTTCGAATTGTTGGTTTGACTGCCAGAAAACCCAAAACTGCTGAATGGATCATTATCCAAGGAAGATGTTGAACTTGAACCATTTGTGTTGCTTTGGAATGCTCCAAATGAATCATTCCCTAAACCACTCTGGTCCCTTTGTTTACTCGACCCACCAACGGGTTTAGACGTGAAATCGACCAATGATCCAAAAGGGTCCTTATTTGACCCCATTCCACCACCTCCAATTCCACCTCCGGCCATACTTTTCATCAAAGGGCCGCCAAGATTCGGGCTGCGATTACTATTCCCCCCTAAGTTAACATTCCCTCCACCAATGCTCGAGCTCGAACTCGAATTAATATTATTACCCTTGCCACTAGAATTCACACTTCCACCTACATTACTAACGTTCGTCCCCCATGTTTGGGCAGAGCTCCCGGTTTTTGGCAATGAATTGCCCATTGATCCCATAGAAAACCTATGCGGAGCTGTCGCCGGAGCAGAGCTTTTCAATGGAACGTTGCTGGTGCTCTTGCTCTGGCCCATGGCTGAGCCGAGCAAATCGCCGAACAGATTGGGGTTGTTACTGTTGACAATCCCAATACCCGTATTGGAAGGGGCAGATGAATTCCAGCTCTTCCCGAAAATGTCTCCTACCATCGACGTCGGGCCGGAGAGGGATCCGGGCCCGGAGGACGGAGCCGGAGCCGGAGCCGGAGTGGCCGGCTTATGCGTCCACGCCGGCTTGTTGGGCTGGGAAGGGGTCCATGAAGGTGCGGATGAATACGACGCCGTTTGGGCTTTCTGATCATTCAAGGGTTTTCCACCGCGGCCACCGCCCAACCCGAGATCGAAATCGAAGGCGTTAATCGAGCCCGTTTTGCTGCTCGATTTTCCGTAGCTCGAATTCATGATGATTCGTCGGATGGTTTCCGAACAGATGCCTTGATTCTTATCGAGATTTTAAGAAAAATTAACAGGGAATCGAAGGGTTTGAATAGCGGAAGAATAAAAAAATGCAGATCGAATTGAACAAAGATGAAAACACGAAATTAGAAGAAATGAAGAATTAAAAAAACCGCCAAATCTTGAAGAAATTGGAGCTGTCGGAGAAATCAAATCATAAACAATGCAGGCAGAGATAGATTGAGATGAGAGGAAGGAAGAAATGCTAACCTCTAGGCTCTAATTAGGGCAGGGGTGAGCGATCGGAGGGAGCGGCGAGACGGGAATGAATGAATGAATCTCGTGTTGTTTTTTTCTCGTCAAGCTTTTCGAACAGTCAATCGGATCGGGCAGGGGATGGATATATGAATTGGTTTTGGTTTTTGTTGAGGAATACCATCGACAGACAGGATTTGGATTTCGAGTTTCGTTCGGTTCGTTTAAGTTAAACGAGTCAGATAATCATAAATTTTAGCTCAATATATTTTATAAAAATATTAATTAATACTATTTTTATATTTAATATGTCCACTTTCTTTGTAATTTTAATTTTGCCGATGAAAAAATAAAATTTTTTTTAAAAAAAAATTAACATAAAATTGGTTGATGAAAAGAGAATATATTTTTTATAATGGTTATGTCAATTATATGAATATGTTTTCTATACTAGTTTAAGATATAAAGTTATTGATTAATATTTTTTATTATATTTTTAAATATTATTTTTTATTTTTATAGTAATAGTTAAATTTGCAATTAAATATAACAGGGTAACTTAATGAATTAAATTTAGTAATTAATAAATCAATTGAAAACTAGGTTATGCATATTACATAATAATAATAATAATAATAATAATAAATCAAATAGCTAGGAAGTGTTAACATTACGGTGGAGTTAATCATTATATAAAAGATTATTCCACTATAGCTAATAAAAATTAAATTACTAACACTAATCAAATTTAGTGTAACAAGCAATCAAAATTTATGTGATGTTTTTTTTTTTTTTTTTTTTTTTAATTTGATTATTTTTACTTGCTTCGATATATGAATCGACGTAGAAAAATCGTTCTTTTAAAAATGAACATTTTGACTTCCTTTTTCTATTGAACAGTCCCAATTTTGACGTCGCCATAAAAAAACTGTCAGCAAATATGAAAGACCATAAACATTAGTATCACCGGTAGTAAAAGAACATTCATTATATACTTCATGCCTCGAATCCGATACTATGAAGACAGGAGAGAAAATAAAAATAAAAGATAAAAAAGAAATCTGATGCTACGTTATGTTGCCTTTGGCTGCTTTGCAGGCTCGGGGCCTGGCTCAGGCTCTCTCCTCTGAGTCTGAGTCTGAGTCTGGACTGGCATTGCCTCGCGGCGCCTGTCATACCGGGGGCGAGGCCTGCTCCTGCTATTATTATTATTATTCTGCCTGTCACTGAATCTGTATTGGGGCCGATGTATCACTTTACCATCGACAAACAGATCACCTGCACACACATTAATGTTGGGAATGGAAAGTAAGAAATGGGCGGGGTGGGGTGGGTTCACAAAACAATTATAATAAAGTAGCTAGTTAGGCAGGTGGGATTTCATAAACCAACCCCCGTAGTCCTTATTTGGGACATCAAGATATGAATCGGGTAGCACCCAGAGGACACCGGGTAAGCCTGTTGATAATCACATCACAGTGCAAAGGCAATCAGAACAGACTAACTAAAGAAACAGTATACAATACAATACATGAGTGTGCAAGAGAAGAGATACCTTTGACTTTGTAAGAGAGCTCTTCCGAAATTAAAGCTCCAAAGCCAGTGTATGTTGTCGTGCAAACTGAATAAATCTTTTTCTTTGCTTCATCTTCACTGCATGCATATCCAGCAACAAAAAGAAAAAAGACCTCTTAAAAATTGTAATGTAGTAATGTCTCTCAATGCTCATTTAAAGCATGCTTCAGACATTCATGCCTTTAGGCAAGTAACTAATAGGCAAGAATCCTAGACATCAAACAAAAGCCAACTCAAACTAATATTCATTTTGCTTGATCATTACACTTGTAGTCGTTATGGCACATGACATACAGTGTCATAGAATGAAACAAACTTGGAGCCATGGGTCCCATATTCAATCTCACCATTGTGCACTTTCAATTTCTTTCTTCATAATTAGCTATTCAATCTCCTAATTTTCCTTAAAAAAATATTGAATCCAATACCCATTTTCTATTCAAATCATCACAACCACAATTCTTTCACCTAAACACACACACATGTAAACAATAAAATCATAGAAATAAAATATAAGGAAATTAGTTATATAATCAATAACAACATATACAATTAACTTTTCTATATGAAATACAAAGTATTAATCATTCATTTCATGGAAATAAGCTAAGCATGGATATTAGAGAACATAAAAGAATAAAACTTTCTGAAGGATAAATAAATAAATAAAAGAGATTGTGAGTTAGATTATGTTATGTTTACCATTTTTAACTCACAGACATCAGCAAATATGGCCATCAATAAATGATCAAGTAGCCACAACCAGCATCAGAGAGGTCATATTAAACTAAGGAAAGTATAGAATAAGAAGATTCTGTCAACTCAGAGACACAATATGAAAATGGTTACCGAGCAATTTCTAAGAATGTTATATGTAAAATTAGCATTATCTCATCTGCACTCATACACAATCGAGCAACATCAACCTTTGCCCTCTCATCCTAGGCTACACCATCGAACCTCCCAATAACCTACCACTAAAGCCTCTGCCAAATGCTGCTGCAGAACAATGCTACTTAGATGAGCAGGCAAAAGAAAGGTATGACTTGATTATCACTTAAAAGATTCAACCTAGCGGAATGAGTGATCTCAGTAGACAATCCATGGGCAAGTTTATGTGCATTATACATCTTATCTAATATAATGCATATCACAGAAATTAGGAATAAGCATAACACATGGAAGATAAATCGTTTTTTCTTTGGACTCAATGATTAGCTAGAACTGCAGACAACGAAAATTTGAGGCCAACTCAAACGTTAAAACATGAATTGCAATCGAATAACAGAGGATCAATCATTCCATGAAGATGTTATGAATTAAGGTGTTTGTTCCGTTCTATCTTCCAACTATAATAAGGAATACAGCAAGAACGAATGTCATGGAGGAAGAAAATGGAACTTTATCTTAAATATTGAAACACGAATCACAGGCAACCAGTAGAGACTCGATAATCACACGAAAATAATAGGAGATGAGTTGTTTCTGTCTTACCTTCCAACTACGGTTGCTAGGGTTTTAACATACGAGTTAATCATTTCTTCCTCGGACGGCTTAGGGTCCGAAGGGAACTCCATGACTATAAGCCAGTGCTCATAATCGCAGCCATCGAGTAGAATCGTCTCCTTCGGAGGGCGGTTGCTCCAGTTCGGAGACGGATCATTCAACGGCGAATAGCCCGAACTTGATGTCCGGAATCGTATTTGTACTGTGAACCTACCCACTCCACCTTGCCCTGTTGAGCTGTTAAAAAGGAGAGGTACGGCGAGGCGCGCTCGGCGGGAAAGGACGGTGGCCAACGTGCGGCGGGCGGCAAAGAGCGGCGCAGCCATGGCTGAATAGGGCAACTTCAGACGAGATTCTTGTGAAAACTAGTCTAGGCTTGCCGATCCCGAACTGTCGGTCCAGACCGGCTGTTATCCGGTTTCCGAACCGACCGGAACCGCCAAAGTAAAGCCAAATCTATTTATTTATATTTTTTAAGATTTGAAATTTTATACTCCCTCCGTTATCAAATTGTGTACTCATTTGACTGGGCACAAATTTTAAGAAAAAATATACGTAAAAATAGAAATTTTTAATTTTATTTAAAAAAAAATGGTATTTTTTACTTAAAAAAAACGAGAATAAATTTGAATGATTGATAAAAAAAAAAAAAAAAGTGAAAAGAGTATTAATTTATTATATTTAGAATCCTATACTCGCTCCATAGTATATTAGTAAAAATATTTATTATTTTAAAAAATAATTATAAATTAAAATTAAATAAATATATAATTTAATTAAAATTAAAAAAATTTAAAATATAATTGAAATGGATAATCATATTGTTAAATAAAAAATAAAAACAAATTATTATGTGAGAGTAGGAAGTAACATCTTTTTTGTTTTTATAAAGCCCATGATCTTTTATTAAAAAAATAAGTACACCTAATTTCTTTACAACAGCGAGTAATTTCTTGGGAAACGTGGAGAATATCACATAATTTAACTTAAAACACATATCCTACAAGATCACCTTGCTACACACTATATGCGAATAGAATATACAAGTGCAGTGTAGTCCAAATAGACTTTAGGACAAGTCAAGCAGTAGTTTCAGGCACAAATAAATCATCTTCCCCAACAAAGCCTCCAATCTTAGATTTTTCTTCACTAGCGTCGAGTTCAAATGAATCGTCTTCCCCAACAAAGCCGCCAATCTTAGCTTTTTCTTCACCCTCAAATGCAAAACCATTGGTGTCATCATCTTCAATGTCGGGATCACTACTTACCTCATTGTCAATGGAAGCTTGAGCTTTCTCGTGATACTTTGTTCTTACGCGGATACGCTTACCTTTGATGTAGCGGAATTCCCATTTCGGAGGAGGGTATTTCCTATGCAGTTTTTCATATTTATCCAGCATCTCAAGTTTCTTGAAAACGTCCCCAACCATTGATACGATTGCCATAGATGGTCGTATGCCAAGCTCTTCCATGTCAGCAAATATCTGCAATTTATATGAACAACAAATTTTTCAAGTGAATTTGGAACATACATTGTCAAAGACAGCTCCCGCAAAGAGGTGGCAGGCAAAATTATAACGAGAAATGCACAAATTTATTATCAGTCTCAGTCCCACAAATTAAAGCTAATTTCAACAAAACACCTGTTTCCTTATCAGTAATTTTAGTTCAATCAATTAATTTCCGAACAAATAAGATAGACAAGAAATATCACTGGCTAATTAGTTTTTCCCTTTCACTTTCAATTGTGAGGCAGCTAGAATTATGAGGATAAATTTCATCAGAGCGGCTGGAGTTCAACGCTGACAAATGATATCTTGATTGTTAAATGAATCAAAAATTGAATGATAAGATTGGTGAGAAGGGTATCTAATATATTTCAAATTTTAGATATATAAAAATTATGGTTCAACTGGAGATACTTCTAATTTAACAAGTCACAAATTATTCAGCATATATTTCACATAGTTCAAGATGGGCCATTCAAATCTAAATCAGAGGACAAAAATGATTTCAGATGGTAGCTGAAAAATAAGTTTCTACAAGTGCATATGTTTATGATTAATTTTTGTCAAACCGAACAGCCCTAAAAGTTCCAAAACAAATACTTTTTTATGCAACTTTAATTTTTTAAGAGAAAGGTTAATTTTGGCTATGTAATGCAATTAAAATAAAAAATGATCACTTTTTCAGAAAATGAAGTACAATTAAGTTGAAATTGCCCTTACATTTCTTTAGTTTCCCACTGTGTAAAGATTATAACATGCCAAAATAGGAGATATTAGCTAGTGGCAACATGAGTCGGTGACAACTTTTATTTGCAACAGCAGGAAAAATGACTAACAGTCTTTATTATATGAAAATGAAAAACATGGACAGATTCTGTGCATATTAAGTACTCATAACAAGGTATATACTACATCACCTCATTGATCACGAAAATGGGGCATGTGACTGAATATGGCAAAGTCTAACACCAATAAGAACAAGAATATGCTACCATATATGAAACTACATTTGCAAAAGGGATGAGTAAAAGGAATACCTCAAACATCTTCTCATGCATCTCACGGGTATAATAGATAGAAATCATCCTCTGAAAGAACATTCGTGGCATACTTTCCAGGTTTTGGGAAAATAATGTCTTCCAAAGCTCTTCAGCCTCCTCAAGCCTTCCATCCTCCGCCAAAGCATTCAGCAAAGTGTAATAGCTTCCCATTGTTCTTCCTTGGCCTTTGCTTAGCATCCATTTCGTTACCTTGTTCCCCCATCCCCACCCACCAAAAAAATAGGAAAAAAAATATCTGATTTAATATTCAAGCTGAAAAATAATGAAAAACAAAATGCTAGAAAGTAGGAACAGTGAGAGCGCATACCTGAATTATTCTTTTCCACTCCTTTTCATTCTCTAGGGTTTTCAAAGCTTTCTTTACTGTAATCAAGGGGAATTCTAATTCCCAGGCAATAAAGGAATCAAGAGCGCCATAAACTTCCTCTTTGACATTAGATAATCCCTTGATCTATAATGATCCAACACTAGTCATTGTTCAAGGTATTGATTCAATTTACAAAAAATGGAGTATTCACAATATAATGTGGGGGCTGATCCAATGCTACTGTAAGCCTGACAATAAAGCATAGTGACCAGAAACCCTTACGCATTCAACAAGCTTGAGGGACTTCGAAATAGTCCCTATTTTCTTCTTGGTTTTCCATACCCGAGGATATCTTGGACGAGGGCCTTTGGCAGCACATTCCTGGAAAATTATGTTAACAGGGTAAGTTCCCAGGGTCCATATTTCATTAAAGACACTGCAGTAATTAGCGTCAGATGCATGTTAAATAACAGCGGCATCACCTCTCCCACTTATTGTCTCTCGATGCAGCCATCCATAATAATAACATAAGACAATATCTTGAAAATAGAAGTGTTATTATGATTCAACTTTCTTTTATTCCAGAAGCTAAACATTCCAACACCTCATCTTCCGGTGATTTTATGTGGTCCTAGAAACTAGCAAAATTTCTATTTGATTCTATAATAATTGATTGTTTACGAAATCCCTTCAAGCTTCCACTTGAACATCGACTATCTAAGAAAGATGCATAGAAGATGAATGCATGTAACTAAATATGCCTTAGCTTGGTTTTTCAATAAAAAGAAAGAGAAAACACGAGTATAACAAAAGTATATTGATCATTATCCTCACATTCTCACAACATTGGGAGATCAATGGTGCATTTTTCGCATACAGAAAGAGACGAGATGGAAGCATGATCCATGTGTGGCAAGAAATGAAAACACCTAACCATATTAAAAATAAATAATAATAAAAAAAACTAATAATGTGAATAGCCAATGTGATTATGCAAAAGGTAGTATAATTACCCATTTATAAATCAGAATTTTAAAGAATGCATTAATAAATTATTTTATCCAATTCGATCATATCTACTTATGCATGACAAACTTAAAGTTGGAGTAAAATATCTAATTCTAAATATAGAAAAATGACAGACATGTTCTCAAATAATCCAACGGTACCTGTATTTCAATGTAGTTTTACATCTCAAATGTCTGCTTAAAACACCGAATCCACCAAGTTTGACTATCACAAATGAACATTTTCTCTTGCTTACAACCGTGTAAAAAATCCAATAGTTATGCAATCATTGCTCCCTATTCAAATTCTGATATATTCATACACATAAAGCTTTCACCCTACACCATAAACCAAACAATCCCTCTTATTTATACCAAAATTATATATATCACTGTTTAAATCACACACATAATAAACACATTCAACAAAGTAAAATGAAAAACAAAGAAGAAAAAGAAAGAGAGAGAGAAAAGAAACAATAAAGTAAAGATAAACACATGGTACCTAATCACTTGAAGTAAACAGGAAGCCATTAATGAAAAAGCTTACCACCAAAAGGGGGAAATGATTCTTCCCTAGTTTAACAGAATACAACGGTCCAGTAATAGTTGCCAGAGAGTGACTCAAGCCAAACATCCTGAAATGAAATATTTAAAATAACCTCAACATCATAAGATAGTTTGTCCATACATTATAAATTGAATGATAATAACCGTAACTTCCAGAAGAAAGATGACATCCCCTTTAGAAAGTGAAATAAAAAAAATAAAATCCTCAAATTGAACGATGAAAATGAAAAGGTATAATAGCAAAGCAAGACGATACAAGATACCAAATCATACATCTAAAGCCAATAAAATCCCAAACATAACAATCCAATCAATATAAATAATGAACAATCACAATTCAACCACATACAAATTCACAAGCTGTAGTATCAAATTTGAAACCTTGTAAAGTAAAACTCACCAATTCCAAAGCTAGCAGAATAATCTCCAATATAGGATGGACATACGGAAATTCCACCAAAAGTAAATCCAATCAAATATTGATTATACAGACCTTAATCAAATAAGTTTTGCACAAAATGACACCTAATTGAACAATATTGAAAAGGAAATGGAGGGAACATACCTAAAATTTGAGGATTTAAAGATTCTTCTAGACTAAGACAAGTTTCTTTCTTTACATACTGAACGGGCTTAGGAGTTTTTGGACTAAAGATACTGCTTACACTGAAGTGTTGCAATTCTATAGTAGAGCTAGAGGTCAAAACAATTTGGCAGCAACACAATGGTAGTGAATTAAAATTTACATAGCGAACTATAGGTCAGGTTGTTGAATCAACGGGTTTTTAGTAATATTTAAAAAAATTATAAAAAGAGCAATATTTTCTCATACAATATGAAATAAAGTTGGAGTTGCTAAAAAAGATAACAACTCAAAGTAACTCAAAAGTGAAAACAACGTGCACACCAAGATTATAGGTCCATCTACTCAAATACACCAAATTCAGGTATAAATCACCACAGATTGAAAATATTAATTGAAAGTGAAATAACAACAAATATGTGAGATCTCACAAAATTAACAATGGCAAAATTATTACAATTAACCATGCTTCAACAGTCAACTATGTTGTATAATCAGGTAAATTATCTCAAACTAATATGTTGAACAACTATCCAGTTGGCAAGCAGATCACTCATGTTGAAATCTCTCCCTAAAGCTCATAACCCAGCTGTAGAATATAAACAAGAAAGGAAATTATCCACTCCCTCTTCACAAACTATATAAGTCAATAAATGTTCTTGGAAAATTGTAAGAGCAGAGGTCTATTTATGATCTACATCTTTAAAATTAGATCAACTCTGCAGCTCGGATAACAAAGTACTTTTTGAATGAAGTACCAGCCAGGCAACCAGTTAACATGATTATAATTATATATGAATTTTATACTCTACGGGTGTGTTTGTTTGGGGGATTTAATAAGATTTCTACTATTCATCTAATTTTTTCCCCCCAAAAACATCAAATCAAACACCTATTTTTAATTTTTTTATTATACTAAAAATCAATTTTACATTCAAAACATCACATCAACACCTATTTATATCACATCATACAACTATTCAAATTCAAAATTTTTACTATTCAAATCCCAACTCAAAATCCAAACCCCCAAACAAACACACCCTACAAGTAACACACACAGGTCCTTACATTTAATATAATTCCTTAAAATCATAATGAGATAAATCCACAGGCATCAAAGGGTATTTCTTATATCAGATGAAACCACCGAATGAATATAGGTTGAATCAATATAACAACAAAGAACTAGCAATTGCCCATGAATTAAAATTGAAATAGCTGCATAAAACCGTATACAAAAATGCTAACCATAACAACACAACAAATAATATGCACTAAAATTGATAATGGCAAACAACTCTAACCCTAAATATCCATAACAATAAAAATGAGCTTAACATTGAAAACAACAAATATATCAAAATTACTGCAAGAATTAAACTTACAAAGCCTCCAGCGAAGCTGCAGAAGAAGAAGACGTCAAGGCGGCGGCGACGAAGCCGGGAACCAGAGAAGAAGAAGACCAAGTCGAATACAGCGGAAAACCAGGTCGAGGAAGACAGATGATGTCGGCAGACGACGAGGACAAGTACGAGGATGATGGAGGCAAAGCCAGTGTTGGACGACCACTCACGTCGACGGCGGGGTTCAAACGTGGGATTTTGGATTAGGTTAGGGTGTGTTTGTTTTGAGTTTAGATTTTTATTTTTATTTTTTTTTATTTGGAGTATAGATTTTGAGTTTCGAATCTTTGAGTAATAAATATTTGTAATTAAAATAATTGTATAATAAACTATAAATAATTATATAAAATTAATTTTATTACTAATTTATTTTCATTTTCCGTTTAACTAATTTATTTTAACTAGAACGAGGGAATATAATAGTATTTGCATTGTTTCATGTTAAAAAACAATAGCAATTTTTTTAGGGTAAACTATTATTTTACTCATGTATCTGAACCCCTTATTATTTCAGTCCCCTGTTATTTCAGTTCCGTAAGTGGAGTCTGTCGCAAACTAGTCTCGTGAAAATTTTTTGTTGTTTTAGTCCTCCGACGCCGGAGACGCCCACATGGCTCGCCGAAGGTGACGTGTCCGCCAGCTGTCCCGACAGATCAGCGACACTTGGCGAACACGTGAATTTTTTATTTCATTTTCTAAAATTTTTTTAAAACTTATTTTTAATTTATTTTAAATTTTATTTGTATTTTTTTATTTGGTCCAATTAAAAAAAATTTAAAAAATAAAAAAAAAATAAATTCACGTGTCCGCCAGGTGTCGTCTCCGGCGCCGGAGGACTAAAACAACGAAAATTTTTCACTTATTGAGACTAGTTTGCGACATGCTTTACTTACAGGACTAAAATAATAAAGATGTCCAGTTACGAGACTAAAAAAATAGTTTATCCAATTTTTTAAGTTAAAAAGTATATGAAGTTAGAATTGATGTTTCATTTTATCCTCAATAATAATAATAATAATAATACATATAATACTATAATATAATATAAAAATAATTAATTATATATTATATTTTAATAAAAAATAATAATATAATAAAAAATAATAATATAATTATATTATTATTTTTAATTTATATATTATATTTAAATTAAAATTAAAAATTAAGATACTAAATTTAACTAGAAATATATAAATTTTTAATTATACTAAAATTATTAAATATAGTTTATATAATTTTAAAATAAATAGTAAAATACAAATAATTTAATGTTATATTATAATTTTATTTTTAATTGATATATTATTTTTAAATTGGAATTTTATAATACAAATAATCAAATTTTAAAAATATATCTTTTTATATTTTAATTTAAAATTTTAAAAAATCATTAATAAATTTTAAAAATAAATTACAAAATTTTATAGTTTAATACTATTATATTAACAACATATTCTTTTGATTAATTTTAATATTTTTAAAGCACTTTGGACTATATTATATTGCAAAACTGCTTAGATACTGATTAATTCAAACACAAAATCAAACTTCTATTTTGTGTCTTCTATTTTATTTATGTAGTTTGCTTATTTTTAAGTTAATTGAAACCGGTTTGTGGGATTTGACTTTTCATTTTTTATTTTAAAACATAAAAATAATAATTTTTTTTTTTTTTTTTTATATTTAAAGCATCGCAAACAATTATTTTAGTTCAAAATTTTACTGTTTAAAATTCAAATTCAAAATAAAAAACCAAACTCACTCAAATAAACACACCCACTATTTTTTTACAAAATATTATACTTAAAATAGTATGTAAATAAAAAAATCAAATCAATATATTATTTAAATCAATTTCAAAATTATAACGTTAGAATTTGTTTGTTTTATAATTTCTTTTTCAAAATTTTACTATTGATCACATTTTTTTATTATTTTTTTTACAATATCAAATCAAATAATACATATTTTTTGTTTTAACAATATACAATATATTTTTTTTAAAACAAAAATCAATTTAAACGAGTTTCACTATATTTTTATTGAAAATAAGTGCTAAGAAAATAATATCCCTTGTCCGTCTCATTTATAATGTCCGTATTTTCATTTTTGTTTGTTCAATTTATTTTTTTTATTTTTTAAATAATTATTTTTATTATAAAATAATTATTTTTACTAATATATTTTTAATTATTTACTAATTATATCCGTCGTTATCTTAATCTTAATTTATATAATTATTTTTACTAATATATTTTTATAATATGTTATTTTAATTTTAATTTATAAATTTTTAAAATTTTTAATTAAATTAATTAATTATATTAATTTAAATTTATAATTATTTTTATTAAATTACTAATTATATTTTTCCTAATATATTGATTTTATTGTTTTTATAAAATCTTAAAATTACAAAACTTGTATCCCTTCCGTCTCAATTTCCATTCCATCTTAAAACATTTACATTATATTTTAGTAGTAAATAAAATCGTATACTAATATCAAAAGATTTTCAATTTACTTAAATTATAAAATATACAATTACTTCAAAGGACAAAAATTCAAAAATTATTGCATATAGTTTCACTCATTCATAAAATTCTAATATTTAATTTACTACAAAATTTTAAATGACATATTTAAAATGGGAAGCATGGACTGTATAAATGGAGCTTAAATTTCTAAAGAACAAGTGAAAAAAAAAAAATATTTAATGTGATATTTTTTAAAAAATAAATAGTGTTAAATAATATTTTGTGAAAAAAAAAAAGCATTTGGTGCGATAATTTTTTAAAAATAAACAGTAATCCGTTAGAATAAAAAAAAGAGCGGCATCAAGTCATTGCCCTCCAAACCCGGATACTACTCGGACCATCCAAACCCGATCCGTATAAACCCGGGTACGAATCTGGTGGATGGATTGACCGGAGATTGCACACTATCGAAGTTTCAATATTGTGATGAATAAAATAAAAAAATAGAAAAATTATAATTAAAATTCACGAATCACAACTGGACTGGACATCTCTCGTGTCGTGTCGTGTCGTGTCGTCTCTCCTTTTTAATTTGCTTTCCTCTTCTAATTTCAAAGGTTTTCTTTCTTCCGGAAACCTCCGATGGATCTCTGAATTCGCCTTTGCTGCAGTCTTCGATTTCTGATTTCGGCATACTTCGTATTTACCAAATGGCGTCCGCAGAGCAGTTGATGGGCAGAGACGGCCCCAAGTACGCTCAAATGCAGAAGGAGGCGCCGCCGCCGTCGGGATTGCCGTCCTTGACTTCCTCGTTTTTCTCGTTTCATAACCCGAATTTTCTTAGTGGCGAGACGGCTCGGATTTTTGATGAGCTGCCGCAAGCTACCATAATTCATGTATCGCGACCCGACGCTAGCGATATTAGTCCAATGCAACTGACATACACGATTGAGCTCCAATACAAAGAGGTATGCAGTTGTTAATTGTGCTGGTAGGGGTGCTCCTGATGCATTTTGTTAGTACGATTTTCCGATTTTTTTGTGGGCGATGTTTCATCCTTATAGGATGTTTTGAGCGAAAATGGTAAAGTTGGATTATTATTTTCTGATCCCAGAGTGGGTATCTCGTAGTCCGTTGTTTTCCGAATCCCCTACAAGAGTAAGGATTTTGGGTTATTGTGATGGTTTTGTTGACCTTGCTGGAGATTTAATGGCATCCGCATGTTTGCGAGGTCAAATTCTTGAATATGTGGATTGAACCATTGATTTTATTTATTTATTTATTTTTCATATTGTGATTTTCTTGTGTTCGTTCTATCCGAAAATTTGGAATTGATGAAGATGCTCTATAAACAAAACCTTAGTGCTAAATCAAACTGCATAAATAATATTCAAAGAATTATGTTTAACGCAAGTACTGTTTAAAAACAAAACAAAGAGCACTAAGCAAATACCGGGTTTGTCTTTCTTGAAACATTTTTGGGTGTTTATTAAATTATTGCAGCTGGCTGTTTATTCCCTGAAGTTTGAGGTTCAAACATATATAGAAGTATATGGTTACTTTGTTTTGGTTGGTATTTGTGAGGCTTTTATTAACTGAGGTTAGACTCACTTGCCCAAATTGATGAAAGTTTCTCCTCCTTGTGTTAGTTCAAGTGGCAATTGGTGAAGAAAGCTTCGCATGTATTCTATCTACACTTTGCTCTGAAGAAGCGGAAATTTATCGAGGAGATACATGAAAAGCAGGAGCAGGTAGCTAAATTTATCTTATCAAACTTGCAATTGCATTAGCTTGGTGGTCTAGTGGTGCATGTTTTCAATATTGGCTGTGCATATTACATGAGAAAATCAACTGTTTTCTTCTTATTGTAGCACTGAGGAGTGGCTAGTATTGGCTACCATCACAGTTTTATTTGTCTTAAATCTTTATATAGGTTAATTTATACTCGATTCAATTTTGTGAAGGTTAAAGAATGGCTTCAAAACATAGGAATTGGAGATCACACAACAGTTATGCAGGATGATGAAGAACCTGATGATGAGGTTGTTCCCTCACGCACTGATGGATGTTCCAGAAACAGGTGCTTGTTAGTCAAGCAATGACTTGTTCAGATCTTACTGGAATAAGATGTGTTGGTTGCTATTGTAATAGTTATATATCTTACAGGTAGTTTTTTGTTCAGAGATGTTCCATCAATTGCTGCCCTTCCAATTATTCGGCCAGCACTTGGAAGGCAGCATTCAATGTCTGACCGAGCAAAAGGAGCAATGCAGGGATACTTGAATCATTTTCTAAGCAATATAGATATTGTGAATTCCAGAGAGGTAAAGCTAAATGTTAACATAATTCGTAGATGTATTATTATCTATAGTGAGAATATTTATGATCAGGTATCACCATTGGGTCTTGTGTTGAGATTTCTGCTGTCATTGGTTGTGGCAGACTAGAATGGTGGCATGGGGCGATTGTAGTGAGAATTCTGTTGGTAGAGGAGATACCTTACTTTATAGTCCAAAAAACTGCTTTTTCAACCCAAGAAAGTTGACTGCAAAGCCAATCTAGATCCTTAAAAAGTGTACCATGTGAAATTCATTCAAGGGAGTGTCTCTAGCAGTTTGTTAAGCATTCAAAATCTTAATTGGCTGTTGTTTGCCCTGTGATTTGATAATCCTGATTGGTTATTATCCAATAACTACTCCTCAAACAGTTTGTACTATAGTTGTTGCTTACAGGACACATGTATGCAAGTAATTTTCCTTAATCCAAATGGTCTGTTTTACTGGCACATTACTAGAACATTTGTGGTAAGCTTTATGTATGTTGTAGGTGTGCAGGTTTTTGGAAGTTTCAAGATTATCTTTTGCTCCAGAATATGGTCCTAAGCTGAAAGAAGAATATGTATCGGTGAGGCATTTACCAAACTTGGAGAATGATGGCGACCAAAATTGTTGTTCATGCCTGTGCTGTTGGTGCTGCAGGGATAATTGGCAAAAGGTTTGATATTTTTGTGGTGATCACTGCATGGCTTAATAGAATAGCTTCATGTTGTACAAAATCCAAATGTTTATGTTGCTATGGTTAGTTGAGTTATAAGGTGGTATGTCATTTTCTTAAATCTTAATGAAGTTTGATTAAATGCTTTGCATGCTGTTGAAACGTTACCCTTCTTTGGTTATCAACTGAAGCCATTTTTTCCCCATCCAGTGTACCTATACTTGGATTTTATTTATTTTTTTAATTCTTTTGGACTCATTGATTTTCCAAATGCTATTTTTGCTGAAACTAAATATAATCATGTACTTTTATTGTTCAAATCCACCGGTATGCACTGTCTGATCATCCATCCTAAAGAAATTTTATGATCTTAAAAGTTTGAATGTAGAGTTTTCAGGGAAAGTGGACTCAGAAGGTATTCTTTCTGTGCAAAGTACTAGTAATGGTTGTTCAAAGTCTTAAATTGAATTTGAAATGAAGTATAGTTGCTAGCATGTGGTACCTGGATATTATAGGATCTTCCTGCATGTAGCCCACTGGGCTATTTATTTGATTATGATAAATCAAGATTTAAGACTGATTTAAGATTTTTACAAAATAAATAAATACAAAATTCTGAAAGTAGAAGAAAACTGATATATGATGGTTTACACCCTTCCCTTTCTATTTATTACTCTTTTATCTTTTCAGCTTGTTTTGATTTATGATCTGATTTCCTATGCTCATTTTCTTTCTACTATCTCTGGTGCTGCTTTTGTTTTGATGCTTAAAAGTATTGCAACCACATACTCTGGAACTTATGATTCTTGAAACTGTTGACAATAGAGTTGGATCATCTGCAGGTTTGGGCTGTATTGAAACCTGGATTTTTGGCCTTTCTTAAGGACCCTTATGATCCCAAGCCTTTAGACATTATTGTTTTTGACGTTCTACCTGCTTCAGATGGTAATGGAGAGGGCAGAGTGTCACTGGCCAAGGAAGTTATCGATCATAATCCATTGCGCCATTATTTCAGGGTAAGGTGTGAGATATATCATTCATTAGCTTTCTTGAAGTTTTCTCTTTCCTCCACAGGTGGTGGTGTGATAATCTAGTACCACTCTTTTTAACATCATAACCCAATAGTCACTAGTCTTCAGTGGACAATCAATTGGGAGATTCTTGCATGTTTGAGCAGTTGTGCTATGGATAGTTAAGCACCGGTCTGAACAAAAGCTTATCCTGTAACTTACATATACAGAATTACAGATTGTTGGCAACAACTTGTTTAGGCAATAATATGTGATATAGATCTTCTCTATTTAAGGGAGAGGGTTTGTTAACTTTACAGCTAATAGCACCTGTGCCTTGCCACCCCTTAATCTGATCCAATCATGTGTCTAAATATGGCATTGCGGACATTGCTTTGGGTAAGTCAAGTTGTGAGTTTTCACGATATAAAAAAGACTGAATTCTAAGGACTATATGGGAAGGAAGTAGCTTCTGTTTTTCATCTAAGTTGGAAAGAACTAGCATTTTTCTTACAACCTAAGTTGGAAAGAATTATCCTTTTTAATCTCCATTTTATAAGGTAATATATGTTCGAAGTATTGATGCAAAAACTAAGTGGGAGCTTGCTTGAGTATAACTGTTATTTACCATATAATTAACTGTGTTATAGTTTGCTAAAAGTCGCATGGTACTATCTTCTAAGATTTAAATGCATATGCCAGGTGACTCATGGCACTACGAGCATATTAAGAGTGGTATATATTCTAAGTATTCATGCAAAAAATAAGTGAGAGCTTGCTATAGTATTGCACTTATCCAATCTAACTGAACTGAGAGTTTTACTTTGCTGCAATTTGCATGGTACCGTATTTAAGATTTTGATGCATGCCAGGTGACTTGTGGCACTAGAAGCATAAAACTTAGAACCAAAACGAATGCCAAATTAAAAGATTGGGTAGCTGCAATCAATGATGCTGGTCTTAGACCACCTGAAGGGTGGTGTTATCCCCATCGTTTCGGTTCTTTTGCTCCTCCCCGTGGTTTGACCGAAGATGGGAGTCAGGCTCAATGGTTTGTGGATGGTTGTGCTGCTTTTGAAGCAATTGCTTTGGCCATTGAGGAAGCAAAATCAGAGGTGGAGTTTACTCTCGTCTGCGTCTATGAATTTTTCTTGGAGTAGGATAAATGGGTTTTTGCTGCAAATTGTAATATGCTTTAATGCAGATATTCATATGTGGGTGGTGGCTGTGCCCTGAACTATACTTGCGGCGTCCATTTCATGCAAATACATCATCTCGGCTTGATTTTTTGTTGGAGTCTAAAGCCAAGCAAGGTGTACAGGTAGTGTGATTTATCTAATATTCTATAAAATTCTCAGAAGTGCATCCTGAATGGCTAGGAAAATACTTGTGATTTTGCTAGTTTTACATACATTGAATTGTATTTTGTATGCATTAGCAATAGCCAGATTTACTGGTGTCATATGCATGAACTTCTGACTGCACACAAAGTGGTTTTTGTAAATAAACAATCAGAATGCATCACAGGTGTATGGTTGGTCTTGTTCTTATAAAACTTTTCATGGTGTGGAATGATCTATCATATAATTGAAGATTTATTAAATTATGCTTTGTATTGGTAAGAAAGGATAATATTTTGATTTGTCAGGTGATATGTCAGGGAACTAGTGGAGTAAAACATAATTCTTTAAATATCTGGAGGAAGAGAGATGCTGATTAATGTTGTCAAACTTGAAAATAAAGTTTGTTAAAGCCACTCATCTGAGATTTTATGTTTCAATATTTTTGGGGAGGTGCTGATTGCTGCACTGAGAGGTCTACTGCAGCTGTGTTTGTTTGGGGATTTTTTTCGGGTGTGTTTGTTTGAGGGTTTGGATATTGAGTTGGGATTTGAATAGTAAAAATTTTGAATTTAAATAGTTGTATGATGTGATATAAATAGGTGTTGATGTGATGTTTTGAATGTAAAATTGATTTTTAGTATAATATAAAAAATGAAAAATAGGTGTTTGATTTGATGTTTTTGGGGGGAAAAAATGGAATGAATAGTGTATATTAAATCCAATCCCTCAAATAAACACACCCTTCAAGATTTTCACTATTCACTATTTTTTTCATCCCGAAAAGATTAAATCAAACTCTTATTTTTTATTTTTTTTTTATATTATACTAAAAATTAATTTTGTTGTTCAAAATATCACATCAACACCTTAACAACTATTCATTATCAAAACTTTTTACTATTCAAAACTCAAACCCCTGAACAAATACACCTGCAGTTTCTGCGAGATTTTATTTGTAAATAGAACCAAAGTTCTTTCACATGAGGCATTATGGCAAAGTTACTGGTTTGTTCTTTTACCCTAGAAAGTATGGGAATACGCCTTAGAGGCAACGGGCATGGAACTTAGTATTCTCAATCTTCGGAGATTCTGCATGCTATCCTCTACACATCTTCGCACTTCTTTTTTTTTACTTAAATGTCTATATGCCTATTATCTTTTTCTATTTTATTTCATACTCAATTTTAATTATGCAGGTATACATTCTTCTCTACAAAGAGGTTGCCTTAGCTCTCAAAATTAACAGTGTTTATAGCAAGAGAAAACTTCTGAGCATTCATGAGAATATCAGAGTACTTCGGTATCCTGACCATTTTTCTTCTGGTGTCTATTTATGGTATGCTTACTATATCAAGTAAAATTCTGTACGTACTTACCTTCTTTTAACGTTTGCTATTGAAACCTTTTAAACCTTGTTGCATATTCTGGTGCATAGGTCCCACCACGAAAAAATTGTTATTGTGGATCACCAAATATGTTTCATTGGTGGACTCGATATGTGCTTTGGCCGTTATGATTCTGGGAAACATAAATTGTGTGATTATCCGCCAAAAATATGGCCGGGAAAAGATTATTACAACCCAAGGTATCTTCAAACCTACTTTTGCTGGTGATGATAAGCAATTTCTATTGTTTCTACTTTTGTGCAGCAGTGGTTAGGTCTTGATTGTTTATCATTAGACAGTCTCTCTAGTTAGCTGGAGCAGATCAGTTTCACTGCAACTAGCCTCTAAATAGTTGCCTTAATTTTCTTTAGATGGAAATATTATTTAAATAGAAAGTTTAGCATCTGTTATCTTTATTGTTGATTTATCGTTTCCTGGTTTCTATGTTTCTCTCTCTAGACCTTCCAATGGTATGTAATGCTTCTTTTTCCTTGTTAAATAAAATTATTCTCACTAGAAAAATAAATAAGTAAAAAATAAAAAGATAGAAACTTAACTGCTTCCTGCTGTTCCAAACTTGAGATTCTTATTGTTTCTGTTGTACGATAGCAATCATATATTTGACTCTTTGTTTGCCATTTCTCTCTAATTTATTTTTGGAACTGATTTTTTTATTTTTTATTTTTCATTACACAATAATGCAAAATATTTGATATGATATACTATTGCAGGGAATCAGAACCAAATTCCTGGGAGGACACAATGAAGGATGAGTTAGATAGATTGAAATATCCACGCATGCCTTGGCATGATGTTCATTGTGCCCTTTGGGGCTCAGCCTGCCGTGATGTAGCCAGGCATTTTGTGCAAAGATGGAACTATGCGAAGGTTGATTTTGAGTTTTCTTTTTAATGCTTCAAGCGTAAGTTATTTTAAAGTTGTTTGTCATTTACTTTTGTCTTATGATCTTGCAGAGAAATAAAGCTCCAAATGAAAACACAATCCCTCTACTTATGCCTCAGCATCACATGGTTATTCCTCATTACATGGGAAGAAGTGAAGAGATAAACTTCAGCAATAAGAATAACCATGTTGATCATGAAGGCATCAAAAGAAATGATTCATTTTCCAACCCATCTTCACTTCAAGATGTCCCACTGCTTATGCCACAAGAGGTTGATGGGCCAGATGCAGGGAAGATAGAACCAATGTTATATGGGTTTAACACATTGGATGATCTTCATGATCTGCCAAGCAAGCCTAGCAGGAGTCCGTTCTCTTTCCGTAAATGCAAAATTGAACCATTAAACACCGGTATGCCCATGAGGGATTTTGTGGATGGTCATGACAGCTTTGATCCCCAGAGTGCCCATATATTGCATCCTGGACCAGAGGTTTCAGAAAAAGAGTGGTGGGAGCCACAGGAACTAGCTGATCAAGTCATTTCTGCTGATGAAACTGGACAAGTTGGACCTCGTGTATCAACTCGTTGTCAGGTGTTTTCATTATCTTTGTTTACATTTTTATGCGACAAATTGCTAACCTCCTCTTTAAATCTGATCAGTGATATATTTGCCTGTGTAATTTATTTTAAGGTTTCAAAATCTCTTTTTTTGTTTTACACAATCATTAAGTAGTTTACATCTAATGAGCAATAATGGTAAGAGAAGATTTTTGTACACTAACTTTGCCACAAAAAGCTTATATTTTCGAAAGAATATTCGGCATGTATATTTCATAGGGATAGGGGCGGCAACCATGTCAGAAATGGGTTGGTAGATTGAGTCTTGACCCATATATTATAAGAGACTTTTTTTCTTCAATTCCAACCCACCTTTAGCTCGTTTTTATTATATTTTAACTAATTTGTAAATTTATTTCAATTTTAATTTCAGAAGTGGGTTCAGGACTCTTAAACACATTTCTATACCATACACACAAAGCTAAACAGAAGAAACTCATTAGTTTAATATTTTGTAAATGTCGCTGTCTTGACTCTCTCGTGTATTTATCTGTGCTATCATTGCAGCTGTTCAAGTTATCTCACAATGATTTCTATGGATGTGTTTGGTTTATGTTTGTGTTCGTATTTTGTTTTTGCATACTGGTTTGATGTGATGGTTTATGAGAGGTAAGAGGGTATTTTTCTTGAGGAGCGTGGGAATAGTATAGTAATGAAGCAAAAGAACTTACTAAAAAAATATAACCTATATTTCTTTTGGGTTTGTTTTCTCGAGGTTTGATTTTATATTTTGGTTTAAATAGTGGTTTGGATTATGAGAATAAATAATATATTTTTATAGAGAATCGTAAGAATGGCATAGTAAAAAATTGAAATCAAACTTCATGAAACAGAGCCTTTGTTTCTGTAAATGACTGAAAAACTCCTTATAGAATACTTGAAAAGAATCACATGGTTTGCTGAGTGACCAATACACAATGTGTATAAATGATAGTAGAAAGTGTGTTTTAATTGCTTTGGCCCAACCTTGGACACCTATATCTAAGCTTATCTTATTTCAAATTATTGAGATGAAACTTTTTGAATTGCATCTGCGTATGAGATTTGTAGTGTTTCTGATCTTCGTTTGGTTCTCCATAATTATTTTTTTCTTCTAAAGAGGCGATTCAAATCCAATAATTAATTAACTCTGGTAGCAATATGGATGACCTGTGGTTCTCAGATTATAAGGAGCGCTAGCCAGTGGTCAGCAGGTACAAGCCAGATTGAAGAAAGTATTCATAATGCGTACTGTTCACTTATTGAAAGGGCAGAACATTATGTCTATATTGAGGTTTGTAATTGTTCTTCTTCAATTATTGTTTATTTATTGTTATTTTTTTCCTTCTAAATAATGTTATACAAATAACAATGATGAGAAAATTTCAGCTGAACCGGCAGTATAGACTTCTGACATGTCCAAAAGTAATTTTAATTTATATATGTCTAATTGTGGAAAGTGAGATTGAGACCATATAGGGCGATCGATAAAGTAAAATGATCTATGTTGTGTCCATATTATGAATGGTTAAGAAAGATACATGATAAGTTGATATGTCTATTAAGCACAGAATGGAGCAACAGATGGGGTTAGCATGAGATATATAATTCCTTTTCATTTGTCATGATTCAGCATTACATAAATTCATGTAATGAGATCGTTTTCTGAAGTGATATTGTTGAATTTCTTCCAGAATCAATTCTTCATCTCTGGTTTATCGGGTGATGAAATTATTCAAAATCGTGTTTTGGAAGCATTATACAGGCGCATTATGCGAGCATACAATGAGAAGAAGTGTTTCAGGGTCATTATTGTTATACCTCTCCTACCTGGTTTTCAGGTACTGTTTTTATTTTTGGGCAGTGCCTATTCTCTGAATCAGGTTTCTCTCATATTTTTTGTCATGTCAATTGTATAGGGGGGTGTGGATGATTCTGGTGCTGCATCTGTGAGAGCTATAATGCATTGGCAGTATCGAACAATATGCAGAGGGCACAGTTCCATATTGCACAATCTTTATGATCTTGCTGGCCCTAAAATGCATGATTATATATCCTTTTATGGACTGAGAGCTTATGGCAGACTTTTTGACGGTGGTCCTATCGCCACTAGTCAGGTACATCAGCTTTTCTTTTATAAAAAGATGTATGTCTTCTTTGATCAAGGATATCCGATCTTTGAATTGTATAGCCTTCTGTTTATGCTGCCTTTGCAGAAACTTGAGTTTTTCACTTTCAATTTTTCAAGACTTTAATGCATGTCTCAGAAAACTTATATGTTAGGATGGTGAGACTAAAGAAATAGATTACAAGCCTTCTGCTAGATTAGGCTCGTTCTTTATTATTAGTTTAGGCCCATTTAAAACTAAATATATATATATTATTTATTGTTTTATATAACTTGATTTTCTTTTGCGAATATAATAAACTTCTACATGGTGGCTAACTATGATAAGGAGATTTCCTTTAACCAACTTCCAGGCAAATGTGTTCTCTCTATGAGGAGGAACTTTCCCCCACACAAATAGATTCAGAGCCCATGATGAAAATCTATTAGTCTCAATCCAATGCTAGGATTGACTGGAAAAGGAATCGCTGGACATTGTCTTCCACCTCAGTCTATCTGGATTTGAGGCTAATTGAGAGGGGCTGGATATTAGTTCTTCGAATTCTCTTTCCTAGTCAAAAGAGGGCGGCATAGCTTGATATCCCACGTCCAAGTATCTTCTTTTCAATACCCAAAATCTTTGATACATCCAGATTTAGAGTTGGAAACCACATAGATACGACCAAAATAAGTCTCCGAAGGGAGGGATTGATAATTCCAAGGGGCATGCCAAAACCTAAGGCTGTGTGTGGATGTGGGGTTAGGAATAGTAAAAATTTGACCTAGATGTATTTGATAAAATACAAATATGTGTTTGATTTGATGTTTCACTTATCCAGTTGGCATGATATATTTTGCACTCTGCAGTTACTGTTACACCTGTGCCAATAAAGTTGCTTTGCCTATTTTTTGAAAGGACTTCTTGCTATTAAGCCTGATGATTTTTTTATGCTTGTCTTTCCTAAGGTGTATGTTCATAGCAAAATCATGATAATTGATGACCGGACTACATTGGTTGGCTCTGCAAATATTAATGACAGAAGTTTGCTCGGATCTAGAGACTCTGAGGTAATGTCTTATTATTGATAAGATTTTATTTTATTATTATTTTTTCTTTTTTTTTTTTCTTTTTTGTTGGCATTACAGAACACGTTCTCCAAATTTACAAATTATTCACAATGCATGCATATTATAGCTCTCTTATTGTAGTCAGGGTTGCTAGTTACCTGAGGCATGATCCACTCAGAGTGGAGTTACCATCTGCAATCGTTTTAGGGTGTTACTGCATGTTTGCACAATTTTTAATCATTTTGGTGATCTGTTTGCTTCAAGTATAAGATATATATTAGATCCTCTATTGAAAAATTTTACTTGCTATTTGTTGCCTGGCATTATCTTGAATACTAGTGGTGGGTAGTTTAGTTCATTTTCACTTGTACTCTGAGCTCAAAATTGGGTTTAGGATTACTCTCTCAGTAGCAGCCTGACTGTTGGATCCAGTCATCCAACGCCTCCAACAAATTTCGTTTGGTCCACAAGGTTGTGTCATATGCAACTGGCCCTGCCCGCATTTCATTGGTTATTTGAGTGTTGCATTAATTAATGTATTCAACTAAATTCTCTGCCACTATTACTATTATTTTTACTTCATTCGTCCTCCAATTTTGTGCTCAAACATGTGGACATATGTTTTAATGAGAATTGGTAATAAATTGATCCATTCATTTTAAGCAAGGAAAAGTACCTAGTACAATAATGACAAAGAATGAAAATATTTTTTAAATTGGATTGGTATTTGCAGATTGGAGTACTAATCGAGGACAGAGAATTTGTAGATTCATCCATTGGTGGCAAGCCTTGGAAAGCAGGGAAGTTCTCATTGAGTCTTCGTCTTTCACTGTGGTCCGAGCACCTTGGTCTTCACGCCAAAGAGGTCTAGTTCTTCACAGCTACATAAATATAGGAAGCCGTTGCATAGTATTTTTAAAAGCCATGATTTGACGAGTTTGTTTTGCTATTACAGATTAATCAAATAAAAGATCCCGTGATTGATGCAACCTACAAGGATTTGTGGGTATCAACTGCAAAGGTAAATAGTTTTCAAAATGTAAATGAATAATAAGGAAAAAAAAACATGTTTCCACATTACTGATACTCAGCCATTATAGTCGAACTGATATCAATTTCTGCATTCATCATTTACTAATCGAGGTTCATTTTATCTCTGACAGACAAATACGGCGATTTATCAAGATGTCTTTGCTTGTATCCCAAACGACCTGATACACACAAGGTACGCCTAACTAAGCCAGCACAATTGCTGCCATTTTACATGCAAGTCCCTTTTACATAATCCCCGCTCAATCTATATATACATATATATATGCAGGATTTCACTTCGACAATGCATGAGCTCTTGGAGAGAAAAGTTTGGGCACTCAACTACTGATTTAGGGATAGCCCCTAACAAGCTGGAGACCTACCAAGATGGTAAAGTGATAGAGATGGATCCAATGGAAAGACTCGAATCCATCAAAGGGCACCTGGTTTCGTTCCCTTTGGACTTCATGTCGAAGGAAGACTTAAGGCCCGTGTTCAACGAGAGTGAGTACTATGCATCAGCGCAGGTATTTCACTGAGTTATGTGTGTACAAGTATAATGGTTTCGATCAATTCATGGCTGGGTCACTGAGCCAGATATATAGTTCCCTATTTTTCACTGTTGTATATTAACCTCTCCTCATTATGTTATGTACCATACATACATACCACACGAAAGGATACGTACAGACCATTGAAACTATGCTCCATTAGAAGCAGAGGCAGTGGTATTACTAGCTGTCTCTGGAGTATAAATATTCTTCAACTTATTTTTCCAACACGTGCGAAATCTTAATCACTGCTATGTTTATATACTCCATATTGTAACTGATTGAGTATTACTGGTATATTGTTTGTTTATGTCTAAATATTCTAAATTACTATTAAATACTCCCTCGATCTTATATAATTTGTTTTTATTTTTTATTTTCTTTCGTTCCATATAAATTTTTTTTTTCTTTTTTGAAAAATTGATTATACAGTGCAATCATATTTTAAAATTTAAATTTTAAAATTTTTTAATTTTAATTAAACTATTTAATTATCTTAATTTTTATCTATAATTATTTTTGTTAATACATATCTTCATTACTTAATAATTAGGCTAAATTGTACAAAATTTACTAGTGATTTTACGAAATTGCTCCAAATCTCCTCAGTTTTAGAAAAATAAAGAATTTGGACGCAATTTCATAAAATTACAGATCCTCAGAGTTGTAAAACAAACAAATTGTTTGTTTGAGCTCGTTAAAACTCGATTTTTTTTTCTTTTTAATATCGCGGAAGTCGCAGCCATACTAACTAAGCCCGACAGACGAGTTACATTATAATAGACTAACGGCAACGGCAGGTTAACACATTATTATATAAGCTCGATTTCTTATTTATATAAGCTATATATAGAGAGAGAGCGAGAAGTTCACACAGAACTGAAGAGCAGAAAATCAAAAACAAATGATTTCTTCCAACGCGAGTAGCAAAGGCAACAGCAGCAGCTTAATGCGTCTTACTCAGACACTTGCTCATTCTCCATTTCTTCCACGTGCTTCTGCTTCTCTCTCGCTCCTTCCTCACGTGCCCCTCACGTGTCCTCGCCTCTCAATACTAGCGCCTTCCACGCGGCTCCTCAGCCATTGCTCTGTTATGGCCGCCGGAGATTCTCTCCCGCCGAAAGTGTTGCCTTTCGAGCTCAAGGATGAGGTCGATTTTGAGCAAATTGTTTCCCCCGACGGACTCGTTTCAGTCTGCGGCTTCGGCTCTCTTCTCTCTGGTTCCTGCCTTTACTGATACGGAATTTTAGGTTTAGTCCGTTTTCGGATGTGTTCTCTACTTAGATGGTAAAATGTTGTGTGGTGATTTTGCAGAAAGGAGTGCGCGGAGTACGTTTCCGGATTTGATCAACTTTAGAGTCGCGATGTTGATGGGATTTCGAAGAGTTTTTGCTCACGTTGCTCCTGTCTTCTTTCAACGCGGCATAGCTAAGCCTGAAACCAAGGTCCAACCTTTTATAATATATCTCTGGCAGTCTGCAGAAGCTTTGTGTGTAATTGTGTAGAAACTAGACGAGGAAACAAACATTTGTTTTGTCCAAGTCTAACTACTTGTTTGAATCGTCCTACCTCCGTGATTGATTTTTTTTTTTGTATATAAAACCTTCACACGCTCCAAAATCTCGGTTTTGGGTAAATACTTTCCCTTTACATGTAAACTTTTGATCCGAATTTGTTATCCATAACATTGCAAATGCACTGTACTTGATTGCTAATAATGTATATGATTGCACATATTTAAGGCTAAATTTTGGCTGAGGAATGACTTTTGGGTAGATTTTAATGTACAGAATCAGAGTACATGGATTGTTATGTAACATGTATGTGGATAGAATTGAGACAAGACATTTCTTCTGTGAGCTTAGCACCTTTATGCTATGATTCCTGATGATACGTCTAATTGCCTAGCAGGAGATCTAAACTTGATCCTTTCGTAAATTTAGCAGTGGTACCGGTTGTTCTGATCTGATGTGATATGTACCATTGCCAAGCAGGAGATCTCTAGCTTGAGCGTGGAGCCATGTGAAGGTGAAAATCTTGTAGTGACAACATTTGAGATACGGAGATCAGAGGTATAAAACTATTAGTTGCTCTGCTCATAAAGTGCATGCATTGCTGCACTTGAGAAAGTGATGCTGACTTGTGATTTTGCTATTTTCCAACTCAGATACCAGCTTTTATTGAACGGGAGCACGAATTCCGCTTTTTAGCTGTAAGTTAAAACATCTTTATAACTTGTGTGTATGTGTGTCTTATGTGATCCATACTTGTCACAATTGTTTTTTTTTTTTTTTTTCTTCTTTCTTGTCAAGATTGTAAGATGATACTTGTATTTGTAGGTGACACCAGAAACATTTAATGGGCTGCTTTACACTACTCCAGCGGTGAGCATGAATCAGCATTTCCTTTTTCTATCTGTTTGAGTTAAATTCGTGGTTGTTTGACTAAGTCTTGTTCCTTGCGGTGATGCAGGTACTATGCACACGTTATAGTGATGAAGAATACTTCCATGACAGATGCAAAGGTGAACATCCATTTTGTCACGATATTAGCTTTTATTTTTGTATTTTAGTGTTAGTATCAAACAGTCCGTAGATAAGTCAACAATTAATTTTCTTTATACACATATGTGATATGTTTGCCTTTTTGATAGATTTGATTTCTCCCCAGGCTCTATTTCGATGATAACATCATGTAATATGCAAATAATATTTTAATGCTAGAAGTTAAACAATAAGAATGTCTTTCTGGCATTGTTGATTCATGCCGGTCTTGCTTTATTTTCCTTTTTTCTTGCTAAAGTACTTCATTCTTTTAGTGTTGTTGTACCGTCTTCGATTGCTCATTCATTAAGAGTTTCCCTGGACATGCATCTTCCGGCAGGAAGTGAAGAGATGTTTTTTGAACGATATGGACGATATGGTATTAAGAAGATCTGGTTGGATGATATTTTACCATGCCGTGTTTACCTGCGCCACTGGTGAGTATAGTTTACAAGTATTTATTTATGTATGGTATGGTTCTTCGACCTGCCTGTGCAGTTATTATTGGTTAACTAGCAATTATACCATTGCATCCATCCATCCATCCATCCAAATTGGTCATCACTTGGTCTTCTGATTGAATATTCTTCCATTCCAAATCGGTCATCACTTGGTCTTCTGATTGAATATTCTTCCATTCCAAATCGGTCATCCAACCATACCATACAATTTGATTTGTCGAATGAACCATCACTGTAGTGTATTGGCAGCAAAGAACCTCGGTGAGGCAGCCTTCGACAACTTCCTGGATCATACATTCCTTGGCGATCGTAAAACCAGCATCCGTGAGTACCTGGCTGCTGCAGGCTCAGGCATTATGGAAGAGGAGCCTCCTCAACAGCTCAAGGAACGCTATGGTGGTTGATCAAAATCAAATTGTAGTTGAGAGGTATGTTAGAAATAAATGTTGTTGCTTGTTCGGTTATCTACGTGGGTATTTATAGGAGTTTTTTTTTTTTTTTTTGGTACTAGTTAAAAACATATTAAATACATTGAAAATAGTAAAAAAATCCATTCTTGAACATTCATTTCCTCAGAATTCCTCTTTATCTTGGGAATGAGTCTGTCTTTGAAAATTACAAATCATTTTTAACATTAATACCTCAACTTAATTTGTAACTTCAATTATTTTTCTGAATCATTGAAGCTTCTCTTTTGTAATTGCCTTTGTGAGTACCTCGGCAAATTGTGTTGTAGTTTTAACATGCTCTAGAACGGTTTTTTCCCCCTAGGGCCTTTGTACGGATAAAGTGATGTCTTAGCTTTTGTTCTTAACGAGACAATGGATTTTTTGTTATGGGAATTGATCAATTTTTTTGTGCAAATTCTTCAAAATTCTACTAAACCTAGTTGTTTCTCGAATAGCTTCGTTTGGAGCAATATAGTCTGCCTCTGTTGATGACATGTCAATTAAAATTTTGTTTCTTTAAACACCATGAAATTGTAAGTAAAAAATATATTCAGACACGCTCTTCCGGTCATCTCTGTAATCATTATTTGTGAATCTGATCAATTCATTGTTCTCAGAGGAAGCTGAGTGACTTTGACAATTTTTTATAGGAGATTTCATCTTGGAAGAAACTCGCGCCTGATTGTACGTTGTGATGGTTAAGCATCAACTGGAATGATACAAAATCTAATGTACAACAGTAAGTTGTGACATATTATTCGTTACTAACATAATACATTGCGAGAATTATGTATCTTTTTAGACTATGTATGTAAGTTGTAAGAATAACATATTGGATTGGCTAACCAAATGATTAGATTGAGGAATAGAGTTAAAAATCCAGACTTGGAAATGAGTTTAATGAATATTGAAGCATTATGAGTAGAGCTCCCAAGAAATGAAAAATAGATGATTAAATGGGAAAGTATGACTGTCCTATACATCAAACCGTATTGTGACAGACGTACTGATCTTGGATTGGATTGGATTGTATTTTTATTTTGAATTCTTAATGTATTGGAAGATCCAAACCCTATTTACAGTAGAGCTACATAGATAGATACACACACACACACACGTATTTAGATAGCATTAATTAAACATATATGTATGTAACAGTTCCAATAGTACTCTCTCCCCATTGGTAAATAAATAAATAATAGTAAGTGGAGTGGAATTGAATTGAAGGCAGTAGCAACAGCAGCAGCATTAAAACCCAACCCCAAGTACCCAACCCACCCGCTGCTCTGTTCTGTTCTGTTATCTTCCTTAACTGCCTGCCTGCCTGCCTACCCATCCACCCACTCCACCCACATTAACATAACATTTAACATTTACCAGCACTGGTCAGTCATTGAATGAGTGAACGAGGCAATCCTTTAGTATAGTATAGTATAATACTAGGAATCTCTGAGGGCCATTTCATTTCATCGTTTATTTATTTTCTTAATAATGATATGACGATATGGTGACGAGCGAGGGGGAAGCAGCAGCAGCAGCAGCAGCAGAAAAACCAAAACCAAAATCAAAATCAGAGTCAGAGTTGGCTGTAGAGCAAATATGTGCATCTGCTGCACATTGTGCTTCGCATCAGCCACCATTCATCAACTGGTATCGTCTTCTCAAAGTAAGTACGTACGCAATTAATAATGCCCATCTCTCTCTCTCTCTCTGGTTGTTGTTGTTGTTGTTGATGATGTTGTGTTCCTCCCTGCCTGCCTTATATATACTTCTTCAACTAGGTCGACAAAAATGCAGACTCCGAATCCATTAGGAAGCAGTATCATAAACTAGGTAGGTACCTAGCTGGCTGGTAACACTAATCCAATCCATGTGTGTGTTGTATTGTATTTATATCTAAATACATACCTATCCATCTATTTGATGCAGCATTACAGGTCCATCCTGATAAAAACAACCATTCCAAGGCTGAAACTGCATTCAAGCTTCTTTCTCAGGTTTCCATTTCTTTTCCCATCACTTAAAATAATAATTAAACTAGTGATGAGTTGAAACAAGATTTTGTTTGCTACTTACTCTTGAGACGTAATTATTTTCATTGTATGATGTAACAAGCTGCATCACAATCAATCATTGAATCTCAATCAGACTAGTGTTAGACTATTATCTAAGCAGAAGAGGTGACAATTAAATTGGCAGGCATATTTGTGCTTATCAGATGAAGTGAGAAGAGCAGCATTCGACTCGGAAAGGCGAAAGACTATTGCCTGCAACAACTGCAACACCACCAATAATAATACATCATCGGCACCGTCTCCAGCAGCAGCACCCCCAAAAAGAATAATACAATATCAAAGATTCCGCCAACAAATAAAGAAGCTCAAAGAAGAGGCAATCATCATACAAAAATGCTTGACACAAAATGCAGCAGCAGCAGCAAATACAGCTACACAAACACCTGTTTTCAATCCATCCGCCTACCACCACAAAGGGTATCCTCATTACAGAGTTGCAAACTTTAAAATGCAGGATTTAATGGCAGGGTCTAGCAGGATGGGAAGCAGATCATGTACGCGGAGTGCTGCAGCTCAAAAAGCTTACCCAGTTTTCCAGCCTCGACCAGAAAGATGTACAAGTACAAGAAAGCATTAATCGATATTTGCACTGGAAAAGATTTTCATTCAGCCTATTTAATAAAGCAGTAGTTTCCACATTCAGGCGCAAAATCCTACAGACTAGAATCCTGTTAACATTCAAACAGCATTTTGATGCAGAAAATAGGCCGCCAATGAGGTGATTAAATAGCAAAATCCTACAGACTCAAATCCTGTTAACATTCAAACAGCATTTTGATGGCAAATGAGGTGATTAAATAAATATTACAGCAATCAGAAATAAGTCGCTTGTTTTTACCAAGGATAGAGAGTAACAACTACAAAACTTTTTATATTCTTCCGAAGAAATGGAACAGGAGAATTAGAGTGGTGACCGGTTACAGCGGCCGGAACATTTTCAGCTGATTAGTGGTTTCTTACCATTTCTCACCTCAGCTGATTTAATCATTTTTAGCAGACTCATTTGGTGGACTCAGATCCCCATTCTCTACTAGTGGTTTCAACTCTTCGTTCGCCATCTCCTTAATTTTTGAGTTTGAGGTTTCCAAGAATGCATTGATGACCTTTGAACTGAAAATAACATACTTCTGGTGTTAGAATATCACACAAAAGTGAACAAAAGCTAAACATGGAAAATGTTTGGTAGGATACTGGTACCTGTGACCTTTGGCCCAGATTGCACATTTTCCTTTCAAAGCCTTTTCCCAGAGAGTAGAGGCAAAAGAAGGGCAGTCTAAAACCAGTTTTCTGATTACCCTGCTCGAATGGAAGTGCTCAAGGATATGCTCTACGTCTGGTTCATCCATCTTCGGCTGAGCAGCAAGAGAAGCTATAGATTTATACAACTCACTGAGCTTTTCATCCAATGTTGGATGGAGTATCCCATCAGCACCACCCGTAGCAATCTACATTCATTTTTCCAAATTAAATATCCAAAGACACCATAATCTACATTGGCATTTGTAATAGACTAGGTTCAGAATCTCATCATTGCCAGTAAAGCTGTAAAAAGGAAAAAGAATAACACTAACACAACAAATGTCCCAAGAAGGCAAACTGTGTTGTTGGCTAGGTTAAGGAAGGGTGAAGTTCCAGGATATGAATTGATCTTTGTAACTATTGCTATTTGTGGATTATTCAGCAACTTTTCGCTGACTTCATTCTTTTTTCCAACCCAAAACATTATGATAATTTTAGGTGAAATTTTTCAGAAACAAAAGAAAGCTAATGTAAGATGCATAACTAAAGTGGGTCAACCAAAATCAGACGACCTTGCTCAGGCTCAGATATTGAAATCCTTCAAGTTCTCTCAGAATCCTCTACCAAGTGTTAGTCCATGCGATGAATCTACCTCCAGGCGCAAATGTTTGAGCAACAGAAGAATTGGAGCCTCTGAATCCCTACAGTCTTCCCAAGACATTCAGGCTTGATTGATCACCTGCTTCAAGGTGTCCCTTTCCTGTTCAAATTGAAAGACCTGAAAAGTATCTTTCGATCTTGGGTTGGTAAGAAGTCTAGGGGCCTTCAATTTGACATGGATCACCTAAAGAACTCATTGATGGCACTAAAAAATTCTCTCATGAACAATCTAGATGAAGAGTCCCTCAGAAACAAAATTATCTCTTGTAAGTCTAATCTTTGGCTTGTTTGAAAGCAACATGAAACTCCGTGTAGTAAAAAAAAAAATCCAAGATCACCTGGTGATGTGGACTTGAACACAAGAATCTATCACATACCTGTCTCATCTCAGAAAGCTTCAAATAGAATTCACTCCTTGAGTGTCTTTTCTGGCAAGACTCTCAACTCATTGAATGAAACTGATACGCAGTGGACTCAGTCAAAAGTTTATTCACGACGAGGAAGGAAAGAGCAAGTGCACTTTGGGCTAATTGTGGCAATGGCCTGAAGCCTAAGTTTATTTTAAATACCTTAGTTCTTTATTTTCTTATTTGATTATTTTGAATAAATTGTTAGATTGGTCGGGCCTAGGCCCGTAGGCGTTTTGCCTTAATATTTAAGTATTATTTTGAAACATTATTAGCATTCTGATTTCCTCCAATCTCACCGTTTTGGCAGGTCGGACCAATTTGATAACTCAAGAACTTAAGAGAACTAAAGGACTAAACTTTATTGAGAACTTAAGAGAACTAAAGGACTAAACTTTATTGATAACTAAGGAAGAATTACTCTTCCCGACCAAGCCAAAAAGGTGAAGATGAAGAAAATCAGAATACAAATAATGTCTCAAAATAATACTTAAATACTAAAGCAAAACGACTATGGGCCTAGGCCCGACCAACGTAACAATTTATTCAAAATAATCAAAAATAAAAAAATAAAGAACTAAGGTACTTAATAATAAACTTAGGCTTCAGGCCATTGCCACAATTAGCCCAAAGCACTTGTTCTTTCCTCCCCCGCCGTGAATAAACTTTTGGCTATGCCCACCACAAAAACCAAATTGGATGTTTCCATCCTTCCTCCAACAAAGGTAAACCTCCTCTAGTTCCTTATGCAGTTGCTTTGGATTATCGCACAAAGAACCTATGTCAGCCTCTTATGGACTTTTAAGTTTTCTTAGCATTATCCTCTTGTTCTGTTGGGGACTTCCGTATGCGGATATAAATTAATGGCTGCGTTTCTCAAACAGTTTAAATTTTTAGGAGAGACGGTCATTCAGCATCCGACATGGTATCAGAGCCTAAACTAGGTCTCGAATTCGAGTCCTGCCCATCCCCATTTGCGGCATATGCATGTGCAAATTTTGCAGACCCCACTTGCACCTAAGGGGTCGAGACCCGCCCGTCCCCAATTGCGGCATATGCATGTGCAAGTTTCGCAAACCCCACTTGCACCTGAGAGGGCGTGTTGGGGACTCCCGTTTGCGGATATATGATTAATGGCTGCGTTTCCTTAACAGTTCGAGCTTTTAGGTGAGATGGTCATTCAACATCCGACAAATTCAATTGAACCTTTTTCAAAACTTTCTAGGATCTTCACCATCCTAACATCATGCAGTTTTTTTAGGCCTTCTATTCTAGCAGCTTCATTACCATCCCATATCCCTTTGGCAGCCTCTACAAGATTCTTGCTAAGCTCCTTCATTATTTGGCGTAAGACCACGCTGCATTGAATTTACGCCTTTGTGTGGATGCTTTCAAGATGTGACCTCCCAGTTAGAGGTTTAGTAGCATCTCAGGGATACACAGTCTCTTGACATTTTGTGTCTATTGTCATATTTCTGGCACTCACACTGAGACTATCTTTCACTTATTCTTCCTTTGCGGTTCATTATTCCTCGAACATCCTCAATAAACTCCAACTTTACTTCTTCTGATGTCCCAACATCATATTTCACCACATCTCTTGTTCAACAAATGAACTGCCGACTTCTTTGCAAAATGAGAAGCAAGAGGCTCTCATGATCTTTCAGTTTGGCTGTAAACTTCGCTTCGCTTGGTTTGTTCAGCTTTTTACAGGAAGCCCTATTCCTAGTCTTTGGTTTTCTTAATTTTCAGGGCTCTACTCTATTAGTCAATCTTTGTTGTACTTTGTGTTTCTATCCTGGTTTTAAACTAAAGCTTTTCCTGTTGTATCTTTCTTTCCCCCAAAATACACTAAGGTGGTGAATTTAACATAAATGAAGAAACTAAAGACATTAGGTGACTAATTGTTTCCTATTCAAATTCAGGATTAATGTTTGTTATGAAGATGGTGTATGAATGAAGTGCCATTCCAAAATATTGGGGTCCCAAACATAATTACATGAAAAGCAAAAGGACAAGTACCTCATATATGATCTCTTTACCATATTTAGACCTTAGCAAGCTTTCTGTCATTTCACAACATGCATCAACAAGCTCCTGCAAAGATAAGATGTGAATTGATATCAGGTTTAAAGTTAAAATAAAATGAAGATTAAATCAAATCCACAAAGCCAAATCTACAGAATGGAGAAATAGAACTAAGGTACAGAGAAACATGGTTCATAATAGGCGACAACAATGTGAAGCACAAACCTCAGCAAGTCCACTGTCAACCAGTAACTCATGCCTCCTCTTAGAAGAATCCTTTTTACCACCTTCATTTATCTGGGCACTTATATCAGGATGATCACCTTCAACATTCTTATCTTCTTCACAAACTTCACTACTATCAGATTGCTCCTGGAATAAAGATTAGAGAAGGCATTGTTTGATTACTAATAATAGCAATAGCAATTCAGTTTTATCTATCGAGATAAAACCAACAGAGGAAAAAGACAGTGGGATTGCCTTGCTTTTGAGAGAAGGAATGGACATGCTTAAAGAAGTTAGATCATCTGGGCTGAAATATCGCTGACAATTAGGATGCAGAAGTTGCAGAAAAGGGCGCCTTCCATTCTGAAAAGTAAATTATTATACACATCATCAATTCAGAGGCAGGTTTAGAACATCTGGAAGAACTACAATAAATACTAGGCCATAAAGTTTCACGAAAGGGAAGTGTAGGCTGAAACAAAAAATATAAACAAAATAAAAAATAATAAACTTGCAAAAAATCTTGGTGTTTCTTTGTTTCTTCAAACTTGTTTCATGCTATGCAAATATATTTTTCCCCATTAAACTTGTTTCTTTGTTTCTTCACATCTACCACCAACTTTTTAATAAAATGATCAAACCTAAAACCTATTGTCCAATAAAAACATCAAACCGAGAACCTATTTTCTATTTGCTGAACCCATAATTTACTCAAAACAGCACGTCCCAACAACTAGTTGCATTTAAAACATCAGATTCAAAACATATTTTCCACAAAATATTTCAAATCCAAAATACAAACAGACCCCTTTTTTGTTGCATGAAATCAACTGCAATAAGTTGGCAACAATGAATAATGTAAACAACTAGGATGAAGACTAAACATTATAAATTATCAACAAATTTAAGAGCACGAGCATAGTTCAACTTCGAAAGAACATTGGATACAGACATCAATAGGTTAAATATCAATAAAACACATTGCTATCTAACCTGATCCAAAAGAAGCTCTTTCAAGTTACTTTCAAGCTCACGAAGGATAGTCTGCAATAAAGGAGCAACAATCAGGTGTCCTCTAATGGAATATGAAGAAGTTCCTAAATCATCCACACACAGACACACTCACATATATATGTACATATCAAACCTTGGAAATGAGTTTGGTGTCATCAACAACTGAAAAAATGCAGACAAGCACCTGAAATAATGATTCAAGTACCATGTTGATTACTAAATAATAAATTGCAATATTGTTGAAATAACAAATTGCAATACACCATGGAATGGAAGAGAATGAATATTTGAGATCAAAAGCACAAAATATTGTTGAGATAATTTGTAGGACCCCAAACAACACAAGAAATGGAAAATTGAAGAACTGCATACAAATGATACCATAGTCCCAAATTTGTCATGGCATATTTTGTTAACATGGCCTTTCATTCCTTTGATAATCTTCTTCCGCTCCTACAAAAACATGACAATCAAGTAAACTTTTAGGATCAAGTTAGTCCATGCAAACAACTTGATGCATTATCTCCCTTCAACCCTTTAGCTCAAATCACACAAAATGACAATATCTTTAACAATTATAAGATTTTCAGATTTTTGAACCTTTGCACCCCCATGCCTGATTGAGAGCATACCAAGCCTCGATCCATCCTTTGTGTGTATCATTCGAACAATAAGTGGACCGGACAGTTGTTGAATTATATCTGCAGCAGAAGACTTTTGAAAAGCTTGAATTAGATACACAGTATTGAAAACAAGCAACTGTCTTCAAAATATTTCCAGCATGGAACAGAATTGAAAGATTAACAGCTGGCAGAAGTACTTGATCCGCAATGCTAAGGTATTCCATTAATGCTCTGTGAACAATTGAGTGATCTAATATCCCTTTCTCTAGAATTGGCTGAAGCACAGAAAACATGTGGCGCAAAACTGATGACTTCTGAAGCTGCAGCTTTGTAATTACATCCTCTAATCTGTAACAGGAAGGGAATATTGTGATTCAGAAACTAGAAAAAAAATTCTAACAATTATCAGGCCAGTCAATTTTGGGATACATCACATCCAGATAATTGGGGCATCTTTATCTAAGCAGCCATCTTAAAAAAAATAACATAGGCTGCTAATTTAGCTCTGAATTTATACTTGAATGCTTCCTAAATTCCAAATTGTTATTTTATTATTAGATGTCCTTCACATTATAGTACCTCATCAAAAAACTCAGTTAAAGTAAGAAACTAGCCATTTAACAAAGTGCTGTCTCCACATCACAATTCACATGTACAAATCCACAATAGTAAGAACATGAAAGTATCACCTGCTCTCCTTCATAGTCACCAAGTCCTTGAATAACTGCAGTTCTGGTGAATACAGTTCCATAAGGAGAGCTTGCTTCTGAGTTGCATTACCCAAATTGTAAGCATGTTCAATAACTGCAAAAGCACGCTAAATCATTCAAGCAATCATGACAATGAAAGCAAAATGTTCTGTCAAGTGATTACAATAACCATCACTACAGATGCCTACAATATACACATGAACCAAAAAGAATAAAACTATACCAAACCAACATTAAATAATAATAGTCGTGAAGACTAGAACCAGATTCAAGCAAATCTTGAGTGGACTGAACATGACAGACCATACACTCAGAATTATGAAAAGCAATCCAAGGAACATCAAAGACTGCACTTTTTCTGTACCTAATGAGCCAACCATATGCCGAAGAAGTGAAGCAACATGACCGTGGAGAGACGAGATAACTTCAGCAATCTGTTCTTTGGATGCTGAAAAACAAGAGAATAAAAAAACTGTTAGTGGAAAAATAATTGTGACGCTAAATGTCTATATAGAAAGTGGTAAGGAAACAGAAAAATAACCAAGTCAAAGATCACAATTCAGAAAATTTTCCAGAAAGACGTACCATTATCTAGCATTTTAATGACAAGATGAACTGCATAAGTATTATTTGCAAGGGCAATTAAGTGTGGCCTAAGCTCCGTGAACACAACATTTCTTTCATCTTGTGTACAATGTTTAACGCAAGTCTGCAATTCAAGAAAATACACAAACACCTCAATAGAACTGAGTAAAGCTCATTTTGTACAAAAGGTTAGAAGCTCTTGGCGGTGGGTTAGTGCATGAGGAGGTGGATGTTTCAAAACCTGAAGAACACGAGATGAAACATGAGAGCTTGCAATTTCTGACATCTTCCCTGTCATCTTCTGCAGTGCTTCACTTACCAACCTTACATATAGGTCAAAAGAACATTAACCATATAAATGATTCAAAAGTAATTTTCAATTGAACAAATGTAAAAATAAAGCACATGTTGGATCAAGCTACAAAAGGGTTCAGAGGCAAATGGTTCCATACCTTGACCTCTCTTCTTTTGCAATATTTCGACATCTCATCTTCTCCCAAAGCAAGGCAAGTTCCTGAGGAGGTAAATATATTTCAGAAAACAGGATCTATTTTTTGCTAAAGGCAGCAAAAAAATATCCCAGAAAAGTGAAAGAACATGGACTTGATCAAGTATCTAAGGTTCTATTTACATATGTTTTCAACTTTGCTTTGGCACTATTCATAAAAAAAATCCTTTATTTCAAATATAACACATATAACAGCTATTTTTCATTTAAAATATTAAATAAAAACCTTTCTTCTATACAAAAAATCACATCCACCACCTATTTTAGATCACATCAAATACCTTTTTTTTTATTAACTTTTTACTATTCTCAAAACAATCCAATACTCCAAAACATATCTAAACACACACTATGTTTTTCCATAAAGAAATCCCAAAATGCAATTGAAAAAAAAGAAGGTGAAAGGACATGTGAATGCATAATGCAGAGGCACACATATAGGACTCTATCACAGCACACTTGCTCAGGCACAAATTTACTGTGGCAGTGCCTATAGTTATACCATGGATATAACCCCTATAAATAATTAACATACATTAAGAAGACAGCAGAGACTCCCAATGATTAAGATGGCAAATTTGTTGGGATGAAGTAAAGCATGACTTTTAAAAACATCTCCCTAAAAATAAACACATACTACACATATTTTTCTTTTAAAATATTACATCAAAACATAATTTCTATTCAAAACATTACATCCAATGCCTATTTTCCATTCAAATTTTACTTTACTGTTTCTAAAATTATCCAAAATATATCTAAACAAACCATTAATCTTGGGAAGAGAGAAATTGGTTGCAATTGAAAATTGAGGTTGCTATGTTAAAATTAGTAAGGCATATACCTGTTCCAGAGAAAAATGCTTCTTCCTTTTCTTTTTTCTTGCTTCAGCTAGCTCCTGGATGCAAAGGCATTAGAGAGAGTAGAGGCATAATCATGGTTTAGTATCACTTCTAGAATAAATCGAACCATTCTAAAATGCAAGTTTCAAACCCATCAGAATTTAAAGCATTAATATTTCAACTAACGGAAAGAACATCTATAATCAGAATATCTTATGCTTCTAACCACAGTGTAATTGACACAACTTTCTCCGGGAGTATTGCAAAGGTAAGAGAACAATTCACAGTTTCTAGATCCAATGCGATTAGAATATTGAAAATCATATATGCGTCAGAAGCACTAAGCAGCTCCCACAGGACCCGAACACACTACAGTACATGGTAATGGTAGCGGCAGAAAAGTCTCGATTTTCCCATGATTTATCCAATCGACATGGAAATTTCAATTCTCCGATTCTCAAATACTGCCAGTAGTTAAATTTAGCTTTTCAGGGTTACAAAAGACTCGAATTCATGCATTCACGAGTTCCACAGATAAAAAGCCGAAACACAATGAACCACCAAAAACGGGGGAAGAAATAAAGCAACCTTCGCTCGTAGACGGCGTAGTTTCTTAGTATCTTCTCCTTCATCTTTCTTGAATCCTTGGCTCTGCTTGTCATTGGCAGGTGGTTTGAAGTGCTTCTTCGATACCTTATTTTGAACATTGCTTGAACTTTGCTTGTGTTTCTTGGAATCGAAAGCTAACTTAGGTTTCTTGTTGTTTGCTGGTTGTTGCTCGGACTTGTGATTAGAGGTTCTTTTTCTCTTCTTTGCCTCTATGCTCTTGCTGTGTGGCTTCGCCGCCATGGATGGCTGAAACTCTGGAGTAGGAGGAGTCCTTGTTGTCGTGATCGTTGCAAGAGCCTGCCTGCCTGCGCGGCGTGGTTTATAGTTGGGCCCAAGTTTCAGGGTTTATATGATTAAGGTTTTGCGTTTTAGGTTCGGGTCAGGGTTCCCAAACAAGTAGTGTGCATAAATACTAAATTACAACAAATATTGTGGCCCATCAAATGAGCCCAGCTGGTTAGCAGCCCAATTCTCCTTGTGAACTATGTTCGTACATAGCATACTTGGCATTTTTATTTATTTTTTTTAATGTAAATTTTCGATCTAACCTAATAACATTTAAATTTCGACTCTTTCAAATCCTATATAATGACTTGTCTTATCGAGCCTATAACTTCACTGGTTACAAATCTATCATTGCATCAGCGATTTCACCAGGCTTGGTCCTTTTGTGAAAGAAATGTATAAGATTGATTGAATATTGTACTGTAGAGTAGAGGGTTAGATAATGGCAGTGCATTGAGAATGTAAGAAATCCACTTACTTGTAGTGCACATGCTTGTGTAAGGAAGAAATAGTGTGAGAGCCGAGAGAGAGATATATTCGTTAGCCTGTGACTACTTGTGAGAGTCCCAATCAACATCATAATAGTATATAATATGCTTCTTCTAACTACAATCAGCTATTAGACCTTGATTTGATTCATGGACAGAGATGTTTTATCAAATGAAATATAGGAATTTGAGGATGGATTGGAGCTCCTTTTTTGTAGGAGAAGTTGCTCTAAGTAACAGAAGCACATGGCGGCGTCGGTGGTTCTAATCTAATCTAATCTAATCTAATCTAATGAATGGTCTTAAGACATGAAGGGAAAGAAAGCATCCAAGGAAAAGATTGCCACAGAATAAAACAAAGAAACTTAAATACAACAATCATCATTGCCTCTGCCAATACAACACCAACTAATCTTAAACATTATAATCATGAGTCCACAACATTCAGAGTCAGAGTATAATATAAAGATGTAGCCTAGCCTAGCCTTGGATTTCTTGAAAAGTATAGTAAGAAATGCTGCTTGCTACGCCTCAATTTGAAATCTGCCAAAACTGATTGATTGATTGATTGATTAGCCCAACAAAACAATTCATCTATTTAGGAGATGTCGTCAAAAAGAAACACCTACAGAATAGGCACATATGGATATGGTTTTCGCTTGCTGCTGCTAATCTTCACCACCACCACCACCGTCACGGTGTCTCCATGGATTGAGAGCTTCCCGCATGGCCAGAGCTTCAGGTGTACTCTCCCATGCCCTCTTCTCTGCCTCTAAAACTGTCACTTTTTCATCTGCTCAATATAAATATAACCCTAATCAGATAAAATTGAGCCTCGACCTACCTTCTGATTCGCACATTTCTCCCAGTCATTAAAATGAAATCCATACTGATTTCGTTCTTCGGAAACTGTCAGATTTTTATTACTAGAAAGCCCATCGATTAGCTATAACTCTTTTGAGTTGATTCGACAAGAAATCATAAAACAAGTTTTTAGAATCTGAGGAGGAAAAGAATGAGGAATGAAAGCAAGATCTGATACGTACAGAAACCAGATTTGATCATGAAAAGCTCCATGGAACCTCCGATGAAGGCCGAAAAAATTGATATCTTCAAGTACCAGTCCCAAAACTTCATTCTTCCGGGACAGTTACAGAAATCCCTTCTTCCACGATGGAAACCAATGGCAATTACTCAGCCACTCTCCTCCACTCCTCCGTATGGTAAACTAACACCGCTTCTCCTTCCTTCCTTCCTTCCAATTGATTCCTACAAATGCAAGGAAGGATTTGAGTGGGTTAATAAGGCTGATGGGAAATTCCAGTCAATGCCAAATTCTTCGAGTGGTTGGGGAGTTTTATAGATTGATTTGTTTGATACCACCTCCTCTATGGTTGCACAGACTAGAGCAATTTCATAAACTTATTTATTAATTTTGAATAAATTTTTCTAATCAAATTTATTTATTTATTTATTTTTTAATTATATAGTAGTAGTAAGTAGTAATTGAAAAGTAGAGTGAGTATATATACATACACTCATTAGTTAATAACAAACGTGTATTGAATATCAATATATTGCATGACTCTACTCAGCAAAATGCAGTTATAAATAAATCTTCAATTACGCGACCACCCACCCAAACTTAACTTGAAGCATTTTAACACGTTTTTTTCATTGTAAAACAACAACATATGGTTTATATAAATTGTACTATGGCACAAGAAAATCCACAACCAATGAATTACTATAAATTATTCCATTTTGGATGGTTGGTTGGTTTCATTCTGCTGTTCAAATTCAAAATGAATCCATTGAAAGAAAACAAGAGGGATTTTGAAAACCTTGCACTGCACTGCACTGACTACCAATTAATTAATCAATTGATACAGGTCGGTCGCAAACAAACCCACGACCAAATGTCAACACAAATAATTACAAACAACAAACCATCATCGCACAAGCTCCTCCTAATAAAGAGTAGAGAACAGAACACAAACAAATATAACAACAGATGTCAAAGTTCAGAAAGAATGGCGGGAATGTAATGAGACAACTCAGCAGTGAGTGACTGAAACCCATTCACAAGCTGGGTATGAAATTCCTGATCTTCCTCCCCAATTAGTCGAAAGTGCACCCGAATGGCGCGCTTGCAAACAGCCATAAACTCGAGAAGTGCCGCGATCAGCTGCTGCAACTCCTGCGATCGCAGCCTCGTTGCAGGTTCCCCGGAAAGAAATGCTGTACAGACACTCAGAACTCCACTGTTTACCTGTAGAGCAGGAGTCGGTACATAGATGGAAACAGAGGAATGACGAATAAATAAATATATTTGTGCTTGCTCACAACAAGAAACAAAAAAAAAAGAAATACCAACTTCTTACTTGTACTGCAACAGAGCCTTGGAGTATCCTCTGCAGACTCTGGAGACGGGGGAGTTGATCACCTTCTGAGCTACGCGGTTCTTCCAGTTCATTTCTTAGCGCTGCCGTACGGGTTTCAATCATCCCAATTGCATTCTCGACAGGGGAGAACTCAAGAGATTCTGATTTTATGACCTGCAGGCGGTTTACTAGTGCAGGGAAAGAGCCCTCAGTCTGCAGTACTGTACGCCGCTTCCACTGGTCTTCCAGCCCGCCCTGTGTCTTCCCATTTTTTGTGAAGGGGGTATCAAACAAGAAGCGGTCAAAAACCCGTGCATGGACACTCCCGGTAGAGAGTGAGAATATCCTCTCTCTCCTGCTTCCCAAGTCCTCATCTTCCATAACAGGATCGGCTGCAGTTATCTGCAGGTAGCAAACATCTGGTTGGAGCTCATCTGCTTTGACCTGCCTAGAGTCTGGAATAACATGCAATGTGGCACCATCCATTCTCGATTCATATATGTGACTGAGTTTCTCCATTATATCACCCAACCTTACATCACGAGGCTCTCTGTATACATACTCCTTCCTATTGAGCTTCCCAAACTTTTCGCCATAGAATCCTACACGGTAATATGTTGCATCTGCAAAAGGAATGGGACTGGATTCCTGCTCAAGGATTGACTCGTATATATCTGTTAGCATGGTGTGGCACTTGGCCAGCTGACCATAAGCCCTTCTGCTCTTATACACCGGAATAACAAGTTCTAGTATACTGGCACAGAAATGATGGAGCTCAGCCTGAGAAAATAGCTTATTGGCAAGCTGCAGATACTTAACCGCTGAATCAACTGTAAGTTTTGAGGCACCATATCCTTCTACCTCAGCTGCTGAAGCCTCGGAAGAGATCTCACTGCTGACCATGGGGCATATTTTGCGTAATGCAGAAACATGATCAGTACTCCATACTCCATCTTTCCTACTTACAAGGGCCTAGAGTATGTCATGTCAAACAACCGTGCAAATTAGTCCCATAATATGCCATATGTTGCACATAAAGTTATAAGAATAAAAAATGCAAATCAATTATTGCAAAGTACTTATCATGAAGATTAGCATTAACAACACAACATTTTCAATTATAATCTGACTATATTTTTAATGATTTATGATAAGATTAAATCAATTTTCTGACATGCCACAATTCCGAAACCAACCCAAAACTTCAAAACACTTCCAAAATATATCTAAAGCACAACCTAAATTATCCACTCAAAAAATAAGTACTCTAATATAAAAAAGTAATGAATTGTTCATAGAATTAATACATTTGTTAGTATGAATAAGATTTAGTGTTGAATAAAGCATAATCCTCCTTAATTTTTAAAAGTTCACAATTCACTTAATAAACCATTACACACTGAACATGTGGTTCTCACTCAACAAAGTAGGGTGTCTACTGAACAAAGAAAATTATTTACTAAACAAAGTAAAGGACCCTACATTAATATACAAAGTAATGCATTTGTGCTTTAAACTAACATATTTATTCAACTAAATATAATTTAGTGTTGAATAATATATAATCACCACTCATCTAACCAAATCCAAGGGTTTGTTTGGTTTTGATTTGAAATTGGAGTTTTTATTTGAATTTTTGTTCAAATAATATTTTGATGTGATGTTTTATGAGAGAAAAATAATGTATTTTAATGAAAACCTTGTAGGATAAATAGTTGTGGTTTGTGTTTGAAATACAAATCAAACACACCCCAACTGACTCAACAAAGTGTCGTGCCTGCTCAACTAAGCATCATATTCACTCAATAGAGAACATGTGTCCATTGAACAAAGTAAATACTTTAATACACAGCGATCAATTCAATACATTTCTTAAATTGAATATGATTCAGTGTTAAATACAGTATAATCATCATCATTTGTTCAATTATTAAACTTATTTTTGTCTATGGTTTGGTTTTTTAACTAGAGTGCTTAAATACAGTATAATCATTTCTCATCCAAACCCATGTGTGTGTAACTCAGCATAGCTGAATGATACCAGAACTTCCGCCTTCACAATATCTTATCACAAGTAATTGGAACGTATTTTACCCTCTATTCCTGATTCTTTGTTATAGCATGATTCACTAAATAGCTCACCCTCTTGTTTTGCACAGAATAATCATTTCAGCACGGATGTGACTTCAGCTTGTGTTCAAAGGCTGGTCATCCCAAGGAGTATCATCTGCCCTGGAGGTAGGACTAGGTAGCTAAGTTTTCCTAATCCTAAGTTGGTGGTATTCCAGTGTAACGCTTAGGGTCAAAGCAGTTGCAGCACAGTTGACTTGATTCAAGACATGACAGGCAAATAGCTATCACCGTCTTCCAATATTTGACTCCTTCGGACCAAGCATTAGGTCCAAGGTGTGAAAGGCAGCATTCTAGAAAGGAGAGAAGGCCAAAACTCCAATGTGCTAATAGGCCGCTCCAGTAGTTTATGCTCATTTCATAGTGTAGTATTATGTCATAATCAGTACATACCATAAGGGGCAATATCTTCAATGTTAAGAGAAAACTTACAACTGATCTCTCCATTTTTCTAACAAGGCTTTGATGGTGCACATTTAGCACCATAAGCAACTTATAAAAGGCACCATTTTATTTTGATATTCTTAATTCCACCCCCCAACCCCCCCCCCCCCCCCCCCAACCCAAAAATACTGCCAAATGCGCAGATATACAACAAAAGGTCAACATAGATGCACAACTTAGACATGAGCACAACTAGAGAGGTTTTTAGTCAGGGTGCAACAATGAATATCAATGTCAAGAATAACAGGAGCTTTATCGTGAATAATGGTACTGATCTTCAATCTAATTTCCCACTCTTCACCATTTCCTAGTCTGTTTATGGTCCATTTAAGTGTCTCATTAGCTTACTCTTAAGCAAATAGTCAGACAATATAGTCAGGAATCAAAACCTTTCTTATGAAGGTACGCATGGCCACTTATATCATTTAACATTAACACAAAACTAAAAGGACTAAATACTAAAGACCACCAAAGAAATTTCAAAGAGCATGATACCTGCATCACTACTCCAGTAACAGCAACAGCACATTGTGCTGCTTCAGCCCAAGACTGCATTTCCTGATGAGCATCACATAAATGCAATAACCACATTATATGAAGATCTGGAACAGGGGCAAATGCTATTGCGAGTTTGTAAAAGCTCTCCGCAGCAGCATATCTGTCCAGTGTCATAATAGATGCCTAGAAGAAAATAAAAATCAGTGGTTACAACAGCAGTCCCTGTATTCAGTCACAAAAAACAGATATTTCAGGAAATACCAGAAGTGCATGTTCAAGGCTGGCGTCGAGAGCCAAAAGAAGACTGTCAGAGAGTGCTTTTACTTCAGACCATGACCAACAATTTTCTGACAAGTCTTCGCGACTGACAAAGAGAGCATTTTCTGGAAGACCACACTCTTTTATTGTAATAAGGCTTTTATACTCATTAGCCATTTCCTCCAACGAATTACGAAGACGATGAGCTTCACCACTTTCTTCAAGGGTTCCATCAGCTTTCATGTGTGTCACTTGTATATCAGACATCAACTCGGATAATGTAATAATAAGGACAACCCGCAGTCTAGCTGTCTGCATGAAGTACGAAAAAGAACTCTGCGAAAACAGAAAACCAGTTCACTTTGGCTGTAAAACAAGATTAAAGATTACCAAAACTAATGATAAACTACAAGCCCACCCGAACAAGTATCTGAAGTCCAAGAACAGCCCTTTTCCTAATATTTTCATTGCGGTAAACTGTAAGTCGGAGAAGATGGAAGGCAACTTGCTTTAGGAAGCGATCATTTTCCCTAGCTACTAGTGTTGCTCCATGTAGCAGACAGACGCTATTGAACACTGGGAAGAGAGCTTTCCAGAGAGCCAATGGTTGGTTGCGCGAGAATATAATCATAAAAATAGATGTGATGCAATCAAGCTTGCCATAATCAGTAGCAATGGTATGGGATGCTACAGCCCCAGAAAATTTCTCGAGTATTTCTAAGATCTGAAGACTGACAGCAGCACTCAGATTTTCCTCCCAAAGTTCCTGAAACAGCACAGGTGCATTAGATATCACAACATATAACAATGTTCTTAAAAGTAACAACAAACTATGCATTCCAGCAACAACCGCCTACCAATTTCTGCCTCAATATTGGGTGCAAAGATTCCCTCAAGGCTTGGATTGAGGACCCAATCCTAGAAGATTGGGCTTGGGCAAGAGCTTCCCTCAAGGAATATGGCTGACTAGGAGAACTTAGTTGGGAGTTGACTCTCTGCCACAAGTATCCATTTTCAGGAGTCCCTTGAGGCTGCAATAATCACTCGTTTACAAATTTAACCTTCATAAAACATGATATAACACAAACATTTGGATGGAAAGACATACTCCAACTTCTTGGTGTGCAGCCTCAAGGAGATAGTGATTAATTGCAGGTGAAAGTATATCAGAGTACTTCGATGAAAAGGCTTTATCTCCCAAAGGACTGCGAGAACTACTGCCCATAAGCATGCTATCCTCAGGCCTTTTGTTCTGTTAAGCATGCATACAGACACGGGGTAAAATTAGATATACTAAAGCAAGATTATATGATTCTCAGAACATCAGAAGCTATATAAAAAATAAGCCAAGAACAGGAGCATTCTATGCACGTTCCCATTTGCATTTTACAACCCACACTACATAAAAGCCACTGTGTAAATCCTCAATGTAGTTTCTCAACATTAAATAGAGAATGAGATTTTTCAGGAATTACCTTGAAAAATATCCTATATCCCATTAAATGAAAACTTAAATATCTGGAAATTAAGTCAGATGCATTACACAAATTGTTGTAATCCCAAACTATCCCATGTTCTAGATGTGGCTTTTGCAGGACTAAATAAAACATATAACCCTCATCATTGAGTGCTTAAAATCAACAATAGATGTAATGTTGTCAGATACAAGAATAAATTTACAACCAAGAAAAGTTCACAGCACTCACGTGCAGATACTAATATGTATTCAATAACAGAATACTTCTGCAGGAGGTATTGTTGCAAAAGGAGCAGTTATTGACATATGATGGGATACCCCTATAAATGATTATATCTCTTTGGACAAAACTTTACAAAGCACTATTATCATTCTATATAAAGTGTTTGACTGGAAGTTAACTCATAAGCGCCACTAGAAGTGGCTAGAAGCAAACACAAGGATTCTGCTGCATGCACAGCAGGGGAAGGGGGCAAGGAATTAAGGTGTCTCTCCTACAACAAGGGGAAAGAAATGCTATTGTTCACAGTTCACACAATAGTAGTCCTCGTCCAGGCATTATCTGTTCAATGTGTATGACAAAGAAACAAATCTTATTGTGAAGAAAGGAGCACAAAACTACATTACCTCAAAATGAATTAAGCATTCTTCCAAAAGTTTAAAAAAGAGTCTGGTACGAGCAATGCTTTGCTGCCAAGCTTTGATAAGAGTGGCATCATCCAAATTGCGTATTATTTGCAAAACAGCAATAAGGACTTCACGCTTCTCAGCTGAACTCAAATTGTAAAAGACAGGCATTTCGTCTAGTACCTACAGAAGTGCGGAAATGAATAAACAATTGTGGAAGCAATATAAGCAAAATCCAAGTGACATGATACAAAGGTTAGTATGATTTGCACCTAACAACAATATTGCAAATTATAACTTCTCCAAAAAAGTAAGAAGAACAGATATATAGGATGATTAGAATCTACCTAGCAAGTGCATAAAATGACAGTTCTTTACACTTTTTCTTTATGATGTTCATTCTATGCATATATTTTTTGCTAACAACCTGATATGACCAACTCTTCCAAGATCCGGTCCAAGATACAAATCAAGATCACGTCTACCACATCCCAGATTAGTCAAGATTAGTTTGGATTAGATTAAATTAGATTGATACAAGTTTAGGCAGAAAAACACTTCCCTTGTACATCCAAAAATCATCTATTCTTGATTTCAGCATCATATGCTCCTGCTGGATTAGCCTCAAGTCCTCGCAATCGTACGTTTTGGAATGATAATTTATACATACATTAAAAATGAAAAACCTCAACAGCAACAACAAAATAGAGGCCCTCGTATCAATGCCTGAGAAATTGTGCAGAGGTGCACACCTTGCTAGGTTATGGCGCAATGGTAGTGCTTGGCTTGAGCCAATTTGTGCCTTTTACAACTATAGGGAGATTCTTTCGAATGGCTGGATACTTTTCCAAAACTTGACAAAAGATAAATTTCTGGAAGGAATACCTAAACAAATTGCATGATGCTTATCTTTAGAGAATTCCAAAAAACATAAAAATGTTAGCCATCTGGACTAGGAGCTTTATTTCCATCAATGAATGTGAGTGCCACACACACCTTTTTATTGAACATGGGCTTGGATAGTTTCTCTAAAATGTCCACCTTGCACTGTCCGTAGAATTGCTAAAACATTTTAATTGGGGTTTACAAAAGATAGCCATATGTTTTTATAAATAGGCAACCATAATAATTGAATTTACACAACTACAACACAAGAAAGATTGCAAAAGGAAAGATTTCTACTCTCACCAACATATATTGGCATTACCCTCTCCCTCCTTTAAAGAGGATGTCAAGAATTTGTGTTCTTGGCTGTTATAACATCATCTACCAATCAAAAAGGTTTGATATCACAAGACTCATGCAAAATAGATGCTATGCAACTTGTGCTAAGAAAATTATTGAAAAGAAGCTAGTCATTTTCATGAATCAAACTTTAACGCATTGCAGAAGCATCTAATTTTCTAAATAATAGTAATCACAAAAAGCAAGTCAACCAAGAAAATGTTCGGAAACAAAGCTTCTATCAATGGTTGGATTGTATGGTCATTGATGATATTTGCCTAGGTGATGAGTTTTATTTCAGAAAGATTTGTTGCATAACAATTATACTCCCTCCGTCCAATTTCTATTGTCCTAAAGTATATTTGCACAGTTTTTTAAGTGATTGTCTTTTTGTCATGAATTGACAAATTTGCCCTTAATTGTATGGTAGAGATTAAAAGTAATAAATGAATGGAGGGTAAAAATGTAAAATTTGTGTTTAAAAAATAAAATAGGACAATAGTTGTTGAACGTCCCAAATAAGAAAGTAGGACATTAGTTTGTGGACGGAGGGCGGATTATCACAAGCCATACTATTACTGCACATAGTCATGCATACCAACACAGAATATCTATCTTGGTAACTAGATGTTGTAAGCAGAATATCAATAGTAAAAGAATGTTAAAGAGTTTGTATGAAACATGGATAATAGAAATTAGCTACACACCTGGCCAACAAGAGGAAAGTATAGCTGGGCAATATAGAGCTTATCTTCCAACTTTTGGTATCGAACATCAAATTCATGCTTGCACAGTAGAACCACCAAAATTCTAGCTGCCTACATAGTCAAATTTAGATGTCACAAAAATTTGAGAAACTACTAAAAAAAATAGATAAGGAATTGCTTCAACCAATAATATCAAGGGAAAAAAAAAGATTCTGAAACATTAACTTTTCAATTTGCAGAAGATAAGTAATTCAGATCTCACCTTGCCCCGCATGGATAAATCTTCATGGTCCCAAGTGAGGAAAATCTCTTGTATTAAAACAGAAGAGAGGTAATTTCTGTGATTACAAAAAAAAAAAAAAAAAAAAAGCCCTATCAAACAGCTGAATATTATTAGTTCAAAGATACGCACTGGGGTGACGACTATCATGTCAAACATAAAGTACGATAATGAAAAACAAATGATCCTATATGCACAAAAAAAGGGGTGTTGTTGGTAACAAAGATAAATTAAATTAAAATCTTCTATAAAATTATTCTAACCATGTTTCTAATAAAAACTTTGGCAACTAATAAAGCTGAGAATGGAGAGGAATTATAAAACCCAACAAACTGTATTCATCCCAAGAAGATATGAAGTTTTTTTTTGGTTCAAAACTCTCTACTATCAATATAGGTACCGATGAAAGGATTTTGTGAAAGAAGAGTATACCAATGCATGATTCAAGAACAAAGCATGGAAATTTTATTAAGGGGAAATCTGGAACCAAATGGAATTACTCGTTGTAATTTGGATCATTATTTGTGGACTGCATGTATTCATATTCTTTAATTATTTTAAATTCGAATTTTCAATAATGCAATGTATGTACTTTCTAGTTAAATATTTTGAAAGATGGTTATGAATTAGCCTCAATTTCACGTTGGCGTGTAATATTCCACCTTGAGCCTTTTCAATAATGCAAAGTATGTACTTTCTAGTTAAATATTTTGAAAGATGGTTATGAATTAGCCTCAATTTCACGTTGGCGTGTAATATTCCACCTTGAGCCCACCAGAGTACCATAAAAGTTTCAGGGTAAAAAGTAATCAAACACACTGCAGGTTCATTGATGCTAGAAAACATTTGGAAGGGGATTTAAAGAAGTTTCCAAGGAGATCCAACCATGATTGAGACCTTTGTCCATAGAATATAACCTATATCAAGTTGGCAATCTCCGTATGACACAAATAATAGCCATGACCTCAAAATAACTAGACAACAAAGTAACTTCATTAAAAATTTCAAAAATTACCTATCTGATGGATCTCTGCCAGGCATTTCCACAAATAAATCATGATCACATAATATTTGCAAAAATGTAAGCTTGCAGTCATGGAGCACTGATTGACACACCCCCGAGAATTTGTCGAGGTACAACGACACCTATAAATCAACAAATAGTTGAATTAAGTTCATAACAACCCTATAGAAATGAGAGAACTTTATTAAAACTAGGAACTGAACCACACAGATATGGAGAAATAGAAATTTAGGGTGTGTTTGTTTGGGGGATTAGATTTTCAATTCACTATTCATCCCATTTTTTCCCCCAAAAAACATCAAATCAAATACCTATTTTTTATTTTTTATATTATACTAAAAATCAATTTTACATTCAAAACATCACATCAACACCTATTTATATCAAATCATACAACTACTCAAATTCAAAATTTTTACTATTCAAATCCCAACTCAAAATCCAAACCCCCAAACAAACACACCCTTAGAAGAAACCCTTCGGTATATATGGATTTAAAAAGTCATCAGACAGCACAGTAAATATTAGTGAGCAGTTCAACAACATTACGATATGGAGAATGCCTGCTGATAGTAATTACGGCCTGGAAATCAGTTTAAGTTCCACATAAATCTATGTGTTTGCCTTGTCTGACTTAAATGTATATTAAGGTATGTGCAAAAGTACTAGAAGTCTAAAATTTCAAAAGTCAACGGACTGATTCGCAAGATTACTTTTCAATGCTATATTCAACAGACCACACAATGAAACTCAAGCATTAGGACAATAATGTCATGAGAGATATAACAGCTATGTTAGTAAAGTAATATCCAGCAAACACCAACTAAACCTTGTTTAAGAGAAATCATATTCTTAACAAGCACAATCATACTTTGGAACATGGTTTAGAGTTACTGACCTTCCACTGAGAATTTTAGAAAGTATAAACTACTTAACCAAGTTAAATTCAAGTATTGACTGAAAATATATATATATATATATATATATATGCATGCACTTAGCAACATAAGGATAAAAGCTCAGGCATGCAGACTTAAAGACAGATCGAGGAATTCAAGTAAAGTAGAAAGCATACCAGTTCAAAAACTTGACGAGGTTCTATGATAGACAGCAGATCATAACAAAAGAAAGCCAAGCTACTGTTCAGATATTTGGCCAATCCCAAACCTTTTTTGCAACGATCATGAACTTCTGTTAGCAGGCAATCATATAACTGCATTATACACCTGAAGACACCTTCTTTCAACTGCATTGGAGGAACATCTTCTCCTACAACAGAGTTGAAATGTAGAGCATCAGTGCAGGAGATCATGGATGCCAAACTGACTTCAAACGTGTATAATGCAAATGTTCTCAGGATACCACAATATGCCAATGAGTTCAATAATCCAACCCAGTAATAACTGTGAAGGCACATCACACCGTAAAAGCTCTGATATCAGCTTCAGTGGTTTTTTTATTGCTTGTCAACTTCATACAACCTTTTTTGTTAAATAAAAAAATAAAAAAATGAAATAGTGAAATGGAAAATTGATAAGGAACAGAACCAAGAGCTCAGGAATGAGGAGGGGGCAAGGTCCCTATTGATTTTGCACCAGTAGTAATCAAAGACTAGTCTGGCAATTGATTTTGTATAGTGTGGATATCAGGCTAAGTGGATGGGAAGCTCAACTTTTCCATTTTGTGGCCAGGAAACCCTTGTGTAGTTGTGTAGTCAATAGAGAAACTCTCTACATTTTTCGTCACTATCAAAAATTCTGAGCACAGTCTGCCATCATTTAAAAGACAATTCTGGAGTTCCATTTGGCGAGATTAAATTTGGGTAGGAAGGTATGTCTGACAAGCTAGGACTAGCCTCAAGATAAAAGTTGGCTTGGATTGGCCTTATCAAAATTATGGATTCAAAGGAAGCCTTTTTCGTGAAATGGGCATAGCGCTTTCAAGTCAAGGCATCGAGGAAAAAGTTACTTTCTGGTAAATATGGCATGGATCTAGGGACCATCTGGCCTTTATAGAACCTTAAACATGATACAAATGGAATTTGGGAAAGTACTCAAAATACTTCGACCAATCTAGTGATCTACAACAAAAACATGGTTCTAGGATCGTGAATGCAGTAGGATAAGATTTCGGGAGGACCCTTGGCCATCCATCTCCCAACCTTTGAACTTTGTAGCCAAATATATGCAATGGAAGCTTGAAAGAAGGCTTTATTCAGGATTTTCGCTCTTGGATTAATGGTTCTAGAATGTGGTAGATAATGCTTTATTGGCAGCTTTTTGTCTGGGAAAATGATACACAGCACTAGTCTAGAAACATAGCCTGAATGGAATTTTAACATGCTAGTCTTTTTGTTGGCAACCAAACTCCTGACATTACCCACTCTGGAATAATACTACACCATGTATCTAGAATATAAATGTTCATCATCAAGTAAATAGTTTTATTTCGAAATGCGTTTGAGGTGATCTTCCATTGAAGGATGCATTGTCATCCCAAGGGCCTTCAATGTTGGACCTTGCAAATACCTGCAAGAATCCTGATACCTAGGACCTCTGCAAGGCCATTCTCAAGGAAATACAGAGAGCCTGAAACAGGCTATTTAAACATAAGACTTCTTAGCAGTTCGGGTTATCTATTGAGCATCTTGTTGTTGGAGATATGTATAGGGTGTAAATTTCAACTTCGGGCATCCCACTCGCCTTTCAAGTAAACAACCTTCAAGAAATTTCTCATTTACCCCATGGTTTTGGAAAGATCTCATGGCTTTGATCGCTTCAAAGTTCGGAAAGTAGAAAATAAATAACAATAGTTCTGCATCTGAAAACCCAGGCCCAACTGATGCAGAGCCTATCATTAGGGACCTTCTCGTTGGACTAGAAGATTTAAGATGTATTTCTAAGGTGTGGTTTTGCTACATAGTTCAACACTTCAACATTTTGATTGACTTCTTAAAATAATAAAATCATTGAAAACTGTATCCAGTGAGATTTCTATGAGACCTGGTCTTAAAAATAGTAATATATTATAGCATGATATAGATACGTTTGTTCTAATCTTTGATTGTGAGAAAATTAACCCCCAAACAGTAAACCAATCTTTGATTATGAAAAAAATTAGCCCCTAAAACTTTTGCCCGTTAATCAACAACCAATACCCATATGGCCTATACCATTATCTTATTGAATATAATTTTTATATATGCACACACACGCATGGGACAAGTCAGCAAGAAAGAAAGCCACACCTTAACAATATTCAAACTAAAAACTCAAAACAACTTATCAACCATCAATAAAAGCAGAAAAAAATAAGATTAAGAGATACCTGAAGGAAGATTGTGATAGAAGAACCGTGTCTGCTCCAAAGCCATTGATTTGACAATAAGTTCAAGGAAAAACCATGCCATGGCCAACACATCATCATAAACCGGGCCAACACGATAACCTTTGGCCTGTATTTCAAGATCACGTGGTACAAGTATTACAAGCAACAACCATCAGTTTCAATTTTAAAAACGGAATACAATAACAAGTACCACAATATACGCAATGAAACAATCAAAATAAGAGAATATATATATGGTGTTTAGTATGTATGATGTATCCAGGGCAGCAATATTCTCTAAGAAAAGATGCACACTCGCACTTTGAATATAAAGCCATGTCAAGCATATAGAAATGATGTGGAAACGAAATAATCATCCCCGCCTTCATATGGATATAATTGGGTAGAGATAACCATCCCCGTATATGTGGTTTAGTGATTTCCTCCACCCAACCCCACCCCACCCCACCCTATATTTCTGCTGAAAATTCATGTTGCAGAAATACAAACAAACACAAATTATAAAGAAAAAATATGGTAATAGGAAATATTTCCAAAACATAGATCGAACTTGCACCAAAGAAATTCACAAATCTACAAATTGTAAAAATAAATTTCACTCATCTTCTCTGGATATCTATATCATATATCTTCAATCATTACATAAGTTTATAATAAAATCATATAAAATCATAATACAAACCAGCATTCACACATAGAATTATAAGTGTTCAGATATTTGAGATATTCAGTTTTAGATTTAGTAGATTTATATCTAAATTTGATTATAGATTAGCTTACTTAAATTTGAGTATATGGATTCTGTTTTGTATTGCCTATATATAGGTTCCTTATTTTGATGATCAATAAAACAATCTCGTTATTTTCCCCCAAAATTTCTAACATGGCACCAGAGCCTATCTTTTTCATGTCGTAGATATAGCCTACCAACCCGTGTTTCTCCGGGTACATTCAACCTGAATTGTACCCGGAAGTCTTGTGATTTTGAGAAGGTTTTGTGATTTTGAGATCATGCCTTTGCAAGTCTTTTTGCAAATCTGTCTCGTCTCATCTCCGATCTGCCTGCTGTTTGTCTGTTGTCTGTGTGCAATCTGAAATCTTCGCTGCTTGTCAGTTGCCTGCGAGCGATCTGAAACAATCTGCCATATGTCCATTGTCTGTCTATTGCTGCGTGCGATCTGCCATCTGTCGTTGTCTGTCTGTTGCCTGCATGCGATCTGCCATCTTTCGTTGCTTATTTGTTGCCGAAAATCTGTCTATGATCTGCCATCTGTCCGCTGTTGTCCGATATTTGCGATTTGTCTGTTTTCGGCTCCGGTGGAGTCATGTCGTTTTCAGCTTCAGTTGAGTCATGTCTAAAGTTTTAGGCTCCGGTGGAGTCATCTCGTTTTCGGCTCTGGTGGAGTCATCTCGTTTTCGGCTCTGGTGGAGTCATCTCGTTTTCGCCTCTGGTGAAGTTAGGTGATTTTTTGCTTCGGTGGAGTCATGTGGTTTTCGGCTCAAGTAAAGTCATCTCGTTTTCGGCTCCGGTGGAGTCATCTCGTTTTCGACGGCTCCGGTGGAGTCATGTCATTTTCGGCTCCAGTGGAGTCCTATCGTTTTCGGCTCCGGTGAAGTCCTCTCGTTTTCGGCTCCGGTGGAGTCATCTTATTTTTTGCTCCGGTGGAGAATATCTCATTTTCGACTCCGATGGTGAGTCATCTCGTTTTTTGCTCCGGTAGGTGGAGAATCAACTGCTAATTTTATTTATATTTTCTTTTTGCGTTTATATTCAAATTTCTCCTTAAACTCAAGTTGGTTTATGTTATACCACTTGAACAAGGGAATGTTGAGATATTTTAAATATTCAGATTTAGTAGATTTATATTGCTTCTTGATGATCAATAAAACAATCTCATTATTTTCTCCCAAAATTTCTAACAATAAGATATTACAAAATTTATTACAAAACATATTGGTCAGATTTAAAACGTGTTCGTTTGTGTTTATCTCCGGTTTTTTAGCTATTCAATCAAAACATCACACCTATTCTTTAAGTAAAACATCGCATCCAAATTCCAACAACTATTGTCTCCTCAAAAACATCAAAACTAAAAACATAAACATAAAAGAACACAGCCTTACATTTTTACACTTCATATAGCTTTTACCAATATCGCTTTATGCTTTTCATAAGGTATATATTTCAAATATTTTCTACAAAAACTAAATTACTGTATAACTCATATTTAGTGTGTAATGGGAACAATCAACTCTTAAGCAATGACAAGGAATAATGTAACTTTATTAACAACTCAGCTCGTATATATATGATAGTTTTCAATCAATGACCTCTCAACTTGCAGCAGGTATGCTTCAAACCTTTTAAAAATGCTGGAGTAGTTAGATCCCTCTCAGGAATGTTATGGTCCAGTTCCTTTCTCAAGGTCAAACTTGTTTCTTTCCACCAATAACTATCAAATGGGAACAACTGGGAATGGTACCTCAGCAAGCCCCACCTCCAGCCAGGAATCTAAGAAAATCAAAGTGAATGCAAATACAATCCACTTTGGACACCCTTACTCTTGGTGCCAAGATTTCCCCCATCATCCCCAACAGCCAAAGCCTCATCTTATAGAGAATCTAATCTAACCCCTTGACCTCAAACCCAAAGGATTGCAATTTCACTTAGTGTGAAGTTGCCTTGTTCATTCTTATGGACACAAATTATTGCTTCAATCCGCTCCGAAAAATCACCATTGGAAAAACACTTTCCTTCGTTGGTCTTGGATCATATTCATATATAAAGAATCGCCTTCTTTTCAATACAGCCTCAGGCAATAAAAACCTTTTCCTTCGAGTTTGTATCTCTCAAAATTAGAATTAGTCTACCTTGGAAACTTATAGCTCAAATTGAAAGAAACCTTTCCTTTTGTGACCTCTCTCAATACAATCCCCACCAAAATGCATTCAGCTTTGGAGCTATGGCCTCACTCTGCATGCCTAGGACATTCAAATTTGAATATCTAAGGGCATGTTTACTTATGATTGTGTGTGTGTGTGCGCATGTTTATGCTTCATTGTTTTGATGATTCTGAGGTGAAATAGTAGTTGTTAGATGAGATGTTTTGAATGAACAACATTATTTTGGATTATGACTTTGATGCATACTTCTTCGAACAAACACATATAGCATCTCAGCAATAACATTACCTTGCTACGTGCCAAACTTCCCCAGACTGTCAATAAACCAGGGTATACAGGTGGTTGGCGACCCCCAAAATCATCGAAAGAAAAATCTACATAGTTCACCAGGAATAGATTTCTTTCACCATCATCCACTGATTCCTGCTGCACCCTGTGGAACAGAACACTATGCTAACAAAAGGTTGTTGCTGGATGCAAGCTTATACATTTACGAGACTGATGGAACAAGAACTATATCTCTGCCAAACAAAGGAATACAAGAAAGCAAAGAACTAAAACCAAAGACCAATGTCAAACAAACATTATTAACATCTTAAGAAAATATCTACAAATCATACCGTGTTAATATATTAACCATAGCTCTGAAAGCTGCAACCTGAATGAGGTAAATACATGTCAAGTAAACATAATGCTACCCAAATATAATTTAAAATTTGAAGTCCAATCAAAACAGGCATCAATAAAAGAAGTATAGTGACATTGTGGGGTGAGTAAGTTTAGTTCCACCCTACAGACCTGTAGAGTCTCTCCACCATTGCCTATGAGATGGAGAAGCATGTTCAAAACTGGATGAAGAAACTGGAGCAAAGCTATTGAATCAACACTCTTCAGACTGTTGATGGCCTGGAAGACAAAACAGAAGAATTCCAGTTACACAATTGCATGAGAGGGAGATAACTCAACAGAGTAATAGTAGAGGAAGGAAGAGCTGCAAGCAACATGAAGCATATAGTACTAGAGATCTTTCAATTTCACAAGGATAGATCTCAAAGGTAGCTAGAGGTTAATTAGTATTAATTTCTCAACAAACAAGAAAAAACATGCCAAAGGTGGAGTTTTTGTCCAATGTTGCTATAACACCCAAGGAAAATCTCTAGTCTTCTCACTTTTTGGTGCAGTGATGAACATAAACACCTTAACACAGCATATAAAAGATAAAATAAAATACGGAAACTTCAAAGATAGGTAGCTGTTTGCTGCCCTGGTATCAATTTTTAACAAGATAAAGTTATGCATAATAGTAAAAAGAAATTAAAACCTCAAGAAGCTCAGATCCCCACGGTGGACTTGTTCGGAGAATGTGCCTATCATATTCAAGGAAAAAGTCTCTGATCCTCTCACTTATTGGGTATAAAGAAGAGCACAGACGCAGCCGGAGTCTGAATATATTTTTTCCATCCTCTAAGTAATCCACCCTCTCCTACAAATTATGGAACAAGCTCTGGGGAGTGAGATAGTAAACTAACATGAATAAATTCACTATAGCTCACCATAGAGCAAAAGTGACATAAAAGATGACACAAAATTGTAATTCATCAAAGCGACAAAGTCATTAACAAACTAATTAGCAATAACGAGAAGTGCAACTAATGTTTCATCATTGTAGCAAGAATCACACAGTTACATTCCTTGAATGAAGATACCATCCGCACAACACATTAAAGGGCCCAACTCCTACGAACAGTCTGATGCTGCATTAAATTCAGATAACTAAAACTACTCATTGCTTCTCTAGTGCAGGTCATATTATTCCGAGCAAGTTAGTCCTCAGCCATTTGAGGACACCTTACTCATAAGTGACACAAAATTCTAGCTTATTAGGGTTGTGTGATACTATTGTTGTAATGATCATAACTCTACAAATCACAAGTAGAAGATCTATAAACATAAGAGTGCAAAATGTTGTCAAAATCAAAGGATTATATGGCAATCATGATCTACATTTATTTTTATTTTATTCTTTTCTATCATTACATGTGATTTCTGGCTTTCTGCTTGATACAGTTTGTCCGAGGTGAAAGTTTTAACTGGATCTAGTTTTATGTTTAATTCTAAGAAGCTCACTTCCCAGAATAATTGTTGAAGGCGATTCGACAAATGCGCTCGAATTCTAGGTCCTTCGCCTCCTTGGAAACTAAAACTTCAACATAAACAAGCTCTGCTATTGAAAAGTTCTCCTTCGTTACATTATAGCATATCCCTCATAGTGCAAACAAGGCAGTGGGCTATTTGCAATACGGCGCTAGGGTAGTGAATAGTTATTTGTTTGGCTATAATACATTCTACCATTTCCCATAACCCCAAGGTTATATGCATCACTATTTTCTTAATAAAAGTAACTCTAATCCTTTTATATTAAAATAAAAAATAAAAAATCACTATATGTCCATGACTGACACTCACGATTCATTTTGCAGTTCATATATACTTTTACTGAAACCAACAAAAAACAAACAAGAAAACTCATACTCAGGAAACCCATAATTATACAGATTCCCCAACTGTGCCATTGCCTAGGAATATAATAAATATAAACTCAATCCAATGACATTAGTAAAAATATTCCAGTTTGATAATAGCGTACCCTGCTACTGTCTTGTAAATAGTGTGGAACCAACTCCTTCATAAGGGGCAATGAAATTTCTGATTTCAACCTATAAAACAAAGAGGAGATTAAACCAATCATCCATAGTGTTCATAGCTTGTCATATTTGACTTCAATTAAACAAACAAGAAAATTTCAAACTCATCTTGGTTTCACTTAAAATAAATGTAGAATTTTGAAGGATAAGGTGCTAATAGCTAATAGAATTGCAAGTAAAAACGCAGGCATGATATAGTGTATATATTGAAAAAATATACATAAATAAATTAATAACGAAATTAATTCGTAGTATTGTGTCTCACATATACACCTTGAAAAATTCATACTTCGAAACCAATAAAAATAACAAAACATGTTGAATTAAATATTCATAATATAGTGGGTATATTGAAAAAATATTAAAAATGTGTCTCCTGCCGAATGACGCCAGTGGGGCTCAAGTCCTTAGTAAGCCAACCTCCAACATGAAAAGTTCAGCTCAGCTGGTTAACAACTCTAGTTTCTATGAAAGATTTAGCTCCATCTGGAAGTTTAAATAGTACACGAACACAGTTCAATGTAGCTACATCAAGAGCACTGGGGTTATAAATACTCTGGAACCTTCAGTTCCAATTGTTGATGGTTATTCCAACAAAGAGTCCCATGATTTAAGGAGAGACACTACAATCACCCTAGTTTTGGAGCCCGACAAGCAAATACGTACTTGGCTCCAAGACATGCAGTTGGGAAACTCCCTCCACAATGAACATCAACTCAAGAATAGAGCCTCCAATCAGCACCAGATCCCATGGAGGGAATACTTATTTCTTTGAGTTCAATTCAATATACCAGATGAAGCTGACCTCTCAATCTAGAAAAAATCTTTAACAAGATTCTACCATGTTCTCCTAAGTCACCCAAACCCCTTATCTGGGCTTAAAATTATGGAATTCACCCTTCAAACTTGCAGTCTCTAATATTTCATGCATCTCCTAACCTGGGGTCAGTGCACTGGTACAAATAATCGCAGCCATGTTCTTTGCATTACAGCTATGCACATTCCCTTGTACCATGGGATCATTCACATATTTACTCTTAAAAAAATTATATATTGGTAGCTATTGTTTCAGCTATTTGTATTTGTAAACTAAGCGCACTCTCCATACATCAGACTTTACTGTCAAGTACCTGCCCAAGGCTAATCCAAAACCCTACAATGTTTATAATTATGCAGTTTGATTGATGATCTAGAACGCCATTTGAGTTCTAATCTAACTTCCGTTGAGCGACGGCCCTTCCACTCGGCATAATCGGATCACTAAGACCAACTTTCTTACTGTGTTGATAATATAGTTCCATGGTAATCCAGGGATGCCAATAATGGAAGATATGTCCAACACACTGGAACGCTTGAAGGCCCTACCAACTCGATGGGAACACTTTAGTGTTGAAGCACATGATCTTCTCAAGGAATTCAATCTAGGCATAGATACCAAAACTAAAGCATGTGCACGTATTCCCAATTAATATTTAATAGTCATGTGGAAAATCCTTCCTCTTGAGCACAAACTAATTCAGATACAAACTAAAACAATTCTTTGATCTGTTTCTGCTCTCCGAAATTGATCCCATTTGTCAGTGATAAGGAGCTAGGGTTGTGATACAACCTAATCCAAGGATCTTTGACAAAAAAGTTGCCGTCAGCCCTTTTAAGTATCAAATGCCATTGTAAAGACGAGAGGTAAAGACAGACAGGTGGTCGGAAACAAAAAGATAGAATGAGGAAGCTTAAATGGAACTTGTTGAGTAGGACATCCATCAAAAGTACCGCTTCGATGATGTCATCAGAAATTCTAAGGCCACTTAAGAACTAGTCTTCAGCCACATGTTTCCGGAAGCATAATGCTACTAACCAAGCAATTATGCATATCTGCATCAAGGTCTTAAATGCTCCCGCAACTACATTTCCTATCTTCAATTTTGCATTTAGGTTTCCATTTGGTATGAATTAAGAGTTTTTTTTTTAATATATTTTGAGGATTCAAAACCAAATATGCAAAACTACATTTTTTTTTATATTGAAGCTCTTCTAAGAAATTTACAAGTACGTTTCCTTATAATTAGGAAAAATTCAGCAGTTAAGTTTCCTTTTGATATAAATTAGAGTTTTTTTAATACATTTTAAGGTTCAAAAAAATATGCACAACTACTTTTTTTAATTTTATTCAAGATTTTCCAAGAAATTATTTAGTACACTTCTTACTAATTAAGAACATTAAGACCTGGGCCACATGGAATTTACCCTTAGCAAGTTAAGACAAACAGATTTTGAATCAAATCTATAAAAAAAAAAAAAAAAAAAAAAAAAAGCCTAAAGCTGAAGTTCAACATGTGGTAATTAACAATGAAACTGATGTAAAATAAGTTATATATGCCCCCTCACCTCCTTCTAATATGCTCCTAGAAGTGAACAATCTTGCGGACCTTTTTGCTAAATGCAGTGCTCGAGGGGGCAAGGAGCTGTCTTAGCTTTAGCGATTCATCCTATGAGCTACATTTATCATGTTTTTCTAAGATTTGTGCAGCCCTAAGTGGCTCCTCATTCTTAGCTTGCAATATATGCACCCTTCCAACCAAACCCCCCCCCCCCCCCCCAAATCACCCTACCAAAAAAATATATATACATAATATTATATAACAAATCTGAGAACATACTGATAAAGAATCAACGAGAACAAAGATTCTTAAAATTAAAGGAATGAAGAAACTAAATGATGGTTAGAAACATACTGCGCATAAGTGGACAAAGGAAGTGAAGCATATCCAATAACAACCTGCAATCAACTAACAAAATGACTTCCACAAAGAGATATAATAATAGTACTATATAGGAAGAATATTCAACAGAAAAATATATCAAAAGAGAGATGAGTAACATACAAACAGATAATTAAATCGTATATTATGCTTGAATAATAACACTTACTGGCTTTGGGGCCTCAATTTTTGTCTGAAGATCTATATGAAAGAAAGTGAACAACAGATGGTGTGTTGGAGTCCAAACAGAAGGCAATGACACTTTAATTTCATCATGGTAACAAGCAATCCTAGCTCCAACAGCGACTTGAGTATGAGCATACATCTTCTTAAGTGCAGATGCATGCATTGCCTGATAGAAAAACAGCCATATATAAGGTCTAGTGGTCTACTGTTGCAATAAATAATACTGCTACAACAGCATCAGGTATAAATATACCTCTAATGGGGGTTTTCGAACATCACCATCATCCTTCCTCAATTCTACTCGTATGAAAAGGTTTCTTTTTCTACTCATGCTAACACTCAAAGGATAGACATAAAGGGAGTGGAATAGCTGCAAAAACGGCTCATTCCTCGATGTTATCCGAAAGTCAAAAGCCTGGAACTGTAAATACCAGTAAATCAAGGACAAAGTAAAATGAAGCAATCAGTCATCGAGCTTCAACTATGGTGATGAACAACTCAATAAATCCAAACTGTTCTCTAATAAAGCTGTGTGCTACAACTTACATCATTCGAAGCACTATCAGTAAATCCATAAGATATTGATCCATTTCGATCAAGCTCTCTGTTATCAGAGGAATTTGAATCCAAATAAGCATTTTTTTGTCCACCAGTTCCATAATTGACAGAATAAGTTGACGTGGCTTGAGGTCCATAGCCAGGATGTCTTGAAAAATCACCATTTATGCTTCTGTTCTCCACTGATTTTTCAGAATCAACTGGGCCAACTTGGAGCTTCTCAATCTCCAATCTCAAGGTACCCTTCACTGGTTTGTGAATTTTTCGTTTTGGATCCTAACAACAGGAAAAATCATGTACATGAGACTCAAACTATGGTGAATATATTTGATCATAAAAATTAAGCATGTTAGACAACCGGAGATGAACATGCAAACAGTCAAACCCACCCTCCCCCACCACCCAGACAAGAGAATTTCACGTATTCAAAATGAGGGAACAGAAGCAAGAAGACTAGATGAATGAAGCTTTTACTTGTGAAAATATAACATGATATTGTAAAGTTAATCAAAAGTTTTCAAGGGGAAGTAAAAAATCTGAAAGTGTTCTTCTTGATGAAATATAGCGAATAAGTAAACTTTGATATTTTTAGGCCTAACAACATTAGTCCCTTTCTAGGTTATTTCTATCACCATCATCAAACCCATTAAGATGACTTCAGACTAATATGTTATACAATATTGGTTTGATTAGTAAATATAAATTTTAGGATACAACCAAGAATGACCAAAAGAATTCGATACAGTACAGTTTGTTCGATTAGCGGCCGAACTGTTGTTCCGTTTTAACATCAGATAAAGGGAATTCAAAGGAATGTAAATATGACAAATTAGAGGAAAGCGAAGCAAATGAAAACCGTATTACGGAAATAACAATGAATTGCAAGGTGACGAGAATGAGTAGGCCTTTTGAGCCTTTAGCTTCATCCCAAAAAAGAAGCCAAGCTTTCTCAATTAATATAAGAACATTTTCCCACAAACTAAAGTTTATATATACTCATTGCCCCTTCCATGATATAAAGATTTATTCTCCGCATTCATCATATAATTAGTAGAAAAAAAGAGGTAAAGTGTTTCCATCGCTAAAATCAAAGTAAAAGGTTTGAATAAGACATAACCAGGAGTGACTCCTCAGTATAGCCTTCTTTAATTTTGCTCAGATTAGATACTTCAACGACAACAGAGTTGCCAAAGGAACTGCCAGGCTTTCCATCCAATGTGATCTTTGAAACAGTTTCAACAGACCCTTCTTGAGAGGTTGCAGCCGAAATGCTCGTAATAAGTGGACTGCTTGGAGAAGCAGAACCCCCAGAAGAAGAAGCAACACCGCTATCAAAAAGTGGGACAATTGCCCAGGCAAATGACTCCCTGTAGGGCATGATCCGGGACCAGACTTGAAGTTTCTGCTTCTCTCTCTCAGTAAGATGAATCTGCATTTACCATCAGGGAAAAGGAATGAGGAAAGAAGGTAAAAGTGAACCACAAACATTGCTCAGTAACTAATTAATTTCATGGTAAAACATTTTAGGTGTTATGTCCCAGCAATATTGCTCACAAATTACAAGGAAACTCTACAGCAATCAAGCACTAAAAGGAAGCTCAAATAATATCATTATCTTAAAGATTAAAAGACAGATAATCAATTTCCCCCGCCACATACAATCAAATAAAAACTAAATTAATCTTCTAAGTTCTTAGAAAGTTTAATCCAAATCTCTTTTGGAATCAAGTAATAAATCAACTTACAGAGAAGTGAAATCAATAATATGACCTAATAGATTAGACTCTACTTACTGGTTCTTTGCGTGAATAAACAGATGAAGTTACTCCACCCTCTTCGGTAGCAGGCTTTTCTAATTGGATTAGCAAACAGATTGAAGCTGATGGTACTTCCACACTGAAAATACCACGAGCGTCAACAGAAGAACTTCCCTGGTAATAAACAAATTAAACAAGAAAATTCTTATATTTATTGGGAAAGGTCAGTGTACAGTTTAAAGTTATCCATTTCTTGCTGCCATAAGATAAGACACAGAGACAACAGATTCAATTCATAAAAAAATTTCTGCCAAACAAAAAAGGTGAATGCAAAAGGCTTACATCTTGCATTTCAACTGGTAAAATGTGGAAATTGAAATCTTCCGAAAGTTTTTCCCTTCTCTCTCTATTATATAAACAAATCGTGCCATAAAATGGCTCTACAAGAAAAAATTTGTACATCAGCTCCACTGTTAGATTGTATCTGGTAGAACCACAGGTAATAAAAGAAAATTAAAAAGATACTCTAGAAAGCACAGGTCATCTCACCAACAAGTCCAGCTTGAAATGACAATGATAACACTTTTACAGCAATCTTTAGCCCACTACAGCAACAACCAACATATCCAAAAAAAAAAAAAAAGAAAAGGGGAGATGAAAGAAACAAGTTAGGAGGTAAGACTAGGATAAAACATATGCTGATGCACCAAAAAGGTATGTGCACACACGGACACACACACCTGCTATACTGAAATATGTTGGTGGCAGGTATTCTTTGACCAAATATAGTTGATCTTTCATTTTCCCAATCAAAAACAGGTTCATATGCTAGTAGGGGTGATTCGCCAAAATGCTGCAAAGAATTTACAGCACGTCAATGTAGTTTAAGAAACATTAGTAGAAGAGATCACGACAAATAAATCCGTACACCATGCTTTGAAATCTCAACATTTGATGAACCATAATCATTTGTTCCAGAAATATAATTGCTCGATGAACTTTCCATTTCAGTCCCAGCTGTATCTTGCACCTTATTTCTTTTGGCATTAGCCAACTCAATTTCTGCAAAAGAAATAGAGAAGCATCATTGAGCATCAACATACACCTACATTATAATGTTTTACTTAATAAACCATAGCAAGCACCGCTCTTGCATGACAACTAACCAGTTTCCAAATCAGTATCCGGCCCCTCAAATATCTGGTTGTGGAATGTACTCGGGCCAATGCTTTCGTAGTGTCCATACTTGTATTCATATTTAACCCAATCAGCCCCATAGCTCTGAACAAGTTCACTTAGATGTGGCCACTGCTCCAAGTTTTCGTCAAGCTGGTGGAGATGAAAATGCAGACTCCATTTTAATAAGCACGTTAAGAAACCAGGGGTAGAGTTGAAACTACTAATAATAAACGCGGTAGAACAAGAATGTGAATTCGACTACGGATGGATATTTATTATCCAATGGGAATGATTTACACTAATGAATGCCGGAAATATGTTCCGGGCGTACTACAAGATCTGCACAGGGAATTGCGGATACACGAAGAAAACCATATATCAAACTCACCAGTGGATCCATATGAATGCTGGGCAAGTACTGCCGTGGAACCCTTTTGAAACGAAGCCCGCTGTCCAACCCAGTCTCCATACAGTCAAATGTCAGCTACCAAAACAAACATGAAGTGGAGAAGACGATATCACGAGACGCCGACATTATCATTCTCCAGATCGCCTCGATGCAGGCCTGGAATGGCGAACAGGTACGAGAAAAGACGACCGCATTCCTGATAGCAAGTGAAGCTGCGTCAAGAATAGATCGGAAGGGGGTCCACTGGAACGGGCATTAAATGAGACTGGGGCACCCTTTAACCGCAATTTCAGGGGATGCCGGCTCGAAATCTCTTCAATTAACACTTGGCTCCTTGCCCGAAATTGAGGCGCGGCGCTCCCACGAGAAAGTAGAGTGGAGCTCGCGGGGGCGGGATTTACCTGCAAAACAACATATAGAAGAAAGAATGAGGGATGATGAGTTTGAGATTGAAGCGGAGAGGTGTTGAGCTGGTGTAACGACGGAACGACGGCAGAGGGAGGAGCAAAACCTGGGTGGGTTTGGTGGGGTGCGGTTGGGTTGGGTTGGGTTGGGTTGGGTGGTGGCAGAGCAGTATCAATCACTGTATGAGTATGAGTATGAGTATCGCCGACTAGCGAGTAAAGTATGCTGCGAGTAGTAATTCTGTAAACGCCACCGTACGGAACAAAAATTTTAGGTAAATTTCCTACGTTGTGTTGTGTATGGGCTAGACTATAGACTAGACTAGAGTAGACTTCCCCACCCAACAGACAGCAGTGGTGTGCTAGGTTTAGATTTGTAGTATGGCCATCTCCAACCTCCACTCCATTTTTGCAGTTATCAGTTGATCTTCAATAATTTTACTTCAATCATAAACTTCAATTTAAAAAGTATATTTTTTATATATTTCTTTTTTATATTATTTTATATAATTTTTCATATTTACAAATTACACCCCAACTTTAATTTATTTTTACATTAGATTCATACACATATAATTTATAAATTATTTAAAAATTACATATATAAAAATTAACATTTAAAAAATAAAATTATATATTACTTTCCAAAAACTAAAATTATATCACTTTTAAAAAATAAAATTATATATTATTTTTCAAAAAAAAAATAAAATTACATACAACTTTTTAAAATATAAAATTATATATCTACTAAAAAAAATTAAAATTACACAATACACCAAAAAAAATACCAAAAATATAAAAAACACAGTAAAAACTTGGGGGGATTTGGAGGTGTGTTGGAGCCCCTCCTCCCCATTTTTGGTACAATCCACTGCATGTGGGTTGGAGATGATCTAATATGCTCCTTTGAGTTAAATAGAGGATTGTTTGTCTAAATTTTTTTTACATGATTTTTAATATTCCTTCCCTCACGCGAACGTTGCCAATAAACGTATTTGACTTGATCTCTTGATTTCTACTGTTGATATAATAATTAATATTCAAAATCTAATACACAAAAAGATCATGCTAACCTGGCGTATATATTTTATTTTTTTTACAAAAGTTAATACTTATTATAAAAGAATCTTTTTTTATATATTATCTATGGAATTATTTTTATATCTTACTAAAAATAAAATTCAAATCAAAATATTAAATAAACAAACTTCTAATTTAATATAATACTCTATTCGTCTTTATCTAAAATATTATTTTTACTATTTTTTGATGTTTCACTAAAAAATACTCATTTTTTTTAGTAAAAGTAATTATTTAATAATACCAAAATATCTTTAACTTTAATTTAAATTACAAATATATTATTACAAACAATTATTTTATACAAAAAAAGGGCAAAAATGTCAAAATTCATTACATTTTCACTGACCAATAAAATGTTATTTTTTTTAATTTACTACAAAACCTCAAAAGGCCGACTAAGTATTGAATACTCCCTCTGTCCCATATATCGTGTTTGCTACACTGTAGACACGGTATTTTAGGAGATGTGTAATTAGTAGATAATTAAGAATGTATTAGTGAAAATAAGTATCATGTAATATAAATAATTATAAATTAAGATTAACATAACTAATTAGTTTAATTAAAATAAAAAAATTAAAAAGTTTAAAATGAGATTAAAGTGTGTAATCATTTTCCAAAAAAGAAAAGTGATATGGAATGTGGGACGTACAAGGACAACGTGAACATGGTATATGGGACGAAGGAAGTAATATAAATTAAAAAGTGAAATTTTTCAGGTTCGAATTTGAGTGTTTTGGATTTGCAGAAAATCGGGTCAATGCAAACTCGAAAAAAAAAAATTGTGTCAGGTTGAATTTCGGGTTGACATGATAACCCGAAATATAAAAATCAGGTCGGGTTTCGAATTTTGGGTTGACTTAACATTATTTTTTATTATTATTTTAATTTATAATCTTTATACTCCCTCTCCGGTAAATTTAGAACATTTGGTTTCGATATGGAGATTAAAAAAATAAATATTTTAGTGAAAAAATTGAGAAAAATAAAAAGGTTGTCGGGGTTATTTTGGAAATGTAAAAAATATTTTTAAAAATGATGAGAGAATATAATAAAAGATAGTAGCATTAGTGTAAATAAATATGGAATGAAAGATAATAGTAAAATGTTAATTTGTTAACTTTGTCAAAATTAGTAATGTGATAAATTTAGCGGATAGACTAAAAAAAAATATAGTTAATTTGGCGGACGGAGAGAGTATTATATTAAATATAAAATAATACAACGATTAAATTATAGATGATTCTTTTAGATAAATTTATCATTTTTCAAGTTTTCAGGTCTATTTCATATATGATTTGTTCGAATTTCTGGTGACCTAAAACTAAATTAGGTTGACCTAAATATGACCAGAAAAAATTCGTATCATGTTCAGATCAAAGGTTTCGGGTCTGGGTTGACAGTCTATGTTACACTAAAAGCTCAATCCCACATGAACACAACAAAAAAAAAAAAACAAATTGACGTCCCTAAATAAAGTAATGTAATGTATATTTTATCTTTGACATTAAAGTAAAAGTAATGTGAAAAGTACAAAGTAGATGTATTTTGTTATTTAGTTGAAAATTACTTTTCTTAAAAGATGAAATAGAAAGTTTTGATTTCTAACATATTAAAATGGTGAGAATTTTACTAATGGAAGAGGAAGTATCATATTTAGATTGTATTTGTTTATTTCTATTTTAATTCTCATCTACAATAATGAGAATAATTACGGTGTTAATTTTGATAAATCAGTATCATGTTGAATCAACACACATAAAATATACAAATAGCACACGTATTTATTATACATAGCATATTTTGTATGTAATAAATGAATGTATTATTTACTCATAATTACGAGTGTATTGTATATGAATATGACATGTGCTAAAATAAACTGTTGTGCATGTGTGAGACTATAAGATGTGCGATTTGTTCATATATTGTATTTGTATTATATTAATATATACGGTGTGTTATTTGTAGTAATATTTTGTGGTATCTATTAGCACACACTCTGTTGTTCAGCAGCACCGTAGCTGCTGCCCTACAATAATATTGTTGAAAATTATTGTTTGCGAATAAATAATTAATGGTTGTGTTTCTCAATTCGAACTTTTAGTTGAAATGGTCATTTTAAATCCAACAAATATATTCAATTTTTTTCTTCATAAAAATTACATTATTCGTTGTTCGCTCAATTAAATTATATATATATACTATACTCTCACAAAAATTAATAATTTAAAATATAATATTATTTTTTATATAATAAAAACGATCATTATACCTAATAAAAAAAATAACATCACAAACTAAAACATTAAATAAACAATTTTTTTTTAATTTAATATAATGCATAAAAAAAAAAAAAGTCACTCAAGATATCAAATTAAATGTTTATTTAGTAGTCTTTGTACTATCTACTTAATATTACAAATACTCTTCCAAATTATAATATATTACACAAATGTCATTACATTTATATCACATAATACCAATAAGATTATTTTAATTATTTTTATTTTATTCCTATTGTATCCCAATATAATACTAATATTTTTAAAACTACGTACAAAAAGTAAACGAATACGTAATTATGGGACGAAGGCGAAGAAAATATAAAACAATAAATAAATAAATAAATACAACTCAAAGTACGCCAAAAAAATCTGTTGTTAACTTCCCTTGTCATTATGATTATGGTTGTATGTGATTAGTGTTGTTAGAGGGATGTTGGACGGCCTCCACTTCAATCCCATATTATATTATTTATTCTACAATTATTCTGCATTGAGTACATTCTACGTCTTATTCCCAAAACTACTATATTTTACTATTCTTTCTATCCGACTAATTATGTCACCGATACAATTTTTTTTAAAAATAAATAGATAAATAAGATTTTAATGTGAAAATAAGTAGATAAAAAGTAAAGTAAAAAATTATAAAAGCTTTATTAAAAAGTTAATAATAAATGAGTAGGGTAAATAGAAAAATAATAATAATTTTCTTATTATTTGTTAAAATAGGAATAATGAAATTGTAAGTAAATTAATTAATGTATAAATTTAAGGAATAATAATAAAAAATTGTGTTTTTTTAACAAAAAAAAAAAATACATACATATATTTTCCCAAAAAATATTAATATGTTGTCTTAAATTGTTTATTTTTTTACTAAGAAGCTCATCAATATCAGATTTTGTAGCATTATTTGCAAATTTGGTTGATAGACTATGAATCTCACCAGCCATTTTATCCATGTTATTTGTTTATTGTATGATTACTATAGGTTTTGTTTGTTTTATTATTATTATTTCACACAAATTAATATTATTTAGTCTTTGAATTTTTTGATAAAAATATATATATATTTTATAAAATAACATATATGTTATTTAAACCAAAACTTAAATATATCTGAAATTAAAATAATAAATAAATACACCATTATTTTTTACATTCATATTCTACCTTTTATTAACCCTAACAGGATATGTTAATGAAATAGTTCACTTTCATATATTATGATGTGAATAATAATAATAATAATATAAAGTTTGTTCTTTTATCATTTTAAACCAAAGTCAACACTATTTATTTGACATAATTTTTAATTGAAATATATTATTTTTTTCCACAAAATATCACGTTAAAATATTATTTTAACAAAAAATAAAATTAATATTCTATTTCAAATCAATTTCAAATTACAACCAAACAAACCCTCATAATGTATGTTATTTTGGATTTTTGGGTTTTTTTTTATTTTTTTATTTTGCATATGTTTTTATAGAATGTTGGATTATTGATCTTCTTTGCTCAAACGAGTAGCTAGATAAATTTTGTTATTTTACATTTGAAAAAATAATAAAGTTTTTAAATTTTAAAAAATAGTAAAAAAAAATACTAATAGTTATTGTAATATTTTTTGTAAATAAAATATATTTGATACAATATTTTTTTAAAAAATCAAAATAGTGCCGGACAACTAAAAATATTGTCTGAACAAAGCATAAATTTAAATTCAATCATTGAAAGTTTGAGAAATAATTCTATTTTGACAAAAATAAAAATATAGAGATGGCTTCCCGTCAAAATAATGACAACTACCAAAAGGTTTTGTTACTCATACAAAATAATTTTTG